CAGTGCCACAGAGGACCTGCTTCGCAGTGTTGCCATTTTGAAGCCCCAGGAGCCTGCAGGGGCCCCAGGGGCCGGGTCTTAGTCATGTAGAAATACTGTAAGCATATATGCGTGACCACATGTTTTCCAGTGGCACCTCGGCCGTAAACGAGGATTTCACTTCTGAAGCCAAAATACACCCTCAATGAGGATTTCGCGCGGTCCCCCCCCCCCCCCCTCCGAATCATATCTTCTTCTTTTTTAAGTACATTTCAAAGTTGATCTATTTATATAAGTACTTATAATAGTGTTTACAAAATGTACAATAAATAGTTACTATTTCTATGTGCAAAACAAGTATGCTTTCTCTTTCTATACACAGATAAAGCGCGACAAATTAGAACATTTACATGAGAGAACCCTTTTTCAGTGCCTTTTTTTGTTATTGACATGTGCCCCTTTTCCTTCGACATTTTTGCCTTTTTTTTTCCTTTGCAATAATTGACAATTTTTCGATTCACATAAGTGACTTTATTAATCTCTAGTAAGTGCCCCGTTTCAGGTACGAGAAGTGCCCCTTGTTCCACTTTCGATAAGTGCCCCCTTCACCTCCGATAATTTTCATCTCTGATGAGGGCCCCTTTTCACGTCTAATAACTGCCCCTTTTATTTTGACACATGTCTCTTTTCTTTTCTAATAACTTTTTTTTCATTCTTATAAGCGCCCCTTCCTTCCCCTTCTCATAATTACCCCTTTTCATCTCTGATAAGTGCCCTGTTTATTTTGACATGTGACTATTTTTCTTTTTAATAAAAGCTACCTCCCCCTTCTCATTAAAGGGCCCTAACACCTCCGATATATGCGCTTATGTAAATCTGATCGGTCCCCCTTTTCTTCCAAAAATGCAAATTTTCCTTTATTATACTGGCGTGCTCCTTTTTTATTCTCATAAGTGCTCCTTTTCATATCTGGTCAGTGCCCCCTTTTAACAATGATACGTGTCCCTTTTCCTTTCTAATAAGGGACCTATCTCGTTTTCACCTCCTATAAATGCCCCTTTCAAAATCTGATGGATGCCCCATTTCCGTCAACAAATGCCCATTTCCCATTTTCATAAGTGCCTTTTTCATCCCTGGTGAGTGCCTCTTTCCAGGTGTAAGAAATGCCTCATTTTCACTTCTGATAATAACCTTTATAGTACTGTGACACGTGCTCCTTTTCTTTTCTAATAAGCGACTAGTAATTTTTCCCTTCCGATAAGTGTCCCCTTTTCCTCTCATCATTAAACATGTCCCTACTTTAAAGCGACTAAGAGCAATTTCCCCCATTTTGCTCGCATTTATAGATGATATTATGTTACTTATCAAAGGTCATTTCGGTCTTCCGTTATGAGAATGTGCTTATAACCCCATCCAGATATTTTTCCCCCTCTTTATATAAGATGTAATTTTTCTTACTGCGACCTCACAAATGTTCTTTTTTTTTTCCTCGCTATGAATATTCAGACATCACACCCATCTGCAAAGTACAATGCTTAAGCAATATATTGTATGATGTATAAAGAGAAACAGATATTAAAATCATCCCTGATAATGTAATTACAATATAGGCCTACCAATGTCTAAAAAAATGTATATTTTCGCTTTAAGATTTCTGTCACAGAGGGCGCACACAAAATATGAAAAAGTGAGTGTCAAATTTGAAAGAACATACAATGTAAATGACAAAATCATCTTTGTTTAATCAAAATCGGTGAGACGGCTGAAATAGCCATAAATATAACTATTTCTAATACTTGTGTACCACAACAAATATAAGAAATTTGAAAAAGCCGTTGAAAAAACGAAATAGCGCCTTTTACGTCGTATTTCAGCCAATGCCGATGTTGGCTTTTTACGGTTGGCATTTTCGTGTTGGTTCTAGGCACAACCAGCCGGCCCATGTATTGTTATTTGTAATTAAATAATTAATTAACGGTCACCGTATTTTTGGGAAAGTGGAACTGAATGTATGTTGGAAAATTTCATATATTTTGGGGTCTAAAATTACCTTCATTGCAATTTTAGGTTCTAAAAGGGTACTAGAAATGTCATAAATAAGAATAAGAGCAATAACCATTCACTATGAATATGAAGGCATTTGCGGTCTGAAAACAGGCAACTATCCCTTCAACTGTTTAAAAAAAAAATCTCATCCGAGGTCGGCTTCTTGCTGGGTCACATCTTTTCTGATCATGACAGAGTGACACTAGCCCCCCCCCCCCCCCCCCCCACCCCCCACACACACCCTATACAATTAACTTTTATATAAAAATGTAACATGTAATAATGATAAATAATGATAATAAAGTAATAACGATGATAATAATATAATAACAACAACAATAACAATAATAATACTAATAGTAATATAAGCAACAAAAATAATAATCAAAAGAAATAATAATACAAATAATAATAATGATAGACTTAATAATAATACAAACATTTTCTTGATATCAATAACAATAATTAGCCCTTTCCGACTTTGCCCTAACTCTATATGCACTGAACTAACTCTGAAATACATGAATAGCTGATCGTTCATTCCATAAATACGAACGTATTACATATAATCGTGTACGTACTGTGGCGGACACGATTTCGCCACCTTGGCTTGACACGGAATATTTGTCAGGATGCCCCGTGTCGGCCAGGCGCTCTCCGTCCGTTTGGACAAAATATATGCCCGTAGCTTAATGGCTGGAGTTATTAACTGCTCACACGTATCTCAACAATCATTCGTCCATCGACTACAATCGGTCACCTAAACGTCTCGTTCACAGCATCAATCAATTGAGCATCCTTCGAAAAATCAATTTCCCTTGTCAACACTTGTCACAGGTTCTCGTCCCTTGGTTTCACTGCTCCAAGAATTCAAACCAATCATGATGTGTAGGTTGAAAGTCTTTATTGCGATCCATTCAACAATCGGGTAAACTCAGTACAAGTACAGTGCAAACTATGAGAGACTTAGCTTAGGCCAGGCCAACTATCAGGCCAGCCTCGGTGAGGCTGGCCTGTATCGGATACAGTGCAGTGGAAAGCCCTAGATGCACAACCCTGACCATCGTAACAATTTCCCTATACATAAACGTGTAAAAGAACAATTATGTCCTCGTTAGTAAAACAACACTTCAACACAATATTTCTGCTAATCCCATAAAATCTTCACATATAATCTTCAGTATAACCCCTTATTCCTGATTAGATCACTACTATACAAGTAATATCCCCAAAAGAAACATGATAATTGCACCAACATGATCAAAATATGTAATTTATGCTCATTTTCCTTCAGTTTGGTAATTGCTAAATCAACGATGCACCATATTGCTATAGCGCATGCTCGTACAACAGAAAATGCTTAACCTTCGTCCAATACTAAAACACTGATTTGTTACACGATTCCCTTCCCTCCCAAGCTTGGTCCCCAAGCTAACTTATCTATAACTTATGCAACAACAACAAAACAAATCAAAACTAAAATCCAAGTCTTTTCTGACAGTTCAAAATGGCTCTTTTCCAAAAGTGTTCAACTGTTCAAAAGTTAGTTCGTTTCCTTTCCTTCTAGATCTAGGCATCCCTGGGCTCATTGTTCTTTCTCTCCATTGTCGTTCCGCACTTCCGTCAACTCGACCAGCTGCAACACCGTCAATGCTACCTCCCGTCGTCCCCAAGCTCCGTTAGCTCGACCAGCTGTGACGCAGTCAGTCTTACTGCCCGTTGTCCCCAAGCTCCTTCAGCTCGACCAGCTGTGTGACGCGGCAGTCTCACTGCACGTCGCCCCCAAGCTTTATCAGCTCGACCAGCTGTGACGCCGTACGACCTACTGCCCTTCGTCGTCCCCCAGCTCCGTCAGCTCTACCAGCTTGTGACGCCGTCAGGCCTTCTGCCCGTCGTCCCCCAGCTCCGTCAGCTCTACCAGCTTGTGACATCGTCAGACCTACTGCCCGTCGTCCCCCAGCTCAACCAGCTGTGACGCCGTCAGCCTTACTGCCTGTCGTCCCCCAGCTCCGTCAGCTCTACCAGCTTGTGACGCCGTCAGACTTACTGCCTATGGTCCCCCAGCTCCGTCAGTGCTACTGCCGTCGTCCCCCAGCTCTGTCAGCTCTACCACTCCACACCATCAGCTATCCCACTTCTGACACCATGTGTGGCGGACACGATTTCGCCACCTTGGCTTGACACGGAATATTTGTCAGGATGCCCCGTGTCGGCCAGGCGCTCTCCGTCCGTTTGGACAAAATATATGCCCGTAGCTTAATGGCTGGAGTTATTAACTGCTCACACGTATCTCAACAATCATTCGTCCATCGACTACAATCGGTCACCTAAACGTCTCGTTCACAGCATCAATCAATTGAGCATCCTTCGAAAAATCAATTTCCCTTGTCAACACTTGTCACAGGTTCTCGTCCCTTGGTTTCACTGCTCCAAGAATTCAAACCAATCATGATGTGTAGGTTGAAAGTCTTTATTGCGATCCATTCAACAATCGGGTAAACTCAGTACAAGTACAGTGCAAACTATGAGAGACTTAGCTTAGGCCAGGCCAACTATCAGGCCAGCCTCGGTGAGGCTGGCCTGTATCGGATACAGTGCAGTGGAAAGCCCTAGATGCACAACCCTGACCATCGTAACAATTTCCCTATACATAAACGTGTAAAAGAACAATTATGTCCTCGTTAGTAAAACAACACTTCAACACAATATTTCTGCTAATCCCATAAAATCTTCACATATAATCTTCAGTATAACCCCTTATTCCTGATTAGATCACTACTATACAAGTAATATCCCCAAAAGAAACATGATAATTGCACCAACATGATCAAAATATGTAATTTATGCTCATTTTCCTTCAGTTTGGTAATTGCTAAATCAACGATGCACCATATTGCTATAGCGCATGCTCGTACAACAGAAAATGCTTAACCTTCGTCCAATACTAAAACACTGATTTGTTACAGTACGTATACGATCGGTAAGTGTTATTTAAATTGGCAACAAGCTGATGCCTAAATGTAGCTAGCTAGCTATCAGCTAATATCTGTTGAGCGTTCAAAGGCGTACGTACCAGCGGCGTCTAGATTCTGACAATCTCATTAAATCGTATGTATTTATACCTCATCCATGTTTGTTTTGTCAATTATAAAAAATTATTTATATATGTGACTTTATATCTTGGAATTTTGATCAATGAAATGACGTTATTTTTGTATTCTGAGTATTTTAAAATACGTTTGGTTAACGTAGTCCCAGATATGGGATTTTGTGTAAACTATCCAAGTTTATAGTTAATACTCGAAGCTTTCTTTGAAGTTTATTGAAAAACTGACATTGATACAACTTTCCTTTGTAACAATTTTACATTATCATGTTGGAAAGATAATATGAATGTCCTAGACTCCTATTAACGTCTGATAATTTTTAGCAAATATGATTCCGAGTGAATGATTGGTTGATTGATTTTTTTTTCTTTTCTTTTTAGCCTTGTTTTTTAGGGCGCCCCCTAAATTTAATTTCACAAACTTAAATTTAGAATGACATCCATACTGTCTTTGACCCCTGACTCTGTCGTGGAGATACCCTACTAAAAGTTAAAACATACCAAAAATCAACTAAAACCACATTGATTGTTCAAATCAAATGAAATGGTCATGATTTAAAACTTAGAAAGTTAGAAGTCGTTGTGTTTCTCACTTTCTTACCTGTTTCATGTCAATTTTCTTATCTTTTATTGAGTATTTTTCAAAAAAGTATAAGTTATAGTAGGCCTAGATCTAGATCTACAGACTTTCTCACGGGATTCAAGGCAAACTAGATCTACTGCACAATAGACTACAAATGCAATTGCATACTGTACTGACGGTAGGGTGTGGGTGCGTGCGTGTGTGAAGTAAGCGACCACAAAGATATTTGCTTAGATTAGATCAACTTAAATGAGGATCTAAGCGATTCATCATTACGGTTGTAACTTCAGTTATTTTTCCCTATCATTGAAATGTTTTATCATTTGTCATCATATACAGATAAGAAGCTGATTCAAGATGGCTGCTCCTAACCACACAATTTACATCAACAACCTCAATGAGAAGATCAAAAAGGATGGTGAGTTTTCTATAATGTAGGCAGCTGTAGGAGAGGGGACTCCAAGAATAATTGGGGTGAAAGCAGAGGAGAGAGATGGAAGATGAAAGGGCCAGGGAATGCAAGACGCAAGAGAGAGATGGATAGGAAGGGACGGGGGGGGGGGGGGGGGGGGGGGGGGGGGGAGGAGGATAGAGAGAGAATCAGCAGAAAAGGAAAATGAGGAAAGAAAGGATTTAGAGATGGGGAGGAAATGAAAATAAGGGAAAGAAGGAGAGATAGAAGAGGAGATACAAATGTAAGATTATCAGGGGGAGAGGGGGAACAATAGAGAGACAGAGAGAGGAGATGTGGGAGGAAAGGAAGAGAGATAAACAGGACATAAGGAAAATATAGCAGATGAAGAGGAGAGAGAGAGAGGGGGGAACAACTGGCAGGAGGAGATAAAGGAGTGGGGAAAGAAGAGTAAGTTGGAAGGAGAGAGAGAGAATCGAGAGGAAAAGGGTGGGAGATAATGAGGGGAGAAGGAGAGTGATAATCATGAAGCGATCATAATAATCTCTGTCGGGGTGGGGGGGGGGGGACAACAGAGATAGGAAGAGAAAAGGAGTTGGGAAATAAGATTGTGGGTTGGAAGTAGAGAGAAAGAAGAGATGAGGAGAAAGATGGGAATGAAGAAGGAAGAAACAAAAAGGGAGAGAGAGAGACAATCATGAAACAATTCTTACACTCCTTGTAATGTTCTCTTTTTTACAGAACTCAAGAAGTCCTTGTATGCCATCTTCTCTCAGTTTGGTCAGATCCTCGACATCGTAGCTCTCAAGACTCTCAAGATGCGAGGTCAGGCCTTTGTTATCTTCAGAGACATCACCTCAGCTACCAGCGCTCTACGATCCATGCAGGGCTTCCCTTTCTATGACAAACCAATGGTGAGAGAGCCTTCTCGTTGATGTGATCGTTTGTTTGTTTTCAGGTTGTCCGTCCGTATGTCCTGTTCTTGTGATCGCGTTATTTCAAGAACCAATCAATAGATTCCTGCAAAACTTGGGTCATGTATGTATCTTGCAAAGCCAATGAATAGATTAGGGTCATGAGGTCAAAGATCAAAGGGTCAAATATGTATATGAAACATAGCTTGTAATCCCGATGTTCTGAGAACCTATTAATGGATTGCAATCAAACTCGAATTAAAACAAATAATTCTGTTTTTGTTTGTAAAATTGCTCCATGGCGGAGGCATCATTTTTGACTGCACGCAGTCGAAGGTCCATCTAGTTTTGCTTAAAATTCCTTTTGGGGTCATCATGGTTCCTTTTTTTGGTCGCACAAGGTTGGCAGCTCTGCTCTCTTTTGAGTCGATGCATTTCACTTTAGAAGTGGTGACAGGTCTTTTTACAAACGCAAAAGTTGTTTTTGTAGATCAAATATTATTGTTCACCTTATCGATTGGAAGGGTTTGATACGCACATATGCCAAACGTTAATGAAGCTCAAATTGAGTAGAGTTCATGTTAGTGTTCATTTATCCTGATAATGGAAAATGTGTACATATTGGTCAGAGTTATGGAACTTTGCTACATACTTAGCCACATTTTATGATGATGCAAACTTAACCATCTTTCGGCTGATTGTTTCTGATGTGCTATTTTGTCTCTGAAAATGTGGACTGAAGTTCAATAATTAATTTCGTCATATACTCTGGACATTGTACAAAAGCATACATTTACTTAATACATATTCTAGAAAATTCCAAAAGTCTTGTGAGAGATTGATTCTTGCGCTGTTATTCTTGTTTTCATTTAGATACTCTTCTGCTACATAATGATATATTAAACGCTGAGAGAAAAAGAAATATCAGGTGTGACAGACATAGTAGTGACTTCAATGGTAGATGTAGAATTAAAAATAATCTGAAGTTTGAAATCAACATTAAGCTTCAACAATGTTTATACCGAGTCACTTTAATATTTGTATTTTGAATTGGTTTGGTTAACAGAGGATAGGTTACTGCAAAACCAAGTCAGATGCCATCGCCAAGATGCAAGGAACCTACGTCCCAAGAGAGAAGAGAGTAGAGAAGAAGAAGGTCGAAGGTCAGTGCTCTAGTCATTGTATAGCCATTTGGTCTAATCTCCCATAAGTCTACTTTTCATTATTATTCAATCCCAGAGACCATTTGTTTTTGCTTTCAAGAGCATGCAAAGAAGCTCATACTTCCTTTTTGGCAAATGTCAACCCGAGCAGAAAACAATGGACAATCTTATTACTATCCACATAGGACAAATGGAATCAACTTGTTTCGAAAGATAGCACTCTCAACTATCCTTCGTGTTTAAACTCTAAAATTATGTTTTCAAACCTATTTCAACAAAAATATTTCCCTAGCTTTTGCTTTCTTTACCATTACGTTCATCAAGCAAATTGTGCCCATCCAGAGTTGAATTTCACTGTTTAAAAAAAAAAATCCTTTTTTAAAACCATTCTTGTGTTTTCTGTAGTATAATGGGCATCATTGTAGCTACTTGAAAAAAGACTACACTTCACCAGATACAAGACTGTGTATTAAAATGGTTGAACCTAGATCACATCTCAATGCCTCGTCTGTTGACTCACAGTAATTGTAAGGTAGATTAACTACCACAATATTTTATATTGGTGTCATTACAGAGCCGGTCAAGGGAAGGAAGAACAGGCAGAACAGACACGCGGACGTGGTCATCCCCCCTCCCTCACAGATCCCTATGCCTGGAGCTCCCCCAGCAGCCAACCAGCCCCCACCCCTCCTGGGTGAGATGCCCATGCAGATGGGACAACCTCCCATTCAAGTACCAACGGCGCCAGCACCAGGTAAGTACCACAGATATTTATAACACTAGATACATGTACTTCTTCTTCTTCTTTTTCTTCTTCTTCTCTTCCAAGGAAAGTGCTGCTTCAAGGCCTTGAAGATTGCGCACTGTATGTGTAATTTGGTTTTTACAGACGTGTATCGCTCAGATATGATTAATTACGTCTCGGGACCAACCTTTAACGTCACCCTCTGAAAGACGTCACTCAGTTTGGAATGGCGTCCGCCTGAATCAGTTTGTAGGCAAAGACAGAGAGCTGACCAAGTGAACGTACCGCTAGACCAACCCACATCTCGGTCTATCTTCTCTTTATCACTGATATACATAGTGCTAGATAGTTCCCACAGCCTGTACCATGGATACACACACTTTATTGACTGCCCTTAATACCAAACAAAATATAAGTAGGTTACTACATGAGTAAACTCCAAGTATGAAGTATTCCCCCCCCCCCCCCCCCAATCAGGGAATGAAGGGACCGCAGTCATGTTCCCCAAATCCCTGGTAAACGGGTAATTTTCACGCAACAAAGTCTGACTCGTAATACACAACAAAAATTTGCCATATTGACTTTACACATCCGACTTTAGGGGGGTGTTTTCAAAATGTGGGAACATGCATACCTGTACCCTAAATAACACTGAGTGGGGGGAGGGGGTATTATTGCAGATCTATGCATATTAGATGGCTGATCACATACAGGCAATTTGTGTATACCATGGTTATTGTACCATCAGAAAAGCAACTTACACATATTCTCTGCAAGTGTTGTCCATATTCATTATTAGTAATTGTAAGAGTAAATTGATGATCATTATTTCTCTCTTTTTTTTTTCTTTCAGTTGTTCCTGATGAGCCTAATAACATCCTCTTCCTCACAAACCTACCTGAAGAAACCAATGAACTCATGCTGGAGGTCTTATTCAAACAGTAAGTATTTCCTTCATTTGTTTACATTTATTTGTGTAGAGAAAAGGGTGGCGTTTTGGTTAAGAGGAAAAATGAGTTGAGTGCTCACCCATTCTTTTGTAGTTTCATGTAGAAGGTAATGATAATGATAATAATAGTGATAATTGTTTCTTATAAAGCAATTTTCCAGTTACACAATTGTCATTATTTTATATATCTTATTATTATTATAGATATCTTATTATTACATATATCTTATTATATATCTTATTAGTTATCCACATGCATATTTTCACAATCACATGGGGGCAATTTCTTCTCTAGAAGGATATAATAATAATGATAATTGTTTCTTATAAAGCAATTTTTTCAGTTACACAATTGTCATTATTATTTATATCTTATTATTATATACATATATATATAGCATTTTTAGAGTTGACAGTATGCAAGGAAAAGAAAAGTACAACTGTTGCCAATTTGAGGAAATGATCCAACCTCCTGTCGTTTTTCATCACAGATTCAACGGCTACAAGGAAGTCCGTCTCGTGCCTGGGCGACATGACATCGCGTTTGTGGAGTTCGCCAACGAGCAACAATCGGGAACGGCCAAAGATGCGTTACAAGGATTCAAAATCACACCGACAAACACTCTTAAAATCGCTTATGCCAAAAAATAGTTGCATTCCCTTTATGTCTATGACTAAAACTGAACATGTACTGTTGCCTATCATTTTGAGATTCCCGTTAATTGTGGCAAAATGGTATATTTCAATTTTTGTTACTGGGTTGAAAGTTATGTATGTCTGACTTTCAACGTAATTCATTTCTTTTATTTAAAGGCCCACTGTGTTGTAGCTATTTGCTCCCTGCCCTCTATATAGAAAACGATGCCTATCAGTGACCATTGGTCCCCCATGATCCTCTTTTTCTTATGTAAATTGAGAGCTGAGTTGATGAGTTAGCCATCTGTCAGTGACCACCCTGGGTGGTCTAATCCCTCCTAGCCAAACTAGTACAGACGGCCTTTAAACTTGAACAAACATATCTGATGAACGGCTCTAACTACAGTTACAGATAGTGATCTCAGCAAGAATAGGGAGATAATTCAGACTTTTTCAATTTGCCTTTGAAGTCTAAAAGATACTACTTTTACAAAAGGAAAAGTTTCTCTCTTGGTGGATTTTTTCTGGGACCTGTTTCACAAAGCCTTTTTTCCAAGACAAATGACAAAAATTAGTGACAAATATGCTGATAACCAAACAGAAGCAAGGATTTCACTAGCTTATAACAAAAAACTGTCATTTGTCACTGATGACAAGTCTTGTGAAATGGGGCCCTGATTGTCATGACAACCCGATCCCACATTCATCACGTTGCTACTTATTGAGAGTCGGCACGTCCACACTGGAAGTGTTTTCCGGTTTCATCCCAGTTGTTCATCCATAGAAGGTGCCATCGAATCTTCACAGTGGGAACAGTGTTATATTAAAAAGGTCAAGTTACATGTTTTCATCCTTCAACATGTGTACAAAATTTTATTTCCTTTTGATTAGTGACCTAAAGGTTTAGGGTTCGTGATAATGAAATAAATATTGTCTTCATCACGTGAAATAGGCCTACCATCTAAATTGTTTTCTGTGTAGATGAATTTTGGGATGATTTTTTTTTCCAGATGGTACCTGATTGTTAATTTTTAAAAAATTAGGTTATATTTTTAATTTTCTTCTCCTTTTGCTAATTTAAACACATCAAAACAAAATTATATGATGATGTGTCTTCAAGTGACGTATGTATTTGGTCATGTATATTGAATACCACTTTAGGATAAGAAATAATTATATTTCCCCCTGAAAAATGTGATATGTCGGTTAAATTTTTGAGCTTTTTCAAAATTGGGAATCATGTAATGTGTTCAAGTGAGTCACGTGATGTTTCTACAAGTCACATGATATGTGTGTTCAAGTCACATGACCTGTGACCTTGATCAAGCTGACCTGCTTTTCCTTGCGTGTCCCATGTTGCATTGCACACTCCTGCACATGGCACGTATCTCTCAACAGCTCCTTCAAAGCTGCTTTCTGATTGGTCGTCGACTGTGGTCACATCCACCAATCACAGCTCAGCTAGTGTAGGTATAACATGGTTTGTATAGAATCACACCACACAACTGTCCATGCATGGGGCTAGTTCAATGACAACTCTGTCAACCCTCTTAGATTTTAGAGGTACCGTTGCCAGAATAATCAGCACAAAATCTGGAAAAGACTTGCTCCTTACAATTGAGGGTAATTATATCTGGAGCCTCTTGCATACAAGTTGCATTTAAACACAACTTTACTCAACAACAAATATGCAACTTAATTTTCAACTAATTTGAGCAATTATTTTGGGCTAGCATCTAATTTTATTTCTGTTTATGTGCATTTCAATGCAGCTTTGTATACAGGAGGTCAACATGTTTTGGGGGTATTTCCAACCTTCCTTTCAAACAAGGTAAAAATATATTTTCATGCTGCTAATTTGGGGTGATGCACTCTCATTTAGGCAAATTTTGGATAACTATATGTAATTATAGGGGGGGGGGGGGCAGGAGGAATTACAGAATTTATATGGTGCCATAATTTGTGTTACATTGTAAGAGGGGTAGTGGGGATGACACAAAAAGATATCAATTGTGGTACGTTGTGATATGTACTGGTAAGTTCTGTCATAAAGTAGATTTGGGGACCTTTTTTCTTTATTTTCCTTTTTAATAGTCGTGATTATTCTCAATGTACATATTCTCTTCATCACTGTGGAAGCAATGTAAAAAAAACGTTAACAATCTTTGCATTGCAATTGTAAATAAACTTTTTTTTTTATTATTCAACAGTATATTTCTTTATCCACTTTGTATGTCTATAATTTACATAAGTTAGTTATGCTCACTAAGAATGTGGGGAGAAAAAGAGTTAAAGAGGAGAGGGTAGAAAGGAAGAGAGACAGAGCGAAGGAGAGGGGGAAGGAATAGAGGGAGACAATGTGAAGGAGAAAGTGAGAAAAGGAGACGGAACGACCAAAAAAGGAAGTGGAGGAAGAGGGTAGAAAGGAAAAGGGAGAAAGAATAGAGGGAGCTGATGTGAAGGAGAAATGGAAAGAAACACTGAAGGAGACGGGAGGAAATGTGATATAGAGAGAAGAGAAAGGGATAGATAAAGAGAAGAGGGTAGGAAGGAAGAGAGAGAGAGAGACAGCAAAGGAGAGGGGAAAGGAATAGAGGGAGACAATGTGAAGGAGACAGACAGAGAACGACCAAAAAAGGAAGAGGAGTAAATGTGGAGAAGAGAAAGAGTTGAAGAGAAGAGGATAGAAAGGAAGAGAGAGAGACAGCAAAGGAGAGGGGAGAAGGAATAGAGGGAGCTGATGAAAAGGAGAAAGTGAGAAATGGAAAGAGACACTGAAGGAGACGGGGGGGGGGGGGGGGTAATGGATATAGAAAGGAGAGTAAGAGTGAACGATAAAGAGGGGAGAAAAGGAGAGAGAGGTTGAGGGGAAGAAAAGTAGAGAGGAAGGCTATAATGTGAAGGAGAGAGACGGAGTGAATGATCAGAAGGGAGATACACAGAGGAGAAAGTGAGATCGAGAGTATAGCTGGGAGAAAGTGATAGGGTATCGTTTTGATGAAAGAGGAGGTAGAAGACAGTGTGAAAGAAAGAAAGAGAAAACCGCAATCTGATCGACGAGGGGGGGGGGGGGGGGGGGGGGGGCAATAGATATTCAAAAAGAGGGGGGGGGGGGCAGAGCGAGATACGTGAAGGGAAGAATGGGACAGTTATTCTATTGACCGTATATGTATTTTAGAAACACAGTAACAAGTCATGTAAATTCAATGGGGCTGCCACAGTTTAGGAATGTTGTCTCGTGCGCTAGCGGCTGGACGTAGCGATTAAAATTATGCGGACGCTAAAAATAGTCTGGAATAAAGACTAACTTTGCAGCTGACACGCGACTTCGATCGTTGCTCACTAAAACAGCTTTAAAAGAGGTAAGATAAGTTTATGTTGACGTTTGACTGGGTTTTTCATTATGAATTTGACTCATGTGTAATGTAGCTTAACGTTTGTGTAATTTATGGAGTCAGTAGAATGACAATCAAAGCTTTAACTTCGTGTGTGATTGAAACGAGTGGAACCAGTCCCACCAATTCTATTCCACGTAATGTGTAAAACAAACCAGAAATGTCTGCAAACTCGTGAGAGTGGAGAAGAAAAAAAAACGGAAGGGGATCCCTCATCATATTTAGCTGTACAGGCATCATGAGCATAGCCGTAGGCTGATACCAAACTTTAATTATGGAGCTAAATTGTGACCGACATTTACTGCTGCGCATGCGCTGAACCCCGGCCCCCCCACTCCGGAATGAATGCATGCGTGTTGCCAAAATGTCCGGTAAAGGGGTACTTTTCGTGCGACAAAGTCCGGCACGAGAATTGTAAAAAAAAGGGGTGTATTTGACTTTTGCCCGGAGATTTCTTGAAAAAGGGGGTGTTTTTTCTTTCATTCTCTCATGAGAAATTATTCCGAATTTAGAGGGGTACATTGAGCATTTTTCCGAATGTAGGGGGGGTCTCCAAGGCAGGAAAAGCCTGCAAAAGCCTGCAAAAAGCCCGCGAAAGGGGGGTTCGGAAATGTTGGCAGTCCTCAGATAGGGGGTGCTTTCAAAAAGAGGGAACAAGCTTATGCGTACCCTAAATAACACTGAGTGGGGGGGGGGGGGGCGGGCGCTGAACAAGGAAATGAAGTCAAACTCAAAATATGATGAGCTGAATTTAGATTAGATCTAGAGGTCTAGACTCTACTTCATTTTGCTGAAAACAATAATTCAGGTCTTCTTTTAAATCTCATTTTCGTCATATTTAACGTACAAACGTGCAAAGTTGTACTATAATGTTTGTTGATTTTTCCAGGGCTGTCAACCCTCCTGCATTTGGAGATAGTCTCACGCCATTGCAAAAAAAAACAAGGATGAGAAACATAAACCGATGACGCAAACAGCCACCATGCTCATTCTCCCGCCGCCCCAAAAGCTCGTAGCGGGAGACTCCCGCCACCACGCCTTCCTCCCACTCTCCCGCCAACGATGTGGAATCTCCCGGGTTTATGAAAAAACCTGCCGCCGAACCGTACCGTATATAACCCCCCCCCCCCCCCCCCCCCCCCCCCCCCCCCCCCCCCCCTAGTCTGGGGATGTAGTCTATTTATAATAAATCTACTCTTCTGCAAATTTTGGTTTTCTAGGATCAAGATCAAAATTAAATGCTCACCTTTCCTTCTAAACTAAAGTAAAGACTTTAAGTTAGTAAAGGCTAAAGCACCGCTGTCTATACATTTTGTTTTCCCATATTTGTCCTTTGATTATTTCAAATGATTCATTTTCTCTCTCTCTGTCTCTCTTCAGGTTTATGGTGGCTGTGTACATAACTTAGAGAAGAATGGCGTCTATAACATGTAGCAATCAACATGTTGCCATCGCAAGTGGGTCTAAAGTGAAGGTGATTTCATACAGGTAAGATGTAAAACAACTGGTTTACTTTAAAAGTAATAGACCATATACAGAAATTGATAGATTCATATCCTTGCTAATATCCTTCTGGTACTGTTTCTGTGAGGGAAGGGGGGGGGGGGGGTTCTTTCTGTTTAAATTACTTTTTTTTTAGTATTGGCACAAGTTGAACATAATAAATAATCCTTAAAAAAACAGACTATATAACCCACTGCTTATGGAGAAAAAAATGTGTTGTATTGTGCTGATATTGGAAATAGAGAATTTAACAGTCAGCATCTGGTAAGATTTAATCCTCACCTGCCCCCCCCCCCCCCAAAAAAAAAAAAATATATATATATATATATATATAGTCTATATATAAATAATAATAATAAATTAATTAATAAATAAGTGAATAACAAGTTAAATAATTGAATAAATATCTAAAATAAATATAAACTTGAAAATTTCTTGCATTAACATTGTTTGTATCTTTTCCTTTTTTTTTTTATTGTTGAATAGCGATCCAAGTCAGGTGGTGGTGTTTGATTTGAAAGGTAAACCAAAGGAGACGGACGAGAAGACGAGTGAAAAGCAGAAAGAAGAGAAGAAAGCTGAAGAGGAAACAGCCGCAGGAATGTAAGAAAGAACTTGGAAAGAAGTTCTTAGCTTTAAATATTCAAATTTGTAGCTGGTATGATATTGATTAATGTCATGTATTAATAGATGAAGGAATTCGCTCCAAATAAAAAGAAGAAAAAAAAAAGATCCTTTGTGACCGTAAATCTGTGTTAGGAAATGCTGTACCTTATAAGAAGGAAAGAAAGAAAGAAGGAAAAGAACTTTATTAATGTGATTTACACTTGGTTTATAAATTACTTTGATAAAAAAATGTCTATTGAAGTTTGATATAAACTTCTGTCCTCTCCATTTACTGCTTTTCTTTCTCTTCCTCTCTCTATTTCTCTCTCGCTCTCTCTCTCTCTCTCTCTCTCTCTCTCTCTCTCTTTTCTCTTTTTTTCTTTCTTTTCACAATCTGTATATGAAACCTATCAATTTCATAATAGCCCAACCGATCCAAACATCAGATGTAACAATAAGATTGCAATTTGGTAATGCAGAGATATCATATATTCATTACATTTGATATGATCGCTATATTTTCTACGCTAGCGACCCTCTGCTTTTCTCTCTCTCTCTCTCTCTCTCTCTCTTTCTCTGTCTATCTATCCCACTCTCTTCTTTCTATTTATCTTTGTCTTGTACTTCTTCTCTATCTCACCTACGTCTTTCACTCTTTATGTGGAACCATTTACTGTGATGATAGCATAACAAATATCAAAGTCACCCATACAATACCTTGCAGTGATATTGATGCAACACCTGTTATCTGATTTATATTTTTCTTTGCTAGCGACCATCATGTTCCGACAGGGCGTGTTCTGGCTACAGCATTCTCAAGGAGTGGTGCACACTTTGCAGCGTGCACAGATGACAAGGAGCTGACAGTCTGGAGCACGGACCCCAGCTGGAAGAAGCTTTGGACAAGGTAGGGATAGATAGGAAGAAGGAACAAGAAGAAAGAAAAGGAGAAGGAAGAGAAAAGAAGAGGAGGGGAAGGGAAGCTGAGAGGAAGAGGGAGGGGGGAGCAGAGAGGAGAGGTGGGGAGAGGAAGAGGTAGTAGGAAAATAAAGAGGGAGGAGGCAGCAGAGATGAGAAGAGAAGAGAAGGAGAAGGAAGAGAATGAAAAGGAGAAGGAAGAGAAAAAACAAAGTGGAAGGGAACCCAGGGGAAGAGGGGGAGGGAGAGAATAGAGAGGAGAGGTGGGAAGAGAGATGGTACTGTGAAGGGAGAGTGAGAAGTAGAAAAAAAATAAAGAGAGAGGAGGCAGCAGAGATGGGAAGAGAAGAGAAGAGCTGTGGTAGGTCTGTGATAAGTAGAAGTGACGGAATGAGGACGGGAAGAAAGAAAAAACATAGAGAAGGGAAAGGGAAGCTTCTAAAGAGGAAAATGGAGGGGGAGGGAACAGAGAGGAGAGATAGGGACAGGGATAGTAGCAGCAGAAGGGAGAGGAAGAGGTCGAAGAAAAATTAGGAGGAAGGAGTCAGAAGAGATGAGAAGAGAAGAGAGAAAAAGAGAGGAAGAAGTTGGAGATGAGAGGGGGTAAATGAAGATTTTGATTTGTTTTAAATTGTTTTTAATCTTTACAATTGTTTCTTTGCTGAAAGAGGCCTTTGTTCAAGCACGAATCATCCGGCAAACCCTCAGTTAAACCCTCTTTGTGCCTCCAAGTTTATACAAATTTATAAAATACAGAATTTCAGGAGACAGATCCGTTGATAATCGTTCCCATTTTGCTTGCATTGAACACAAAGCTCATGCATGAATCAATTTATTTGGATGAAAATATGTTGATTGGATTGCATCTTCTGTATCTGATATACCTACAGGACAGTGGTGAAGCGCTGCATGGCTGTGACCTTTGATAACAGTGAGACTGCCCTCTATGTTGCCGACAAGGCAGGTGACGTCTATCGATTTGAGATTGGAGATGAGAATAAGGAGCACACCCTGATTCTCGGACATGTATCCATGTTATTAGATGTGGTAAGATCTCCTTCTCAGATACAGTCAAACCAGGGGGGGGTGTTTCACAAAGATCCTAAGTCAAACTTAACTCTAATTTGGACTTAAATATTATGGAGAGCCATTTGTTGCCTTAAAACGAAACATATTCAAAAGCAAAAATTCAAGTATTTTAGACTTTTCATAAATTCCACATCAAAAACGTGAAATTTCCTTGATAATTAAAAATGTGAATGATTTGAACTAACATTTTATGCCTTTTATAATAATTTTTACAAAATATTCTCAAAGATGCTAATGGCTTTCATTATTTTTAAGTCCAACTTAGAGATAAGTTCAACTTAGGATCTTTGTGAAACACCTCCCTGTCTACAGTGGTCTTTGTAGACAGGTGGTTTTTGAAGACAGGTTACTTTATTACATGTTTCAATGAGAAACCATTTTCAAGGGAAACAAAAAATGTGGTCTTTGTAGACAGGTGGTCACTAAAGCATGTTTGACTGTATATATATTTCCACTGGTGACCGGCTCTTGGCATGTTTTACCCAACACCAAAATGTACATGTGGGACTTTTATGAAAGTCCACAGACAATGCACGTTATTTCAGAAAGAAACAAGATATATGTTAGGAAAATTCAGCCTTACAAAGTTGGACAAAAATGTTCTGTTACAACAATATGATTTACCCAGTGTCACCTATGATGTCTTCTATATATGTATTTATTCTTATATTTTATGTCACCTTATAAATGTTTATAGTTGTGCATTGCTCTCGTTTCAATTCAGTCCCATACCTTGCTCTATGTGTTATGATTTCATCCAGTTCCAAGCATAGGTTGTTATGTTATATTTTCATGACAGCAGAGAGGTATGAGATCCGAGTTGGCCATCTTGCTAATGCATACAGTATATATGTTCAGTCCCATTTATTGCTCTTGGTGTTATATTTTCCTTCATTTTCCTACCATGCTCTCAATATTATGTTAGTCAGTCCCAAACATTGTTCTTTATGTTATATCTGTCTGTTATTCAGGTAGTATCACCGGATGATAACTTGATCATGACGGCTGAGAGAGATGAGAAGATCAGAGTTAGCCATCTTCCTAATGCATACAATATACACACTTTCTGTATGGGACACACAGAGTGAGTAAACCATGATCGATCCTGGGGTGTTTCACAAAGATCTTAAGTCAAACCTAACTCTAAGTTGGACTTAAAAATTATGGACAGCCATTTGTAGCCTTAAAATAAAATATTAAAAACCAAAAATTCAAGTATTTTTTATAGACTTTTTATAAATTCCACATCAAGATCATGAAATCTTCTTGATAATAGAAAATATGAATGATTTGAATCAACATGCTTTTATGACTGATTTGTCTCATGTAATGCACTGTGCCTCCCACCAACTGCCCCATAAAGAAAAGTCATCATCATCAATTTTCCTTACCCAAGACTCTCAGAGAGATGTGGGAATATGCTATCTCGCTGTATGTTCACACATTAATGGCATTTCCATCAGATCCGGTGTCAGAAAATTATGACATGTTTACTGCCAACAGTATGTCTTTAACTAATCAGATTTTTCTCTATTTCCTCTCCTTACCATACAGGTTTATCAGCAGATTAGCCATGTTGGGATCAGATCATCTTATCTCCTGTGCAGGGGTGAGTGAATACTTGCAGGATCCCTATGGCTGCAAAGCGTTGCCATGTGTCTCTAGTAAAACTATGAATGAGAAACAAACAAATTATGATACTGTGGATGGCAAATTTACCCATCCCCAGAAAAAAAAAACCTTTAGACTTGTGGTCTGGTCATATCCCAGGGGATGGCTTTGGGGGACCAAAGCAATTTTCAGGTTAAAAGTAGTATGTATTGACATATATAATTAATAATTGCCAGTACCCTTGTCATAGAGAATTAGCCCTTGGTATTTTTGTCTGATATTCCCACTAAGGGTGTTTACCAGGTGAAACCACAAGTTTTTAAAATATAGCTTTGCCAAAGCTGAACGACTCAAAATAATTTTGTGAACATTTCATTCATGTTAAAAGTTTCTAATCAATAGTAGACATCAGCGAGATTCTTGACGTCGTATCTATTCTTTCTCTTTCTCCACCTTGAACAGGACTCAAGTATGATAATGTGGGACTACAGGGAAGGAAAGGAACTCTGTAGAACCTCCTTTGAATGGGCCAGACCTTCATCGGAAGAACGTGGCCAGAAAAACGAGGCCACCGTGACGTGCATATCTTGCTCGAAGGAACACAATCTTGTTGCTGTGACTGTATTAGAGTGAGTGACTTCTTATGATGCATCGATGTGTTGTTAAGGTTAATTTCCATGTGATCAAACGCTGATTTGTGTTTTACAGTCTATCTATTCTATATCTGGGGAGTGTTTCACAAAGACTAAGATCGACTTTAGGTTGGACTTGAATATGGGAGGCCATTAATGCCACTCGTTGCTCTCACCATTGGTCTCTCAATTATGATCTTTAGATAATGATTTTTCCTTCATTAATGAATTATCAAAACAGCTTAATTCTGTAGATGTGTGACCATGATTTGTACGTCCCTTGAGAGACCATTGCCAGTAAATGGTGAGAGCAAACAGTGGCATGAATGGCCTGCCATAGTTGGGTCCAACTTAAAGTCGATCATAGTCTTTGTGAAACGCTCCCCTGGTCTAAAATCATTGCCTTCACCCATTTTATGCAGAGATGCTCCCAACATTTCCTCCTGCATTTTTGCTCTAGGCTTCCTGAGATATGGAGTTACCGTTTGAGTTGCAATGAGTTTTAATGTTAGATAAAATGTTACAGTTAGAGTTACGGGTAGGTTTAGGTGAAGTGATATGTCTAATTTTAAAGTTAAGAGTTATGTTAATGTAAGGATTTGGCCACGGAGCAATTGCCGCAGAAGCAAGAAGAACCCTTGTATTATCCATATGATCTAATCAACAAGTTGTCCTAGTTCTCCCACATTACTTGGTCTAATGACTAATCGGGTACCATTCATCAACTGCATATTGACAAAAGATTTTAACACTCTCTTGTTGAGTGGACAGCTTGGAAAGCTAGCAGCTCGAGTGAATTTAGAGATGGTGCACATTTTGCCATTATCCTTTTTCTTCCCACTTCTTAGTCATTCCACTGTCCCAATCTACCACATCAAGACAGAGAAAGATGGGCGTAGGACATTCCAAGAGGTCACTAGGGTCGAATGCAAGCATCCTCCTTGGTCTGTGACCTTTGACCCCAGTGGAAGACTACTGGTCCTAGTACCCGACCCTGAGGCACCCCTCCTTGTATTTGCGGTAGAAACGAATGATGATGGGGTCTTACAGGTAAGATTTCCTTTCAGTACAGGCTTTAGTTGATGTTATTCTTTTGATTGGTATTGGATTACCTCTTACTGAAATTTTAGGAACAGTTTATTCTTTGTATGAGCCTGAACAAGAAATATGGAATTGTATTCACCATTGGTTAGCCCACTTGTAGCTCTCAGCAGTTTTGATATCAATGAAACAGTCAATTTTACAGGACCTAGCTTTGGTTTGATATCAGCATTAGTCCACCTTACCTTTACTTCATAGATGTATTTTTGTCATGCCTTTGTTCATACCGGTACTTTATTTTCTTTCTAGGTTTCGAAGGACCTGTCAACAGAGGGCAGTGCAGCACTTCTGGCCCAACAGGTACAGCAAGACTGGGAGTTCTTGAAATGTAAGTACATGATATGATGAGGATGATAACGACGATATCATCATCATCTAGTGCCGTCCCTTCGGAAGGGTTTGGCGGCTATCCACCTCCATCGCTTTCTGTCATGTACCCTTGTCCTAACCTCTCTGTAGTTAAGACCAGTCCATTTCTTGACATCATCAAACCAAGTGATTCGCTGTCTACCTCTTTCTCGTTTACCCTCTACCATCCCTTCCAGCAAGATCTTCTGCAACCCTCCTCCTCTCATCACATGACCAACATACACTAGTTTTCTCTTCTGCACTGCGTTAATGATGATAACGATTATGCTAATTGGTAATGATGATAATTTGTATCTACGTTATTTTTTAAATGCCAAAGTATATCTTGGGCATTTACTTTTTTATTTGGAATTTCGGTGCATAGTTCACTGTTCAGTTAACATACAGGTTAGATCCAGGGGTTTTTCACAAAGATCCTAAGTCATACTTAACTCTTATTTGGACTTAAAAATTATGGAGGGCCATTTGTAGCCTATAAGAGAAATATATTCAAAAGCAAATATTCCAGTATTTTCGACTTTTATTAATTCCACATCAAGGACATGATATCTCCTTGATATTTAATGATAATATGAAAATATGAATGATTTGAATCAACATTTTATGCCTTTTAAAATAATTTGAAAAATATTTTCCTAGCTTCTGACGGCTTTCCGTGATTGTTAAGTCCAACTTAGAGATAAGTTCAAGTCTGGATCTTTGTGAAACATCCCCGTGATCTACTGACTTTCTCATCTTCCATATGACCACAGGTTCTTGCGATGTCCAGAGTGTCTTCAAAGGTCTTCACAAGGTACCCTTTGACAACATGTCAGACTACCTCCAGCGAAAAACAGGAGAGGATGGACAACGACCAGACAAAGAAAGGCCCACGGAGGAGAGCAAGGAGATGGAACAAGAGCAAAAAGCGGCCCATAGAGGGCGCTACAGGCAATGGTGATGCTGCTAAAAGGACGATGCTGGATGAGGAGGATGACGAGGAGGGCGAAGAGGAGGTTGATGATGAGATGGAGGCAGTCGAAACAAATTCATAGCGAAAATGGATGTACTTATCTCATCCTCTATTGTCGACTTCGAGACAGCTAAAAGGACTATGGTAGATGAGGAGGAGGATGATGAGGAAGAGGAGGAGGTTGATGATGGAAATGATGATTCGGTTGAGATGGAGGTGGTTGAAGCGAATTCATAACCATAGTAAAATGGATGTACTTGTCTCATCCTCTATTGTCGACAGCTAATGGATTTAAAGAGAGAGGGCACGAGCTTTAGACAAGGTAGAAATAGACAGAAAGAAGGAACCAGAAGAAAGAGAAAAAAAGGGGAGGGAAAGAGAAGCTGAGAGGGAAACGGAACAGAGGAGAGAGGAGAGGTAAGAAGAGAGATGGTACTGCAGAATAAGAGACTTTCTTCATGCTTATTGACTTGACTGAATTTATCAACGCTTGGATCACAGGAGCAGGAATAACCAGACCAAAGCACTTTTACGAATTGAATGTCTTCATAAACACATTAGGATTGCCAGCATCCTTGTTGGGATAATTTGTCTTCATCAGAATTTGTTCATTCTTATTGTTAGCCAGCGTGTCGTGTACTGGCAAGAAATCCCTCAAGGATTGTAACATTTAGTGATGTTGAAAATGATCGTGATGATAATAATGATGAACACCGATTAGATTAGTAATGACTATGTGGATAGAGGAAGCTTTAGATGAGATCTTAAGTTAAAGTGACTCTGTAACATTGCCTCAGATTCTGAAACAAAAATCCTGGATTTAGCTCATGCTGCAATCATAATTAAAAACATTTAGGTCGGTCAGGAATCCCATGACTTTTACAAGCCGATGGCCTGTCTGATTATTGAGATATTTATGATTGGAAATCATAATTTCATTTTTTGTTTTCTTAACGTTTTTTATAACACTACAGTTTATTGGAGAAAATGAGTATGGTAAAACCGGTCACTCAAAGATTTTAACTTTTTTGAGGCACTTCCTGATCATTTTGAAGCGCAATTTTTTTTAGGGCTTCAATATCATACCATATCACAGGCAAATATAAGACGTAGGGCCGTGCATCTCAGATTCAAATTGTTAAACGATGCCTTTAACTCGAGCATGGATCGGTCAAATGAAAATCCATATTTCAGCTCCAATCTGAAGGCAATGATGAAAACAATGTCATTGGAGCATTTGAAGTAGATAATGGTCCACTCCCTCCATTTCCTTGGCCTTAAAGCAACCAATCATTAACTACATTTTTTTCCAAACAGCTCCAATAAACAGTAAGCCTGTCTATAGCGACCGCCTGAGGAAACACAAAAAGTGGTCTTTGTAGACAGGTTCCTTTAGTACATGTTTCAATGAGAAACAATTTTCAAGGGAAAACAAATGTGGTCTTTGTAGACAGGTGGTCACTAAAGCAGGTGTGACTGTAAAGAATAAGACCCCCAGCATTATGTTACCCGGTATGTCATTAAGTACTATAATTTAGGCACATTATATTTTGTTGATGATTTAACATAGTGTAACGAACCAGTTCGCCACAATTTAAGTTATCTTGCAGAAAACGTAGAGGGCGCAGTAAGCTTTTGGGGCGTAAGGGCTCAGAGCGCGATTACGGCCGCACCATGCGTAAAGCAGCTCTCAGAGCGTCTCAGAGGCTATAAATACCAGTATTTCATGGTAATTTCGTCACCTCGACGCTGGCTCTCGTCTTGGTCAGATAGCGAACTCTCCGCTTTGCTCCAACTGAGCTAAAATAAGGAAAAGAATTGGAGGCGAGAAATAGAGTTCCTACAAAAGGCAATCCCTGCCTTTACTACTCGTTGAGATTAATCCAGGTAATTGGTGTCGGTGTTAACTATGATAACGTGTTGGAGATGTTGACTTATGTTTGTATTATTAAAGTATACAGTTAAACAATCCATCGTTTCATAACGTGTGATTAGTTGAGTCTCCATAGACTGACGTAATATAACCCTCTCATAGAGAATACACATCCACCTATCCAAAACACCTCTCATCTCCACACCCATATATTTTGGGAAAACGGAGCCATGTCCAGGACTCTAGACTACAAGCAAATAGAAACCGCTCGCATTAGTCAGGATGACAAACTCTTCGTCAGATGATGGTGATAGAGGCAAGGAACAGGCCAGCCCTCCAGCATCCAGGACCCGTTCTAAGATGGAGGGCCGTAACAATAGTGATTTGTATCTTCTTCTGCAAAATGTTTCAAATGGACTTTATGAATACATACCGTAACTTGAAAACAAATCATTAAATTTCATTTCTTTTATATGATGGTGTCCTATAATTTTCTTATGTATTGTATTGTATTGTATTTAATTCATCAATATCAATTTTGGTATTTGATGATGATGGTGAGATAATCAGATAGCTACCTGTATCAAAGATAGGCGATGTTAATGATTCATGATGACCGTGGTGTTGACGATGATCAAGACAAATGCCATTCCTTATCCCCATACGCTAAACCTAAACAGGACTTAATAGAGTAAATATTGCCATCGCAACACACATCATCGACATCTCACAACATAACTTTAGTTTACTTTCCTCTTACATAAACTCCTCAAAAAAAGTTTTGCAATTCAAGTTTTGGTGTTGATATCTCTCTTGTTAGTGTATTTATATTTTATGTCGGTATCATTGAAAAGCCTGTTCATTTCCCTTTAATAATAATAATATTCTGTGTTTATATAGCGCTCAATACATAGATTCGACGATGTGCCTAAGCGCTTTACAGATATTACCCCGGTCATCGGATTCAGGCTTACCCGCACACAGTGTATGCACATTCCAGCCAGTCGCCATTTTACAAGCGCACACTTGCTTGTTCACCCACATTGACGTTCGCATCCTACCGGGTACCCACTTAACACCTGGGTGGAGAGTAGCAAGTGCAGGTAAATATCTTGCCAAAGGATATTTGTGCCGTGTCGGGATTAGAACCCTCGACCCTCGCATCTCCAGTTAAGCGCCTTCAGTGAAAAAAATACACGGGGGCTCAGGGCGAAATAGCCCCCGAAACGCCCAAAGAGCCCTCGAAGATCAGAAAAGAGCCCCCATAAATTTGCATAGAGTTCAATGCAAAACAAATTTTAGAGTGTTATTTTTATGCAGGCAAGCTTAAAAAGTAGCCCCCGAAAAATAAATATTAATTTTTTCCCTGAGCGCCTTAAACCACTTTTACAGATGTTTATGGTATGGAATGTGCAGTAACCATTGAAAATTATCATAATTAAATTCTTTATTTGTTTGGAGGATTGCTTGTGTTTCGAAGGAATAACAATTGCCCCATATTCATGTTTACTGCACAGTCCATGATTACATAATCATTATATATGGGGCAATATCAATCAAGTATGATAACATGAGAGATATAAACGCTAAAACTTGAATTGCAGAGCCTTTTTTGAGAAGTTAACATTCTCTCTTAAAGGTAAAGACCAGTATTGGAAACGCCCCAATTTAAAAAAAAAAAGTAAGCTCTTATTACCAATCATGTGAAAGAATATGTTTTGACCAATACATGATGATAACAATTTTGCCGGGAAACCGCCTACTAATTGATATATTTGGTAAATTATTTTATCTATTGGTGTGTGAGAGATAAACGCGTGTGCGTAGTCCCATATACATCTTTCAGTGCTTGTAAGTACTTTACGATGACTGGTCCAAATTTCTTATCATTTTGATGATTCGAGAACCTTGCAGTACACACCAATACTTATATGCTAGATGATCAACCTTTTCTGATCGATTCCACAATGTTTCTTTAACCAAGTTCTTTCCCTCTTTACCAGTATGCATGAAATGTATAGCATCCTCGACACATTATAAAGCAAAACAAATCACAAAATTTTGTACATGAAAAATTTGTTCAGTTTATTATGTGAAATATTTACAAAAATTTACAATTTCCCTCTTGAGAAATACAGGTTAATATGCCATATTTGATTCTCCAATTAAGCCCTAGGTCTGGTATTGTACTAATTCAGGATTAAATTCATGTTGCAATAAGGAAGCTTAACCCTCATGTGTAGCAGAACACATACATGTCTAAGGAATGTTGGATGTAATCAAAATCCTGGAGGGTCAATACACAAATTAATTATTAGATCCCTTGAAGGTAGTCTTGTTGAGTTTGGTGATGATTTTTTTTTAAATAATATGATTCTCAAGATACACATATTCAGTGCAATTTTCACTGCACATTGATGACTATAAAGAGAGACAAAGAGAGAGAGAGAGAGTATGAGAGAGAGTGAGAGACAAAGAGAAAGAGAGAGAGGGGGAGTGGAGGAGAATGAGCAAAGAGAAGAGATTCTCAAAAAATACGCCTTACTGAATGATAAAAGCTTGAGAGTGAGAGGGAGGGAAGTAAGAGAGTGGGCAACAGTATAAGAAGATGGAGGGATATAAAAACTTAAAGAGGGCTTTCAAATATGGCAAAGGCAGAATGGAGAAGTCCTGTTCAAGACCAAGTTAGTGCACTTGATAAGGCCTTCATTCTCAACTACCATCTTTCTCTGACATTCTTGCACTAAAAGGGAATCCCGATTACACCATCACGTAGATAAATAGTTGTTTAAATTGCATCTAAGCCGAGATAGTATTTCTCCCCCTTCTGCTCATGTATCTATCAAGATAACCAGTGATAAATAGATTGCAGTTGTATTTGAGACAACCTTTGCTATTTTATCCACCTTCGGCTAATGCATCTGTCAAAGCAGCACAATCTTTCGTTAGCTATCTAGATGAGACAGTCCTCGCCATTTCATCACCTTCTCATAATGCCTTTGTCAAGACAGCAGACCAGGCGCAGTGACAAACAGTTTCCAGCCACACATGAAATGGTCTTCGCTATTTCTCCACCTTCTGTTTCTTAATCGCTCCTATCGATGAGATGGCCGTTGTCTTGGATCCTGCGGCTGGGGTGGTCGTTGAGATGCCCATTGAGGTGGGGATGGTGGAGGTGATGAGGGCGATAGTTTTCAAGTCATGCACAAGTTAGCCTTTGCTATTTCTACACCTTCTGCTTCTTAATCGCTCCTATCAGCGAGATGACCGTTGTCTTGGATCCCTGGCCGACGTAGTAGTCAAGACGACGGTCGAGGCTGAGATGGTGGTGGTGGTGATGAGGGCGATAGTTTCAAGTCATGCATAAGATAGCCTTTGTTATTTCTCCACTTTCTGTTTCTTAATCGCTCCTATCGATGAGATGACAGTCGTCTTGGATCCCGCTGCCGAGGTGGTCGTCGAGACGCCCGTTGAGGTGGGGATGGTGGTGGTGATGACGGTGATGATGGGGCGTTGCATCAGCGGTACCGGAGCGGGGAGGGTTTGAGCTGGATTGTCCCACTTGCTTTTCCTCTTTTTCTCTTCTTCTGATCCAAGGCAGAAAGGCAATGGGAAAGGAAAAGATGAAAAATAATGAGGAAAATTCTTCTACTGACATATATATATATATATATATATATATATAATAAAAATTGATGAGGCCAAGTTTTCATGACAGGAAAATTGGATTCTTTTGTTTCTTCACATGTAAAAATGTAGTTAGAGATCATGCTGAATGCACTGTAATAATTATATTTCTATTTGAGAATTTTGAAATGAATTCAAGAAATATAAATCAATGTCTAACCATAAATTGATACAACTCCACAAACGAACAAAAATGACAGCACACACCATCACCAAACACCATTATCAAAACTCTCTAGCCACCAAATTCATCAAACATCACAGCTCTACATACCATGGCTGGTACCCCGATTGGTGGGTCATGTCAATGATACCATGTATTCCTACGATTTTCACCACCAAGCATCATGAGAAAATCCTAGTCACAAACGCCATCACAAATTGTCGCCCAAGCTCTCCCTATCATGTTAGGTGACAGAAAAGTGACACCTGCCAACGCAAATCATTAGAGCTTTACATACCATGGCCGGTACCCTAAGTTGTGGTGAACACCAATGGTAACCACAATTTCCTGTGGTTCTTTTCTACAGATATCAACACCATCAAATACACATCATCAAAACTCTACAGCCACCAGTACCACGAGACATCATCTTCAAAGCTCTACATACCATGGCCGGTTCCCTGATTGATGGAGGTTAATGGTATCACTATTTCCTGTGGTAATTTTCTACAGATATCAACACCATCAAAACTCTCCAGCCACCAGCATCATGTGACATCAACATCAAAGCTCTACATACCATGGCCGGTACCCTTATTTGTGGTGGATATCGCTGGTACCACTATTTCCCGTGGTAATTTTCTACATAATCAACACCATCAAATACACATGATTAAAACTCTACAGCCACCAGCATCACGAGACATCATCATCAAAGCTCTACATACCATGGCCGGTACCCTGATTGATGGTGGAGGTTGATGGTACTGCTACTCCTGTGGTACTCGTGACCAGCGGTGCCTGGATCTGTGTCTTCCTCACCACGCCAGTCACAAACTCCACCTTGGTCTTCTCCTTCTTGTCTTTCTCTTTCTTCTTCTGTATCTCCTCTCTCTGTGCTTTGGCTAGAATCGGTACAAAAGTAGAACATTCATTCTTTGTTTTATCTCTGTTATTTACTACAGGATTCACTACCAACCTGAAGGAGTTTATCCCAAAGCCCTGTGCAAAACCAAGTGGCAGCGACCTCCCAAGAAAAGCCTGGGTCAACCTAAACCGTATCAGAACTGGAGTTGGCCGTACACAATATTTCCTACATAAAATTGGAGCTGAATCATCACCAAACTGCGCCTGTGGGGAGATCCAAACTATGGATCATGTCATTGATGATTGTCCGATCTACAAATCCCCTCACGGTGCTTCAGGACTTCGCGAGCTCGATGATGAAACAATCTGTTGGCTTAATAAGGATCTTCCTATCTAGATGATGTACTCCCTGATATTCTTTGCACGAACGAACTACAGGATTCACACACAGTTGTTGAATATGCTATTCAGCACCACTACTGAGATACTCCCAAGTATACTTCAGGATATTAAAAGAAAGCTATCTAAGCTCACGTCTTCTTTGTGGTTATACTTGACACGGTCTTTTAACAAATTTGTTTGTTTGGGGAGGGAATACTTTGATCTAAATGGTTTATATTCAATAGGGCTTTGGCCCATCAGGTGTCATTTGACAAAATGAAACCCTTAACTTAAACCTGTTGTTGAAACAGTTTTACCTTTCAAACAAAAGAGGAGTGAAGTGGATATCACAAGAGCTGTGACTTACCTAGAGCCTCGTAGTAAGAGCTTTCTTTCCAGCTGTAGGGGTCGTACATGTCTTTTGGATAGTTTGTACCTAGCTCGTCGACGCCAAGAAAGTTGATCATTTTTTCATATATACTGCAGAGGAAAAGTAGAAATAGGAAATAATACAATGAAATGCATTATGACAGTCAAAGTTTTTGACTTGACTGCACTGTAGCTAATTAGCTTGTACCGGTAGTTACAGTCATTTCTTTCAAATATCTCCCACCTACCCCTTCCCTCCATTTCCTCCCTCTCTTCTCTCTCTCTCTCTCTCTTGTCCCTCTTTCTTCCCATGTTCCAACGTTCTCTCCCCATCCCTCTCTCTCTTATCCTTTTTTCTTCCCACCCTCTCTCTATCTCTCATTTCTCAAAAATGAAAGACAGGAGTTTGTGCTTGTAATCTAGTTAGCTAGTTGGCTGGTAGTTCCACAAATCTTGAGTCACTTGAATTGCCTCACCCCTTCTCTCTCTATTCACATTACCCCCACTGCAGCTAATAAGCTTGTAGTTACATTCATTTCTTTCAAATAACTCCCCCCCCCCCCTACTTTCCTCCCTCTCTTTCTCTTTTTCTCTCTTTCCCTCTCTTGTCCCTCTTGCTTCCTAACTTCTCTCTCTCATGTCCTTCTTTCTTCCCACGCTCTCCCCCCCCCCCCCCCTCTCTCTCTCTCTTGTACCTCTTTCTTCCCCCACGCTCGCTAGCGCTCTCTCTCTCTCTCTCTCTCATTTCTCACAAAATGAAAGACAAGGGTTTGTGGGTGTAAACTATTTGGCTGGTAGTTCCCCAAATCTTGAGTCACACAAATTGCCTCACCCCCTCTCCATCCTTGTCTCCCTCCTCCTATCTCTGTCTGTCTGTCTTTCCCACCCCCTCCCTCCTTCCTTCCTTCCTTCCTTCCTCCCTCCCTTCCTTCCTTCCTTCCTTCCTTCCTTCCTTCCTTCCTTCCTTCCTTCCTTCCTTCCTTCCTTCCTTCCTTCCTTCCTTCCTTCCTCCCTCCCTCCCTCCCTCCCTCCCTCCCTCCCTCCCTCCCTCCCTCCCTCCCTCCCTCCCTCCCCTCTCTCCACTCACCTTGGATTACGGAAGTCTTTTCTTCTTTGGATGATTTGGTTCAGATTTAGGTTCTTCTTGTAATAAGAGCTTATTTTCTCCTGCAACAATAGAACATAGAAAAGACAATTCAAATGAATTAGAGAAATACAGTTGAATATTATCAAGTGGTCTTAATCATTTTATCTTAACATTTTAACATGTGAATTTACTTCAGCAACATCACCATAATCATCATCAAATATTATAATGCCGGTTGTAATTGTCATCCTTGCCGTAATCATCGCGTCATCTTCATCATAACCATCATCATCATCATCATCATCATCATCATCATCAACATCAACATCATTATCATCATCATCATCATCATCATCATCATCATCAACAACATCATCATGAACATCACTACCACCACCACCACCACTTTCATTATAACTAAATTGCCATCATCATCATCGTCACTACAATCATCTCCATCATCATCAACACCACTACCACCACCACTTTCATTATGACTATTGCCATCACCATCACCATCATCATCATTACCTGAAGATGTCTGGAGCATCTACCCGGGGGTTCTGGAGGTAGAGTTACTTCCTCCGCGCTCAGCCGACGAATCTTTTGTGACAACGCCGATTCTGGTAATGACATGGAGGCATTAAAGTAGGAGCTGTCGACAAGCTGAAAAGACAAAGAATGGCAAAAATGCTAAGTACATATTTTTCCTCTACATGGTACCTGAGCATTAATACAAATTCTAAGAAAAAGTGGTGTTCTTTCAGCAATCAAGGATTTTAAATATGGAGTAGTAAAAATGCCCCCCACCCCCCTTTCCGAGAAGAAAGCATTAACCTGAATGATGCATACTTTAATCTAACAAAGGCTATGATTGCAGGGCCCTCAAGGAGAACAGTATTAACACCAATGAGGCTACCCAAGTAAACAAAGCATATTACAATCATCATTACTACTAGTACTACTATTACTCCTACTACTACTACTACTACTACTACTACTACTTCTACTACTTCTACTACTACCTACAACTACTACTACTACTTCTACTACTACTTCTACTTCTACTACTACTATTAATATTATCACCTTTCCTTTGTCAACTTTGACCCTGTCTTCAAGGTCATCCCCCGGCGAGAGCTTTGCTTCCAACCATGATTCGTCATGGTAGTCGCCCTCCTCTCCCCCACCCTCCTTCGATCTCCTTCCACCGTCATCGTCCTCGCCCTCGTACGCCACAAGGCCTGTCGTCCTCGTCCCCTTGCTCTCCTCTCGTTCGTAGGACACCAAGCTCGGGGCGTTTGATGATGGACCTGAAATTAGATATTAATGGAGAGTTTCATTATAATATGTTCATTTATGTAGCGCTCTCAAACAATTGGTTTCACAGTGCTTAATATTGAATAAAGGTGGGGAAATCAGTTAAATAATGCGTCTTAAAGTTGTCTAGTGTAGTTTGCTGTACGGTTGATCCGGGGCGGTTGATTCCAGAGACGGGGTGCATATGATTGAAAAATGAAAAGCACTGTCATATTATGTCAATGTGACCATCCCTTACATGTACACGCATGCATCTTGTTGCAGCCTATCTGCACTAGTTTGGCCAGGAGGGACTAGACCTCCCTGCGAGGTCACTGGAAGGTAGTTATCTCATCAAATCAGCTCTCAATAAAGATAAGAAAAAGGAAACCACGGGGATCAATGGATACCGCTTAGGCATTGTTGGCTATATAGAGGACGAAAGTAAGTACAAGTAGTGCTGTCCCGCTTTAATTAAAGCCTTCCTACTCACTTGGGCTTTCCTTGAAACTCCGCTCCGTCTCGCTCATCTGCATGGCTTCTATTTCAGCATCTTCATCCCCAACTCTCTCTTCTTCCGGGATGCTCTCCATTACATCCTCCTCATCATCCTCTCTCACTCGTTCCTCATCTGAATCCGACGTGTAGCTGACGAGATGCGTCAGGCGCCGCATGCCTCCGTCGTTGTGCGACATGGTTACAATCTGTAATGGAAAAAAAAAAAATTTTAGCGTATGATATATGAATAGGGAGGGACCTGTTTCATGAAATTTGTTATCAATATCAAGTACAAATAATAAATATTGTCTGTACTAGAAGTGCTAGCCAAAAGATGACAAAAGATAACAAAAAAGTAATATTACACTTCAAGTCTTCAGTAGGCCTATATAGTGTCGTTTTTATTTCCAATTTTTGGAGGATTTTGAAAATTATGAAGTTCAACTTCTAACATTTACTTAATTTTGGAGCAATGTCAACAAACAACAATTTTACAACTACAGTCTACAAGCGGTAAGGGCGCTGGTTGGAGAATAAGGATCATCCACATAAATGAGGTATGCTTCGTAAACGCAGGCAGACGCCTCCTAAAAAATAAGATTCTTATTTCCGATCTGCACGTTGGCGATGCAAATAAAACCCATTAGTGATGATGCTCCTTCCTTGATGCTTTTCACACTAACTATAAATCCTCGGGAAGGCAGACAACCAATAGAACCTAGTCTACAAGTTGACGGCGCACTGGGGGTATTTTATTATGCAGAATCAGTTTTTCGCATTGCCATTGCACGGATCAGGAATCCTACACCCGGCCCGCAGAGCGTCGAAGAAAACAAAAATCTGCAAAAATGAGGACGATCTTTATTGTTTAGTACACCATTTGTCAGCGTTTACGAGGATATCCTCATTTATGCGGACGATCCAGCCCCCTAATGACAAGACGGATATTTCATTTCATTTCATTTATTTTCATATTTCTCATAAACATACGTATATTTCAAATGAAGTACAAATTTTTTTTTTCAATAACACATAATAATAACAAAGATAAGTGGTCAATATGAATTTGTGATTTAACTAAGAGAAATATGATGGGACCTACATGAAAGCAAGCTTGTAAGGCTGTAGGCCCCAGTAAAGTAATTGTGGTAATAAATGGAGGACGGATATAGGGTCTACATGTAAATAGTGACCAATCTAAATGATTAAAAATAAAAGGAAATAATAATAAACTCTAAGAATAGCTCTAAGAAGGTGACTACTAAGAAGCCGGCCGCCCACCCACCGGCTGCCGAGATGGTTGCTACAGCAACCATATGATAGGTCTAACAATTTTATAATTTAAATATTAACATCAAGTGTGGAAGAACATCAGTTAAGACATGTTCCCTGAAAAGCATGGCTCTTCAAATGCCTTCATATTCTAAATATGCATGTAACATCGTAAAAATCGGGGGCCGGCTTTTTACGCCACGTGTTCGTGTAGTCCCATATACATCTTTCTGTGCAAGTGTTTGTAACTTTACCAAGACTTGGCCAAATTTCTTATCATTTTGATGATTCCAGAACCTTGCAATACACACAAATTCTTATATGCTAGATGATCATCCTTTTCTGGTCGGTTACACACCGTTTCTTTCACAATGCAATCGCATGACCAGAACTCAACTTCATCTTTAACTAGACTATCACTTGTTCTGCAGACCTATTTATTCAGTCTCAGACTTTGCTTCCACAAGTTCCAACTAGACTAGAGTCTAGCTTAGACTCTATATCCACACACAAAAAAACATCAACAACATCAGTAGGGGCGCTGGTCCGAGAATAAGGATCGTCTTTGTATACGCGGACCAATGCGTCCTCAAAAACAAGGATCGTCTGCAAAATAGCAGATGTGCCATATTTTTTGATCTGCACATTGGCGATGCAAAAAACGGATTCCGGGATGATTTTCTTGATGCATTTTAATTTTTACATTGACTTTGTACAGAGACCTTCACATTATGAGCAATAAATCCTTGGGAAGACGGACAACCCATAAAAGTAGATGGTCAACCAGGGTCATTTTCCCCTGGGGAATCCAAATTTGGCATTGCCAGCGGGCGGTTCTGTAACCCGAAACCCGCAGAGCGCCAATGAAAAAAATGTCTGCGAATATGCAGACGATCCTTGTGTTATAAGGAAGCATTTTGTCTGCGTTTATGAGGATATCCTCGTTTATGAGGACGATCATCATTCTCGGACCAACGCCCCTACTGAATGTCCAAATTCTGAAACGGAGTCAGTGAAAGCCGACTCTGACATGACAAGTCTGAGCTGATCGAGTTTGCTTAAAAACAAGCATTCAAGGATCTATTACGGTACTCATAGCTCCTTCAAAATTTTGCACTTTCCTCTAGATCTAGGCTAAATCTGACTTTATTTTGCTTTGTTCTTTGCTAGACTACATCCTTGACCTTAATGACCGGAATAGCCTTCCCCCAAACACACCATTAATTGCGCATTGATCAAAACTTCTGCGAACCGAAGGACGCCGACAATTTACAAATTACGATTCAACATAACACATACAAATCTAGAAATAGAATCTATATGGACAAGTCACAATTAATCTTGCACAAATAACGATCAGAAATGTTGAATATTAACGACACATAAACTATTAATGCCAATTCACTTTTGCAAAGATCTTCTTACCTTTACTTCAATAGACGATCTGCATTGATATGATACATTTACGGTCCTCACAACTCGGCCAACGAAAATCCGACCCTGCGTGTAGCTCGACCCAGATCCTGTCCACTTGTCTAGCGCAGGGTGACTCCGGATTTTTTTTTAAAATAAATAATAATAAACCCTATTCAATGTAGTGGGGCGCATTTCTATAAAAATGCTCAAGGGCATCATTTATCATCTCGGTAACAGGCCTATCGACCTTATCAATATATATGAAGGCATTATATTATGCTCCAGTAAAAAAACATTTTAAAAAGAAGAAGAAGAAGTGAAGAAACTAGAAGAAAAAGACGAACAAGAAGAAGAACAACGAGAGTAGAAGAAGAAGAAGAAGAAGAAGAAGAAGATGAAGAAGAAGAAGAATAAAGAAGGAGGAGGAGAAGAAGAAGAAGAAGAAAAAGAAGAAGAAGAAGAAGAAGAAGAAGAGAAGAAGAAGAAGAAAGAAGAAGAAGAAACTAGAAGATGAAAAAGAAAAAGAAAAAGAAGAAGAAGAAGAAGAAAATGAAGAAACTAGAAGAAGAAGAAAAAGAAGAAGAAAAGAAGGAGGAAGAAGAAGAAGAAGAAGAAGAAGCTAGAAGAAGAAAAAGAAGAAGAAAATGCTCAAAATAGCTAGCCTACTACAAAAATGAACTCAAATATAATTGTGACTATGAGTACCGTATTTTGTAATTTATGGGAATGCCGGGAATTAAAGGAAGTTTAGACAATTCGCAAAAAAACTGCAGAATATATGTCGGGTGATACTCCAATACGAGAATGGATGTTCCGTAACCGAGATCTATTTCTTTGTTTGAAAACAGAAAATCTATCAGAATGGAGAGATAAACATGTTTTATGTATTTATTTATTTTTTGGTATAAAATTAGTCATGAAATGATATCTGGTGGATTTATTAAGGAATATTATTTTAGCTTGAGAAATGCTCATACAACCTAAGATCTGCCAAAACCACATATGAATTTCAAGAAAAAATGAGGAGCTCATGTTATTTATAAGGGCATTGAATTTTGGAATCAGTTACTATAATGAACGTAAAAAATATGTCTTTCTCTGTGAAATCACTAAAGACATGTGCACTGAATGCTGGTTATAAATGTACAATTACTTCTTCTCCTATCTTGAAATGAGTTGCTTTTTCCCTCCACAATCAGTGAAAAAAACCAACAATTTACTCATCTTTCTTATTTCCATCCACTGGCGTATTTAAAGAAGGGGCATTGGCTCGCGCAGGCGCGTACGCAGGGGGGGGGGGGGGGGGGTTTGGGGGTTAAACCCCCCCCTTTGGAAATTTTTTGTGTGTAAACCCCCCTAAAAAAACCTAAACCCCCCCCCCCCCCCCCCCCCCCCCTTTTGGATTTTTTTTTTTTTATTATTTTTTTTTTTTAATTATTAAAAAAAAAAAAAAAAAAAAAAAAAAAATTATTCCCATGGCCGACCTAAAAAGGTGACCTTACCCCCCCCCCCAACGGAGCAAAATGTCAAATTTCCAAATTTCGAGACCAAAAAAAAAAAAAAAAGTGTCCTCTTACCCCCCCCCCCCCCCCCCCCCCCCCCCCCCCCCCCCCCCCCCCCCCCCCCCCCCCCCCCCCGCTTATTCAGCGGCTGGCTGAGTCGTTGCGAAATTTTCGGACCGATTTATAAATGTTAAAACCCCCCCCCCCCCCCCCCCCCCCCCCCCTTGAAAAAATCCTGCGTACGCGCCTGGGCCCGCGGCCCGGGCGGAAATTGAAGAGGGCGCAAAACAAGGCAAAAATGCAAGGAAGACATAGGGGATAAAAGGGGGAAAGGGTATATCATAATACGTAAAGGATCAAATTAACGCACTGTTACGCAGGGTGAATTACATTATTGGAGGGGGCGCAAAAAAACAACGCAAAAAATGCAAAAGAGAAATCAAATAGGGGAGAAAGGGATACAGGGTATCATAGGATTATGCACCGCTACGCAAGGTATTAATTTAAGGGGGCGTCAAACATAACGCAGAAATGCAAAATAGAAAAAAAATATACATGAGCAAAGGGGTGAAAATATCATTAGGGGCCTACATTAAGGATTATGCACCGTTACGCAGGGTAGATTACATCAACTCCTTATATCATAAATAATTAATTGCGACTGATTAAAATCAATCACAACTCTCATAAGACGGGGTACAGAAGAGAAATTTTGAGGGTTTAAAATGCGAACTGTGTTAAGCTCGGTTGCTTCACCCCCTCGCACAGTTTTGTTTTTGCCCCAGGATCATGTAGTTTTGCATCGCCATATAGGATAACAGTTTGTTTTCAAATAGCGTTTGTATAGAGGACTCCCTGCCTTCTGAGATAGATAAGATTCATCAGCCTCCCCGAATCAAGTAGACATATTGCATGCGGCCTGACATTTTGTTCCATCAGCCCAAACTTGGTACAGGTACAAATCGATTTTGACCAAACTTTTTAAAGACCCTAGTGCTCAGTCACTCGTGGCAGAAATATTATTAATAGGGTATCATTGCATTACTCTTCATGATGAAATACATTTCAAAGTCATATTGGTTATCACTTTTTAATTAGCAGGCTAAATTTTCCAGTCCTTCTCGTATTCTACACATATAATTTGTTTAATGTATATACATTCTCCCTGTGCCAAATTGTATTTATCATGGAATAGCTTAGGTTAACCAAAGGCTTCAAGGTTATTTGACTGCTTCATTGCAATATACCTGTGTTAAAAGTATTGTCACGAAGCTATAATCAGGAGCGAAGCCGAAAATAGGTAATTATGCACCATCAACTACTGTTTTAGGGCTTTTTGTGTGTTATGTTCTCTTTATCATGCTGACCAAGCATCCTTTATTTAAAAGAGAGAGAGAGGGGGGGGGGAAGGGAGGGAGAGATAGAGAGAAAAAACTACAAGATAGATGAAGATGGACAAATTATAAAAACTTCCAAGCTCTTTTTTAAAATCTACTTTGACCACTTAGGAAATTCTAAGTTTTATGAAAGTGAAACATACTTCAAAGCCTGGCATAAACAAGTTTATATACAAGTCTGGTATTTTTGTTAAAGCATGTTTATCCTCTAACTTTTAACATATTTACTCTAATAGTCTATCCAGATCCTGTAATTGGTTTTGTAATTGTGTATATAATAACAATAATTTCAAGAGGATAAAAACTCATCAAAACTAACACTAACAGTTGGTTAAAAGTAATCAACCTTTGGGTAACATCTTCAAAGCATCGAGTGAAATTAAAAGCTGTAACTTCGATTCATCTTGATTCAACATCTTTAGAGGGTTTTTAACTGTACTTCAAGTCATCTAATAAAAGGAATTGACATTTAAGAATTAGACACATTACAGTTTTTAAGTCATCTCGTTGAGATTCTTCGACAAACTTTCTGTAGTAATTCGTTGCCTTTGTGAAATTAAATATAATTTCTATTTATCATGCTTACCAAGCATCCTTTAATTTAAAAGAGAGAGAGAGAGAGAAAAAAAAAGAGAAAGAAAGATAATTAAAGATGAAGAAATATTTATAATAAAAAACACTCTTTTTTATTTACTTTGAGCACTTATGAAATTTCCGGTTTTATGAAAGTGAAACATGCTTCAACGACTGGCATAAATAACTTTTATATACAAGTCTGGTCTTTACAAACCTTGCATGTGATTATCCTCTAACATATTTCCTCTTGCGGACTCCTTAATTGTTTTTTAATTGTAGATATAATCCAATTAATATCAAGAGGATAAAATTTTATCAAATCTACCATTAAAAGTTGTTTGAAGTCATCGAAACTTTGGGTAACATCGCTGTATTCAAAGCATGGAGTGAAAAAGCTGTGACTCGTCTTCGATTCATTTTGATTTTGTAATTCAACATCTTCAGAAACTTTGGCAGCTTCTAATTTGTAATTTATAACCTATGTGACTTAGATCCATAATACATGTTAAAGGGTAACTAATTCCCTGTCTCATAATACCGTATTCATAATTATGCTGCCACGGATGACTGAACAGCAAGCTTTAACAAAATTATGTTTAAAATACTCTTGTTCCAAGTTTGGGTTGAAGCAATGAATGTGAGTCAAAAAGCCATTACGTGTGGGTTATTTACATAAACAAATTGCTCACTTTTTAATATTGACTATATTAAGTCAGTTGAAGATATAATGGTGTTGATATCAACTGAAGCTCAAGGAAATCCTCATTCCAAAAAAAAATGTATGACATTCTCTTCGTTATGATGATTACAATCTTGAATTTATTCGCATCCCTTCTCATTAGTGATGCAAAATGGATATAATTTATTTGGGACATTATCTTCTTCGATCATGAAAATCTACTGTCAATTTCTTGATACTTTCCATTATTTGAGTTAAGTAACCTTTTAATTGTCATATAGACACTTTTAGCTTTGCACGTCGAGATAGTGGACTGCTACGTGTGACGTCCACAGTCCACTATGTCGACGTGCAAATCTAAACACGTACGTATGCTCCTTACGTATACGCGTGTGAAATGGCGCAGCGGACAAGACTAGTGAGCAGAGAAAAGTCATGAATCAAGAAGTTAGTTATAGCATGGACCTATTACGGAATAGGTCCATGGTTATAGGCTGTTCAAAATAATTAAAGCTTATCCTAGGGATATAAACAAGGTTCTATGAAAGCCCAGATACATTGCATCATTTAAAAATATGAAGCACAGAAGCACGGGGCTTAACTTTTATCCTCTAATATTTCCTCTATTCAAATCCTGTAATTAGGTGGTCTGTCAACGTTAGATCACCTATTGATTTCGCTAGAATTTTCTTTCTTTCTTTCTTTCTTTCTTTATTTTTATTTCTTCCGTACACTTTTTTGTGCACACGTTTACTCGAAATCGACAAGGTCAATTTCCTTTGAATTTCTGTCAGTCATCAAGCCCTATGATTTCAAGTCTAATTAACTTTTTCAAGTTCATGGGGTCATCGTGACGTCATCCAGGCGCCATTTTGTAAAAATCAGGTCATTATCATATCTCGATAACGAGTTATCAAAAATCAACCATATTTGGTATACATCAACTTCAGGTCAAAGGTCAACGAAAAATGTCAAAAAATTTTGAGCGCGCACCTCGACGCGCACGTACGCGCGCATTAAAATTTAAAAATGGTCAAATTCGTTCCATATTAATTTTGCATACGTTTCAGGCCATTTTAAGCATTTTCAAAATTTGCGCGCGCGTAATTATGCGCGCGCGTTTCCGCGCGTATCCGCGCGTCCTGGCATTTTGCAACATAGAATCGCCAAATTTTTTCTGTTATCATATTTATTACATTTTTCCAAGCATTTTGATACCTTGTTTACCTGTTTCCGACCAGTAATACCGCAATTAGCGGCTGTCAAAGTTGAACGCACGCGCCGACCTGCGCTATCTGTATCCACAATACATGGGCAAAAACATGCCTATACAAAATTCATTTTAACTCTTCAGAATTGATAGATAACCCCCAATTTCTTTCATATTTAAATAGATTATGAGTTGGAGGTATGATTTCATGTCTCATTTGACCCTCAATTAACTCATGACGTCATCATAATGGCCTCCGAACTCAAAATTTCAATTTGCATATTATGACGTCAGCAGATTTTTGGAAAATTGATTGTATCTCTGTAAATATTAATCAATTTTGTTTCAAATTTTGATATGTTCTACCTGAGAATATTCTCTACAAATACAGTCACCACGAATTTTCATTTTGACAATGGTATCATGGCGTATTTTTGCGATTAAAGGAGGCATGTCAATTTTTTACATTTTGCGTGTATTCTCTATGGGACATGACTTTTTCTCAAAACTGGATTCTACATTCTCGTCTTTTGCGAGCAATATCTCCGTCGTTGTATTTTTGTTTACGCTGAGCTTTGAGTATGTTGTAGCTGAGACAATAAGCTATCACAAATGTGCCCTTTATTTTTAGATCAGATGCCGGGATCATGCTCATATTTCACTTACAAAGTGGGATTTGAGAATTCAGTTTTCAGTTTACGTGTAATCTCTATTGGAAATGTTTTGGTATATCGGTAACGCACTTGACTTCCGACCTCGAGGTCCCTGGTTCGAGTCCGGGCGTTTCCAACAATTTTTTTTCTTCACTTTTTTTTCTTTTTGACCTTTCACTGTACCATCTCCTTTGAATATTAAAACACGTACAATCGCAAATAATGTAATAAACAACCATATTTACTTTAATATTACCCTATTATCACTTGATCCATTACTTTTGGCGTGTAATCCTTATGGGAGATGACTTTTTCTCAAATCTGGATTCTACATTCTTGTCTTTTGCGAGCAATATCGCCGTTATTTCGGCTTGATTTTTGTTGATTTTGGAGTATGTTGTAGCTGAGACTATATACTATCTAAATGTTCTCTCATTTTTTTCAGTCTGATGTCATCGTGGTCTGTTGATGATAATCATCAACATCATCATGATCATCATCATCATCGTCATCCCCATTACTATCAAGATCATCATCATCATGATCATCATGATGATCATCATTGTTTACATGTCTATATAACTTCTCCCTTTCTCAATATAGTAAATATTATAATCTATCATAAGACTTGAAGACAGACCACCTTAATCGTCCTCGTGACGATTTAAATTCTAGTTGGTTTTGTTACTGCGGAAATGATAAAATTATTTTCAAGAGGATAACAAATAATCGAAACTAACATTACAAATTCTTTGAGGTCATCAAAACTGTGGATAACATAATTGCTGTGTTTCAAAGCATGAAGCGAAAAAACTGTAACATCTTCAGAGGTTTCTCAATTGTACTTAAAGTCATCTAGTAGAAGTAATTGACTTTAGAAATTAGATCCATCACAGTTTTGAATACATCTCTTTGAGACTCTTCGACAAACTTTTTTCAGAGGGTTTTAACTGTGCTTCAAATTCTATAGTAGAAGAAATGGACGTTTATGAATCAGACTCTTTATATTTTTAAAATCATATCTTTGAGATTCTTCGACAAACTTTGCTTCAGAGGTTTTCAACTTGCATTTGAGACAAAAAATGGACATTTATTAATTAGATACGTTGCAATTTTGAACTCATCTCTTTGAGATTCTTCGAGAAACTTTACTTCGGAGGTTTTTCAACTGTACTTCAAGTCATTTATACAGGTACTTCAAATATAATGTGTGGGTGATAACGTCATCACAGGACAGATTTTTTTTTTTAAACCTATAGACAAACCTTTAAAAAATCTGAAGAAAATATTTAAAAAGACGAGTCCTACTGAAGCCAAGAAATCGTCACAGTAAGCTAATGCGTTTCTGCAGCAAACAGGACAATTTTCTTTTCTTTCTTTTTTGGCAATGGTAACACCCCATTAAAGCCAATTCTATAGGGAGACGTAACAATTAGCCGCGGCCTTACCAAAGCAAATAATACATTTTGTTTCTGCAGTGGTGACACCCTAGAGATTATAATCATGCTCAGGATAACGACTTCTCATACAGCCTCAAGGTTTTCCTTCTGCTTGTTGGTGCTGTGTGCCATGTCCCTGCTCTCTGCACGATCGCTTGTGAAGGATGTTTCAGGAAGTCTCAGCCCTAAGTCAACCAACGGTTGCCAGCTTAGGAACACCAGCCTCGGACTAAAAGCTAACTGTACTCACCTAGATCTCAAGTCTGTTCCTCAGGATCTTCCAAGCAACACGGTAATACTTCGTCTCACATCCAACAAGATCACAACCCTGTTCAACAGTTCTTTTGCCTATCTTCCTGACATCGTTATCTTAGGGCTTGCAAGCAATATCCTCTCAAAGATAGAAAGTGGTGCCTTTAAGCCTCTGGCTCATCTCAGGGAATTAAGTCTAAGCAACAACAGACTAGTTTCTCTTCCATCAGGTCTGCTTTGCATGAATAATTTCCTTTCCACACTCATTCTATGTACAAACAGATTGTTTTCTTTTCCTGGTGATGCACTGCCATGGTCTAACAGTATCAAGAAACTTGACGTAAGTGGCAATAAAATCTCCCTCATTGATTCCCGTGACCTAAAACCTCTCCAGAATTGTTCACTGGAAAGGCTGTCGTTAGTAAATAATGCCTTAAGTAGTCTTCCTCTTAATATTTTCTCATATTTGAGCACAGTGAGGGTGTTGGGTATTTCGAGAAACAATTTTCGAAAATTTCACATATCCATGGTTTTAGGAAGTACTGTCATCACAAACCTTTTCTTTGAATCATGCAAGATACATGAAATAATTCCATTGAACAAGTCACATGTCTCTCTAGGGGAATGGGGCAATATCTCTAAACTAAGTCTTGCATCAAATATAATAATTTACGTCCCTGATTTTGCATTTTGGGGTTTCAATCAGACAACAGTTATTTCACTTCATAACAGCCAGATTGCTAAATTATCAAACAGATCATTTTGTGGGTTAGACCACTTAATTCAGTTGGATCTGTCTTACAATCGCCTCACAACCATAAGCTTAGATATGTTCTCTTGCAATAAAATGTTACAGCAACTGAAGCTTAATGGGAATAATATTGCAAGGCTATCCATCGGCAAAGAATCGGGCCTTTCCTTACTCTATATACTCGACTTGGCGCACAATAATATCAAGGATATCGAAATCAGCAGAAAGAATGTTACATTTCCCTCAGTAGAGTACATCGATCTGTCTTTTAACAGATTCACATGGATCAAGAGGCTAATCCTGTGGAGTTTCACTAATCTGAAAATTCTGAACCTGTCGAACAATGACATCTACTATTCATATTCTCCCAATTCGTTTATAAACTTGAGGCTTCTCCAAGAGCTGTATCTTACCAATGAGCATTTACAGATCATCAACAAGGCTTTTCGCTACCTAGGGGCTCTAACCGTCTTGGATTTGTCATTTGCCCCATTGAAATTAACCTCCATAAGTCAATTCACAAATACCTCATCCCTCACCACGCTAATTATGCGTGAAAACAGTCTGAGGAGTACAGATATGTACCATGTCAAGACTAAAAGCTCTCTGTTTCTTGGCCTAGACTCTTTGGAGAGACTGGACCTAAGACAGAATAAGCTTGATATGTTAGTACCAGGTACCTTCAAACCGCTGAAGAAACTCAAGATACTTGACCTGTCGCAGTCTTCTATAACAGTTCTGAGCCGTGGTGTCTTTGACAGCCTGACTGCCCTTATGACATTGGACCTTCGCGACAATGAGATCACGAAGATATCTGAATGTCTGCTTCAAACACAATACCATCTTGCCGTTCTATTTTTAAGCAACAATAAACTTGAAACCATTCCAAGGACATTATTCAATGAAACCTCCTCTCTGCACAGTCTGTACATCCAAGAAAACAAAATTACTACGATAGAACCAAACACGATGTTCCCGACAAACACGACACTGAAACTTGATGCTTACGGAAACCCATTTTCCTGTACGTGCCGCTTGAGTTGGTTCGTGAACTGGCTCCATTCTGGCAATGTTGAGCTCAGGAATCGAGAAATAACTTTCTGCTCGCTAACGTCCATCAAAGAAGAGGTCCATTCACCTATACTTTCATTCAACCCTGACCAGTTCTGTGGCATTGACACTGTGATGATCACATGTGTATCCTTTTCAGTTGTCCTGGTCGTGGTGATTTGCTTGGTGGCTTACAGGAAGCGATGGTGGCTAAACTACAAACTCTTTCTTCTCAAGCTAGCTATCTTTGGCTATGAGGAAATCAACCAGGACTTTGACGCCCAAGACTACGAGTACCAGCTAAACATCATGTACAATGAAGATGACGAGGAATGGGTGGACCGGATCATGAAGCCAATGCTGCAGGAGAGGTTTCCACATCTGCGGAAAGTGGTCTTTGGTGACAATGATCTCAACATCGGGATGTTCTACATCAATGCTCTCCACTACGCCACCGAGATCAGCTTCAAGACTGTCTTGTTGATAAGTTACAACTCTGTAGATGATGCCTGGTTCTTGACAAAGCTGCGCATAGCCTTAGAGCACATCAACGACACCAGACTGGATAAGGTAATACTGATTTTCATTGAGGATATCCATGATGAGGACCTCCCGTACCTGGTTCGGTTATTCCTGAGTAAGAACAAACCTTATATGTTGTGGACGGACGATGAAGATGGCCAGGAACTCTTCTGGGCTCAGTTTGAAAAGAGCATGAGAGCCAATAGGGCCCTCAACAGCGTTATTCCCGTTTGACAAGAATACTTACTACAATCCTTGATAATGTTTGCTTAATTGATCATTCTAGAGCCATAGCTTACAGCTACCAAAGGAATTGCACACATAATGTTGATCTACAATTCCAAAATAATCAATGTCTTATCTTTATATCATTTAATCTCCAAAACTTATCTTTATGTGCAGTTACCGTTCTAACAATTCAATTCCGAGTCATGATTTTGAAATTTTTGTTAATTGGCAGTGAGTTTGATATGTATTAAATCTAATTATAGTTGAACCTATGTCTGTATCAGTTTTTCCCTCCGCTCATTATGTAATAGCATGTATTATGTACTAGTTATGAGGAACTTATACCTTCATTTGTAAACCTCTGTCCTGGATTAGTGATGTTAATTCTTCATTTGAAGGGTGAATTTTTTAATACAATAAAGATTTATTTATAAAAATGGTCAATTAATCCATACAAAGTAAGCTTCTTGGTCTTCTACCCAAAAACGTATGGTAGTGGGTTTTCATGGGGAATTTAATACCATCCTGGTGTTTACCAAAAAAGGTGTTGTCAGTCACCGAGAGTGGATTTCACTCTAGTTACGATATACATGTCTTAGTTAATGCACTGTGCCCTAGCCTACCATTGTATATAATTCTCATCATCTATATCAAATTTCTCTCACCCTCGGGGTATATAGGCAAGCTGGATTATTTTCTGGTGGGACATTAATTGGTAATCCAACAAAATCTTAGTCTCAGCGAATTGTGTTACAATTCGCATGGACACTGACTACTATATGTGGCTTTAAAACGATTCTATTATTTGGTCTGTACAAGGTAAAATTATGTTGAAGGATTAGAAATTGACTAATTTATATTTCCTTTGTATATATACATTGTAGAACATAGTAATTTAAAGAAAGATTGCTGTAAATGGTAATTAATTTCAACATTAATAAATATAATGTAAACTCTATTCGATCTTTAATATGTTTCTTTTGAAACGAAGCTCAGAAAAGTTATAAGTAAAAAGAAATGTAAAATGCATTTTAAAGAAATTTCCTTGTATATTTATGCTAAACGTACACTTTATATATCTTAACGGCACAACACGTTGTGACATCATTCAAAATGATACATTGCCTTTCAGATACCTGTTCATCAAGAAACAAATGTGACGTAACAAAAAATTGGCGCCTATACAACATAAAGTCAAAGATCTGCAATAATGTATCATTAAGAACATCACATTAACGTGTATTTAAAATGAAATTATTTTCTTTTATTTGTCTGCATAGGTATAAAGTGTTAATATGCTCCAATATCATTTTTCAAATGTACTGATGTATTACAACATACAATTAACAAATAGATTAGTCTTACCACTGACTTGTAAATATGATATTTGTGTGTTTTTCATAACTTATTAATGAAAGGTGGATTGTTGATTAAGGGCATTTATTGAATACTTGATACGTCACATTATCAAGAAACGTAAATCGGGACAAATCTATTTTCACATACAGTAGTTACAAAATCACAGAATATTTGTGTAGTTAATTGTACATGCATAACATTACTATAATCAGAAATATATTGCAAGATGATTAAAAGCCTTTTAACCCTTACTGTACTGGGGGGGGGGGCCTCAGAGGCCCCCCTCGACATTTTCGGAGATTGCGCCGCAACCGCTTGGAATTTTGAATTGTCGTTTCATGACTTTTTTCCCTCAAGTCTTACGCACATTTTGATACCATTTTCGTCAAAATCGGATATACCTGTAAGGCGTTACATAACAATTAGTATGCGCATGTCATCAAAAAAAAAAAAAAAAAATGAAAATCGCATCAAAATTTGCATACTTTTATCATTATTAATTACATTAAAATAAAAAAATTTGTGTTAGAAAAGAAGTTTCATATGAATAATGAGTTTCATTAACATTCAAAAATTGGAGTTTGACACGTTTTCGGTAAAATGCATAAAATTAGCGCATTTTGCATAATTAATTAGGCTAACGACAAAAATGTGCATATTCGGAAAAAACTAATTATACCATCTTGTTCCTTACGTAAATATCTACAAACATGCAAATTTTCGTGTTCATCGGACAATCGACGGCCGAGGTCATAGGGGGGGGGGGCCTCCCAGGCCCCCCCCCCCCCCCCCCAGTCAGTGGGTGCTCAAAATAGCCCAGTACAGTAAGGGTTAAAGATATTTTCTGTAAATAAAGTATTTGAATAGCAGTATATGCCTACACTTATCTTGTTATTGTAGTTCTATCAGAGATCGAGCCCGGAGGGAAGAGTCTAACTGAAGTTGTCTCTGTCTGCCATTTTGTACTGGCATTTTGCGGAAAGCTAAACTTGGCCATTCTGAAATATTCATTTTGAAAAAGATGCTTCTCCTATTTTAATCTACATTGCATGGAGCAATTAAAAAATGAGGATCTTCAAACAGAATTAGTCCTAACATTAGATCAGGCTGCATTATAAAAAGATCTGACATTTTGTTCTGACATTTTGAAAGCTATACTATACGCTGCTTTCTCTGGTATAGCTTGTTTTGCATACAGTATAAATGAATTTGAGAAGCAGCATAAATAAAAGGCCCTTACCCTAAATGCTATTAGGGACTTTTAGATTTGCCGAACGACAACGTGGATTGCTACGATCGACGTCCTTTTAATGCACTGCCTTGAATGGACGTCACACGTATCAGTCCACGCAAATCTAAAAGTCCCTATTCATTAGGCAGGGACAGATATCCTCTCATCTCATTGGCAGCCGCCAGATAATTAACATAGTACAGCTTATAGGAGCCTGCGGTACAGTTATATTTAGGTTCTAATACAAGTAGGCTACCCTGGGCTATTCACCCCCGGCCAACTACTAGCGGGACAGTTACCTCAAGCACACACCCCCCCCCCCCGGGAAAATAAGTCTTTTCTTCTCGGAATCTTTATTGATCCATACAGATTGGTCAATGCAGTTTGATCAATAAAGTCCAGAGAAGATCACAAACTTCATCTGTCAAGAGTAAGTCACATTGTCACAATCATTTCATGGAAAGATGTATGAAATATTTCTTCCAATTGTTTTGGCAACAGTGTATACATATAAATATTTAAGACACCAATTTAAAACCCAGGGCAGCGTTTCATGAAACCGCCATAAGTTCACCGACACCCCATTGCTCAATGGGTTGTCGATGAACTTTTACCGTACCATCGGATGTATTCTCGTAAGGGTATTTGTTAACTTGGAATAGGTATACTTACAACAACAACAAGTTACCCCTGCCCCCTTATTTTCTGTAAATATTTTCTGTAAATAAAGCAAAAGTATTTGAATACCAGTATGCCTACACTTATCTCGTATTGTAGTTCTATCAGGGAACACGGAGTGAAGAGCCTATCAAAAGTTGTCTCTGTCTCTATCTTTGCTATTTTGCGGAAATCCATTCTGAAATATTCATTTTGAAAAAGATGCTTCCCCTATTTTAAACTACCTTGCATATAGAGCAATTAAAACGTGAGGATCTTCAAACAGAATGAGTCCTAACATTAGATCATGTAGACTGATATATACAAAGATCTGACATTTTTTACTGACATTTTGAAAGCTAAACACTCATCATATTGTACGCTGCTTTTTCTGGTATAGCCTGTTTTGTATACATAATAAATGAACTTGAGAAGCAGCATAAATAATATTTGGCCCTGACCTTAAATGCTATTCATTAGGCAGGGACGGCTATCGTCTCATCTCATTATCTGGGGGGCGGGGGGGGGGGGGGGGGGGGGGGGGGGGCGGGGAGGGAGGAGGGGGTAGTGAGCACTATTTTTTTCGGCCGGGGGGGGGGGTATACGTGCCCCCTGTGTCCCCCTAGATCCGCCCCTGGAAATATTTATTCCAACTTTTTTGGCAACACAAGAGTATGTATATATTCAAAATAATAATAATAATATAATAATAAATTATGTTTCTATAGCACATTATACAAGGTAATGTCTCTATGCGCTTTACATTGTATTACAAGCTTAATTATCTACTATTGAACTATCCTCAAACGAAACATTCTGACAAGATCTTAACTAAAATAGTACAACAGTAACTAGATGGATAAACATTATAATTCATTCTTAAATAATGATACAACAATTATGGTGCAAGAGTTTATTCATATATTACAAGTTGTAGACATTTACAATTTCAATTGAAATTGTAGATAACAAAGCATGAATATAATTAATTCTTAAAAAGGTAGGTCTTAAGTGCAGTCTTGAAGGTGTGGATGGAAGGTGCAGTTCTAATGGCGAGCGGTAGAGAGTTCCAGAGGGTGGGAGCATTGAAGGTGAAGGAGCTACGGCCGTAGTACTGGGTTTTAAAACGAGGAACCTGGAGAAGATGTTTGTTCTGGGATCTGAGAGCACGCGGGAGGGTGTGTATAGATGTGAATGAAAATACCGATTTAAAATCCAGGGCTGCGTTTCACGAAACCTCTATTACAAGTTCACTTGACATCCCATTGAAAACAAAATGTTTAAGACGCGTTTTAATGGGATGTCCAGGGGCGGCGATCCCGGGGGGACGGGGGGACACGTCCCCCCTCAAAATTTGAAAAAGTATATAGCAAATACTAACTAAAGACTGCAACACACTTTTAGGCTCTGGAGGGCCTATAAGAGTGCAGCGTTTAGACAAATAAAAATGCAACAATCTTCTCATTCGGTAGCTACGCTACCTCGCATAATATCCTTCAAAAAGTAAATACCGGAAAAAGTGAAGTGTGAAAAAAGTATATATTGCTTGTTTTTATACTATAGTTTTGCTAAGGAATTTAAGTGTTAAATACAAAAAAACTTCAAAAACCTGTGAGGGGTAGGATCACTTTCGTCACCTTCACCCCTCTCATTCACCATGATCCCTCGAACTTGCGATCTGATGGGGGGGGGGGGGGGGGGGCTTGGGGCTCTGTCCCTTGGACCCCACCAAGGGCCCTAAGGCCAGTGTCACAAATAAGTTATCAAATTATGCTCATCTGACTGTAATGAAATGACTAAAACCCCTGAGATTCATGGGGCTCCGCCCCTGGACCCCACGCTAATGTACGCTAGTTGCTTTGCTCGCTTTGCTCTACCCGATCGTAAATACCTTAGCCCCCCACACTTTGAAAAAACGTTCCCAGAGCCTGCGTAACATAATTATAAGAGTGGTGGTGATATGCAACATTTTTCTACCCCCCCCCGCCAAACTTTTTTGCTCATTACGCCTCTGCTCCCTCGATCGTCCCTCGCATTTCGCCCCCCCCCCCCCCCCCCCCCCCGCCGGTGGAAATCGCCGCCTCTGGGGATCTTCGGTTAACTTTTATTTTACTTTTTATTTACCGTCGGGTGTATTCTCGTACTATCACGGAAGAGGTATTTGTTAACTTGGAAGAGTTATACTTACACAAACAAAAAGGTACGCCTGCGCCCCCCCCCCCCCCCCCTCCTCCCCGACATCGACAACAGGGAAATTAGTTTACTTTAATTGGAGGGATATCTATTCTATCACAGAAGGGGCGTTTTTTCAGGACCACCAACGGCCGGCTCCGGTTTCTACTGTTATATCTCTATAATCAATCGGTTCCACGTCACTGATTGGAAAATTGGCAGTATATACAAACAAATCATCTCAACTATTCAAATTGCTTGGGCTCTGGACAACGGGTAGTCAGTGTAGGTGTAGGTGTTCGGGTTCGAGTTGTCTATGCCGTCTGCCATTGTCAATGCATGCAATGCGTATATCGCCTAGAGGACTATGGCATGAATATTCATGAGGTTATATTTGATCGAGGACGAGGTCTGCTTTGTTTTCATTGCATTGATTCCCATCAATTTGATTTTTCAAAAGTTATGGTAAGATAATTTTCAAATTTTATGTTGTTTTGGCCATCTCACCGAATCAATTATTCTGAATCCTAGTTTGATGTAACTAACAACATACTTATTTGCGACAAAAAGTTACTTCGAAGCAGAGGGCCGTGATCGGGATCGGGAAATATTTTGACATAAATTGTAACGTGTGGTTGAATGAGAGGGTGAGAGTTGTCATTTCCGGTCAAGAGTCGAGTCTTTATCTTTTTAAGGAAAAGTTAGAGAATTTATGTGGGGTAATAAATCTAGATTATCAGAACACTGTAGGGAATTTTGAGCAAATAAATGATGCGTGCATGATTATAAATTAGCCATTATCGAGTTATTGAGTGAACATGCATGGTGAAAAGAAATCAAAACAATGCGAAAAATCACACGCCATCACAAAATGGGAAATTAAAATACATTCTCACTTTCACAACTTTTTCCCTTCCTTCTAGCTTCTGGAGGTGATGATGACTAATGTGACAAGACGGTAAGATGCCTATCATACGCACATTGAAGGAAACGGGTAATAGCTATGTAAGTATAATGAGATGGAGAACGCATTTGTTTGTCCAGTGGATGGATCATGCGCATGCAGCTCTGTCAAACTTAATCAAAGTTCAAATTTAATTTTTCAGTAAACTAGAGTCTGAACATTATACTGTCAGTTTACAAACACTCGCTAGAAGGGCAGTCAGAGAAGGGTGAAATCTTTGTATTTGATTAAACTATACATTCACTAGCTGTGTGTGCACTTCACACGACGGACACGTCAGTGCATATTTCTTCCCTGTTCCAATTTTATGTTTGAATTTTTGTCTGTAGATCTAGATGATGTTTGTTGTGTTTTCTCTGTTTGTTTTTTTAGCTGGTACTTTATTTATATTAATCATATCTTACTTAAAGATACTTCTCCTTAATGCAGGCTTAATTATTAAAGCGTATTCAGCTCAAAATTCCTTCATCGTGTTAAGTTGGCTAGATCATGACCAGGTGGGTCGGCATGGAATTTGAATTTGGGAGGTACACTACGATCTCCAGTACTTGTCCAGACTGTTTTCAAGACTATAGACACCCTTTGCATTAACTAAATCTTCATTTTAAACTAGTTTCAGGATTTTCGCATTCTTATGTAATATGTCTTTTGAGTTTCTCAGTGACAGACCATGATATATTTGTGTTTCTTGCAGGAGGCTGCAAAGCAAAGATTGCTAGAGGCTACAGCACATCTTGAAGATGATGAGGGCACAGTAATAGGTACGTAGTACTTAACAAGATCTGGGGAGGGGGTGTTTCACAAAGATCCTAAGTTGGACTTAACAATTATGAAACAATTTCAGGTCGTCAAGAACAACTTTGGTTTAAAAAATATGAATAAAATTTAAATGTGTTAGTAAATCTGTGTGTTGCCATATTAACTGATTTTCACTTTTGGATGAAATGTATGGATAAATGCAACAATTTGCTTGGAATCACCCTCATCCGTGACTTTTCTATGAGTTTGTTTATAGATAAACTCGCATGAATGAGGTCTGGTAAAAATTAGATATAGAAAATAAATTCTCACAGAATCCAATAAAACTTACACTGAATGTTCAAGATTACAAATACTGTACATGTAAATGACATGTGCCAAACAATTTTGGTAGTAAAAGTATAGGGGCTGATAATGACAAAAGATCAGATAAAGATATTAGTAGGCTCGACACCATGTGCTTACACAGGCTGCTATGTGCAAATTCAGTTGTGGTCTTTATCAAATCTGATGCCCCCAATAGGATTTTGTGCATTTGTTTCACTAGTGCAAACAACCAATCTACTGCAGGATAAAAAATCTAGAATAAATCATAGCCATGTTCTCTCAAAATACGATTCCCATACCAGGGGGGTGTTTCACAAAGATCCTATGTTGAACTTATCTCTAAGTTGGACTTGACAATTATGGAAAGCTGTTAGCATCTTTGAAAATGTTTTGTTAAAGTTATTATAAAATTTATGAAAAGTCTAAAATACTTGAATTTTTGCTTTTTAATATATTTTATGTGAAGTCTACAAATGGCTGTCCATAATGTTTAAGTCTAACTTATAGCTAAGTTCGACCTAGGATTTTTGTGAAACAACCCCAAGGCTCAAGATTAGCTTCAATCTTGTACTTTTATCTTTCTCACCCTTGCAGCAACTGGTGTCCGAGTGAAAGCAAAAAGAAATCGGATCATTAGCGATTCCTCATCCTCCTCTTCATCCTCCTCGGATGACAAGCGGGATGATGACGATGGCGACGATGATGCAGATGATGATGATGAAGATGAAGAAGATATTATATCGCAGAAAAGACAGCGAGGCAGGGAAAGGAAACTGCTCAGGAATCTTGAGAAGGTGGGTTCAACATTTGTTGTGAGTCAGGGAGACAGATGTTTTGGGGAGCTCAACGGAATATACTTCATTCAAGGCTTGTTAAAGGGGGTGTAGTATGACGTAACTATTTGTCTTTCCTGTGGCCTGACCCGGGGGGCCAATCAGGTATAATACCACTACGAACGACGCGACCGCAGTATTCACATGCATGCAACATACGTGAAACCGAAGCGTGAGGAGAACTTCGGTCTGTTTCACGAACGCGCTGACCATGTTAATCAAGTCCATTCATTTACGTTGTCCGAAAGAAGTCGTAGATGGCGTTAACCAGTATCTTCCATGCTACATCCCCTTTAAGATTACAGTTTTTTTGTTATGTACTACATGAATGGCCAGTTGAGATAACAATGTTAGTTGTATGCAAAAGGTAATTTGTGTGTTCTCACTTATCTGCATGTTGTAAGACAAAAACCGTCACTGTTTACCTCGGAATATGTGAACCAACCTTTACTGGCCATGTTCCGCATCAATTCACATGCCTGACATTTTTCTATTCTGCTTAGTCTGGCTGCTGCATAGAAATATAGCTGGATGTAGTAATGTATCAGAGTTGACTTAGATTTTAGAGAATAAAATGAGTATAAAGAGTGTCTGGTTCTGCACTCATCTATAATAGACCTACACTGCTTGTCTGATTTCAGGCTCCGACACCCCATGTTAATGTTTTTGTTTTGACTGCTTTGTTTTAGGCTCCATAATGTATTGAGTGTGTGTGTGATATGTATCAATCAGATATGATTATTTACATCTGGGGACCGACCATTAACATGACCAGTCATAAGATGTGACTCGGTCTCGAACCCGGGTCTACTGATTGTATGTGAAGACAGAGAGCTGCACCAACTCACATCTCCCTGGAGTTCAAAGATGTCCAGGCCTTCTTTCAGGCTTACTGAGTAAAACCAGACATATTTTGCTTTTCATCCTGTCCAATGGATCTTTGTCATTCTCATGCAGGAGATGAAGAGGAAACGCACGATTGTGTCCATCAGCCGGCCGTCCTTGTACAAACGTACTGAGATGCACTCCATTACACCAGCCAAACCAAAGACCAAGAAACCCAAGTCTGCTATGGTGCGTAAATTTGTTAATTCGTTTATTCATTTATTCATTTTCATAAAAACCACAGCAAATGCAAATAAACATACAAGTATATATACATACAAAGAATGTTCAGTTTATTCAAGAACTTCAAATGAAATAGGAGAACGAAGGAAAAGCCCATGGCCTTGTTTAAAAAAAGTTCCCCCAAATACAAAATGCAATGTTTTGAACATTCCTAATTATCATCTTCACCAAGGCTAAACTAGTGGTTTATTGGTATAGTACCTTTGAATGAGACACGTGCAAAAGAAGGAGAATGTTTTTAATGCCGTTGATGTAACTGATGTTTACATACATGCCAACTGTTCAGATTAAAGAGGAACATTCCTCTTTTTGGGAGAAGATAATTATCATTTTAATGCAGGTGTTCCTCTTCCTGTACAAATTTGTCTGTAGTATTGAATAGGAGAGTTAGGATTGTTCCTCTTTTTTTTAAAAATAGCATAATTTGTACAGATTTCTGATTTTCAAATGTTGGCATGTATGTGTTTATCCTTTAAATTATGTTTTCTCTTTTTACCAGTCTATGATCTCGGCCTTGAACGATTATGGCGAGGATTCAGACAGCGATGAAGAATCAGAAGTAGAGCTTACTAAAGAAGCACAGGTAAAACATACATGTATAGAAAATTAAATATTATTCCTACTCTTCATTAGTTCCACGCCTCTGGAACTCCCTCCCTCCTTCTTCTTCGCGACAACGACAAGCTAAAAATCTTTTAGGTCAGGCCTCGAAACCCATCTCTTCAAACAATTGTGTACTGTAGCCCATGGCTATTGGAGAAGCAGGCACCTTTGAATGTTTGAAACGATAAATGGAGCCATACAGGTGATGTGGATCATCGTCATCATCATCAATTAATGATTAAACCTGGGGCCTATTCTGAAAAGGTTTGGTAGTGACAGATATTGTTATGAATTTGAAAAGGAAGTTATGATTGTGAAGATCTGTAACCAATGCTGCTCAGGAGGCGTAGAGATTTAAGCTGTGAGTAATGTTGTACTTATATTTTATATATTGATTGTCAAATTGAAATTACATGAAATGTGTACTTATTGGTGTGGTGCAGGTGTGTCATGTAGACCTTTGTAAGCATCTTTGATAGACATTTTATAGCAATAACTTGCCATAAAGGTATCCTCTATTCACTTTGAAAGAATAGCAATGAATCCAGACATACTGGAGCTCTATGTCTTGCACTCATCAGAATTACTTACAAGGATTAACAGAAAAACAGTTAAACATTAAAAAAAAAAAAGAGCAAAGTGCATGAAAAAATAACAGGCTGTGATTGGCTGTCAGGAATCACAAGACAGTAGACGTAATGCCAACTGTTTAATGAAAACGTGCTGTAGCCCCTACACAAGTAATTAATATTGCTTGTGTCGAGATGCGGTTCCCACGCAATTCCTAGCACTCTTAACACAGAGGCAGCCCAGCAGACGTGTCACTGTTGTCAGATTGATACCCACTGGCTAACTCTACAGGTTTTAATGTGTAATTGCAGTAATGCATTCTATGTAGCATTCCACAGAAACAAATTAATATTCATATAGTCACATGCATTGTATAAATCAACATCACAAAGTATTCTTGAATATTTATACTTAAACAAAAGGTATATTCACAGTATATGTAACTTACATGTATACTTCAAGCTTGGCAGCATCTGGTGAATATTGACACCAATCAGGGAGAGAGATAGATAGATGAAAAGATGGTGGATGAAAAGGGTGAATGTGTGTGAGGGATGACCTATTAGTATGAAAAAGGGATGAATCATGGAGATGTACAGTGTAGGGTTTTAAAAATTCAAAATAAATCCCTTCACTTGCATAGTACTAGGTGCATATAATGATATTTGGTTCATCAATGCCCAAAATTTGCTATATTCCTGGTATGCCAAGAACGTTTGTAACAAATTGTTGTCTTTGTTTGGAGGAAGCCTTCTTACTGTAGAGATTGAGGTGTCGTGGTCCAGTGAAAAAGTCTCCGGACTGTGAACCACAAGGTACAGGGTTCAAATCCCTGCCACATCACCAACGTCCTTTGGCAAGACGTTAATCTACATTTGCCACACTCCACCCAGGTGAGGTAAATGGGTACCTGGTAGAAATTAATTCTTTGAAATGCCAGAGCGCCGCAATGGCAGCACAGCCAAAGCCGCAAAGCTAAAGCCGGGGAATAATCTCCAAGTTTGGAAGCGCTTAGTGATTCTAATAAGCGCTATATACAAACTGAGTATTATTATTATTACCTGGCAGGATTATTCCTTGAAGTGAATTGTGCGCTGATAATGGCTGCCGGAGGTTAAGCTAGGGAAATAATTTCCAAAGCTCTTTGGAAGCGCATAGGGACGTTATATCATAATGTGTTATGTGCTATACTATACAAGAACAGATGATTATTATTATTCCTGTACGAGAAAGCAGTCCCACTGCCACATTATTCAAATCGGACTAAGGTCAAACAAGATCTTGCAGAGAACTCTTGCTTACATGTTCATGTCTGTTTTCTCCTCTGTATTTTTCACAGGAAGAGGAAGCTTTCTCCCTGTACAAGAAAGCGCTCGAGTTCCAACGCAGCGGAGATGTCCAGAAGGCTCAAGAAACTTACAAAGACCTCCTACAAACCAGATTCCTTTCAAAGGTAGAGTATACAGAATAAGGGGGTCAGATGTTGAGATAGTGGCCAAATGTCATTGTGATGGGCAACCTTGTTACCCTTCTAAATTTATAATGGACAAATGAACGTGCTTCTTATTGACATTGGATATGCACATACTTGAATCTTGGAAAAGGATAGAAATTATAAGTACAAATTGTAAGTGTCAACAATTTGATGAGTATAATTTAATCCTCTTTTTGTGATTTCGTTTTTTTCTTCCAATATTTGTATGTTGATGTTTAAATTTTACTCTTGTTTTTTAACAATGTGCTTGGATTTGCTGAGAAGCAGTCTGTTTTTACCGATTATGAGTTTTTACTGTGAACGAGTAAATTCTATACTATACAATACAATGAATATTGTTACAGTGTTCCTAGAATATACAGGCAGGATGCTATATTATAAACCAAGATTGACTGCTTGACAAGGCTTCGCAGGACAAGAAAGAAGGAGTGACCAACACAACGGTAACCCTGAAATACTTTACCTATTGTCACATGCTGTGAAAAGTAAAATTATGGTATAAAACATCATTTAAAAGTGAATAAAACGTCATCTTATAAAGCAAATAATATACACATCATTTTGTTCAGGCGTTAGTAAATTTACCCACACTCGGTACCTTTGAAACAGTCCAAACACCCTCGGCTATTGGGTAATTCTTACTAATGCCCTCACTGCTGTGTATTATTTGTATAATATTGCTGTTTTGTAGGTAAAGGCGTCTCAAGAGGAGCGAAGGGGAGGAGTTACCAACACGGCGATAACCCTGAAATACTCAAGCTATAAGAATCTTGGTAACCTGGCAATGGGAAAGGACGACACTGATACTGCCATGGAAAACTATCTGGAGGTATGAATCATTTTATATATATAGAGAGAGAGAGAGAGAGAGAGAGAGAGAGAGAGAGGAGAAAAAAAGAGTGAGGGAACTGAAGAGAGAAAGAAAGAATAAGAGGGGAAAAGAGAGAGAGAGAGAGAGAGACAGATAGAGAGACAAATAGAGAGACAGAGAAAGAGAGAAAGAGAGTATTAGAGAAAGGGGAACTAGTAACATAGAAAATTCTATGTTTAACACCTTGTAAATGATGGATACCGGTACTTGCAGATGTTTCATGTTGTGAATGAATTGAATCACAAATGCTCCAGTTTCAAAGACAGATAGAGAGAGAGAGAGAGAGAGAGAGAGATAGGCAGACATACATACAGACAAAGAGAGATAGACAGACAGAGAGAGATATTGTACTGCACTAAACGATATCACATATACATGAACATCTTGTCGTTTTATAGGCGGTCAGTTTAGACAGTACGGACGTCACCCTCTGGTACCGGATCGGCACCGTAGCGGTCAAGCTAAGCCAGCTAGCCTTGGCCAGGGTGGCCTTTGAGCAGGGCCTAAGATGTTCCAAGTTTCATTGGCCTTGCCTGGACTATCTCTGCACTGTGCTGTATGCCATCAACGACTATGTCAGTAAGTACCTTAGGCCAGGGAAAAAATGACTTGAACAATTTTGGGGGCTAATTTTCAAGCTTGCTTTGGTACTCTGAAATAACGCTCTTTAATTTGTTTTGCATTGAACTCTATGCAAATTTTGGGGGCTCTTTCATGACTTTCGAGGGCTAATTTGCCCCGAGCCCTCGTATATTTTTTCCCTGCCTTAGACTTAAAATAAAACGATGTTGTATTGCCTTTAGGTGCCAAAACCTGGGTTGGTCGGTCGGATATCTTTTCTCTTTTTGTTCTTTCTCAAAACAACAACCGTCGCAAACAAAACTCAAAACCGAGAATGTCGCCCAAAATCTTGCTGTTTTCTTGCTGGTGCAGTGCATAGTATATACACATACTCAGGGCCAGTGTCTACTTGTTTACGCTAGCAGGATTCCGAAACTAGGGCAGAAGATGAGTGAGAATTTGGGAATAATTTGATGATTTTATGCATTTATATCCCATTTTAACAAACAAAATAGTTTTTTTTTAAATTCATTTAACATTTTTTTTTTTAAACGTTAAAAAAAAAGAAGACTTTATTAAATAGCCGACCGTAGATTTTAAGATTTTTGGGTAGGTCGCAAAGGGCAATACAACACATTTAAAAAAAAGATTTTTGTGTGTATGGCTCAAGTGCCATTGTCTGTGCATAATATATACGTAACTTTGTGATTGTGATCAAATACAACACGCAACGAACACATATTTTCATCCCTATTATAGCGATGTGTATTAATGCAAAAACAGAGACACAGATAGTGAGGAAAATCTCATTTCAGTACTTCCATTCACAAGGCTCAAAGTGTTATCTTTCACGTAAAAAGTCATAAACAGCATGCAAAATCATTGAGTCTGCAGACATGGAACTGTTGTCTTTCCTTGTGAAAAGAGCATTGTTCCTGCTTAAATTTTTATTTTTATTTTGGCACTCTGACTCAAAGGAATATAGGGATATAAAATCTGTGTGGATCAGTAATTGATTCAGAATGCACTAATACCATTTTGCAATGCACTTGCCAATCTTTTGACTATTCTTATATTCATATTCCATTTGAACTTTCTTCCAGCTTGTCTGTACTACATAGCCCAAGCACTTGAGAAGGACAAACGATACACCAAAGGCAAGTACTTGTTTTTAATTTCTCAGCCTACGTTTTTTTTTTTTGGTAAGGATTACTTTCTGACCATAAACCTTTGCGCTCATGTAATGTTTAGATTCACAACAGTTTCATCTGTGAAACTACTGGATCACAACTGACACAACAATTTTTTTGTGTGCGTTTTTGCCATTTGTGAATGTTTCTTGCCTTTATGTCATTTTCACAATCATCATTGTCATTATCATTATTGCTATTATTACTCATGTATTTCAACATTTCCATTGTCATTATCAGTGTCATTATTTGTGATTGCCATTTCTACGTTTAATATCTTTGTCATTTTCATTGTCATTAACTCTAGAAAACATTGACAAATCAGTGACAAATCTGTTGATAACCAATCAGAAGCAAGGATTTCAGTAGCTTATAACAAAAACTGTCATTTGTCATTGGTGACAAGTTTTGTGAAACACCCCCCAGGTCATGTCTCTGTTGTTTTCTATCTGATGATGTAGGTTTTGCCCTGAGAGATCAGATGTACTCTGAGCAGCCTTGCCTGAGAAGAGATTGCCTGGATCTGTTCAAACACTGGTAAGTAACAAACTACTTTACAAGGAACCGTATTTCTTTTCAGATTGGAGGAGCAAGATTTCACAGAAAGATGATGATGATTCAATTTCAATTCAAATCTTTTAATTCAAATCTTTATTCAACCAATATAAAACAATTTATGACAATATACAAAATAATGGTTAGGACCCCTAAGAAGCAGAAATCTGCTTGTAATCGGGGCCCTGTAACAAAGAATAATTCTGTTGTTTCCTTTCTTATGATTTATGATCATAATTACCAAATAAATGCAAAGGTCAACAGTCTTCATTTTAATACTTGTATATTCCTTTATAATTTTTCTTCTTTTTCTTTTGCAGTGAAAATGATGTCTTTTACTATGAAGTACCCAAAGATAAACGACAAAAGGTATGACAGTTTGTTATTGTTTCTTTGGGGTGAGGGAAAAAGGGCTAAGGATAGATACTTATGTAAATATTGGTATACAAATGCTCTGTATAATATATGATATTCTATATAGTATATTTGGCCAACAGTTATTGAAGCATTGCTGCTAGAAAACAAGAAAAAATTAAAGGGATTGGGTATCTCTATCTCAGACTCTAAACAAAATCCTGGATATAGCTTGTGCTGCTATCATAACCTTTAGGTTAGTCAGGAATCCAATGACTTTTAAAAGCCGATCGCCTGTCTGATTATCAAGATATTTATGATTGGAATTTGAAATTTCAAAAACGGTTTCCCAACAATTTTTAAAACACTATAGGCTGCTGGGGTAATGAGTATGGTAAAACCGGTCACTCAACGATTTTTACTTTTTTGAGGCACTTCATGATCATTTTGAAAGTGCAATTGTTTTAGGGCTTCAATATGACACCATATCACAGACACGGATAACACGTAGGGCCATGCAACTCAGATTTGTAAAACAGGAACATTGTTAAACAATCATATGCCTTTAAAGCCCCTCTGCACAACTTATAGCTACTACCCTCTACATAGCAAACAGTGCCTAATCGGTGCATGTTGGTTCCCCATGATCCCCTTTTTCTTATGGTAATTGAGAGCTGATTTGATGAGATAACCACCTATCAGTGACCTTGAAGGGAGGTCTAATCCCTCCTGGCTAAACTAGTACAGACAGGCTTTAAGAGACAGATTAGAAAGAAATATATGTGGATTTTCTTGATTGTTTCTCCTTGTATATTTTCATTATATCTTGCAGATAGTAGATGAAGCCTTATCACTAAGGTATAAGAGACAGGAGCTTGCCAAAGCACCACCCTTGCCGAGGATCAAGTTCCTTCACCCTCTGACAGAATTAAAGTGAGATATTTTATTCCATTGTAAAGTTCCATTGACTGCTTGATTTTCTTAAAGTAATTGTAATATGTAATTTCATTTTGTATTTTTAAAATGGTTTATTCTGGAGTTTGAAATGAGTATGATAATGTTATTTGTTAGGAATTATTAATGTTTACATTTAAAAAACTGACGTTATATTGTTTTCTTTTCCATTTTGTTATTGTGTATTGTCATTGTAACCCTGCATGAGATGCATCCAATGTAATTTAAATCTCTGTCCTGGGTTTTATGTCAAATCTCTATTATTAACTCTTTCCATCTTGAATCCATAATGTACATTTTGAGTAGCTAAATTTTCTTTTCGTTCATAATATCTTAATTACTGTTCCTTGTTTAGTTGTTATGATTTGTATGTTTCTTTTCTGTTGTATAGTGCTCTGATCAGTTTGTCTGTAGTAGCGCTCAATAAGAATCAATTATTATTATCATTATTATTATTATTATTATGTTATATGAACAATGTATTTTCATGGATAAAGATGAATAAACATTCATTCAGGCTTGGTACTGCCATACTTTAATAATCTTCCTTGTTTCTTGTTCATTATTGAATTATTATTGTCTTTTATTATTTTTATATTGTCCTAGGTGGAAACCTCTTGGAGAAAGACTAGTTGCCCTTTATGATCACATGACATCGAAGGATCCACCAATGGTGAGTCAGCTTTCAAATACAAGAAATCATGCATGCATAACACAAATCACTTGGACTGATATTTGCTGGAAAAGATGACATGGTTGCTAAAAATGATGTTGGACAGATCTCTGTTGATAATTATTGTAAAGCATTATTATAATATTCTAAAGGAACTGTAGAAAGGATACATGTGTACGTATGTTCTGAAAGGAAATTTGACAAGATAAACATTCTTAGAGAGAGAGAGAGAGAGAGAGAGAAGGGAGAGCCAGCGAGACAGAGAAAGAAAGAGAAAAGGAGAACAAGAGACAGAAAGAAAGAGAAAAAAAAAAGAGAAATGTGGTAAAATAGGGGGGAAAAATGAAGGAAAAATAAGAAAGGAGATAGAATAGAGAGTAGAGGGGAGATAGAAATACCAGAATTATATTTATATATCATACACGTTTATGTTTGTAAAAAAAATTGTATATTAGCTTTCTCTCTTCACTTTATTTTATGTATGTCATCTTTAAGGTGCGTTTTTTTATGTATTTATATTCAATTTGGTGTCTATATGATCTGTTTCATGTTTATAACGCAGACTTGCTGAAAAGAAGTCTTTTTAGGCTGATGTGAGTTTTACCTGATTAAATAAAGACAAATTAAACAAATGATAAATAAGTTATAGGAGAGGGAGAAGTAGGAATGAGACGATTTCATGTGCGAGAGCTAAAATTATTTGTACAATACCTTTCCTTTATTTAAACATATTTGTGGCTTTGAAGCATTACATTTATAAAATACCTTTCCTGTTTATACATTTTTTTTTCTCATTGTTCTCTCAGAGCCTCGTCACAATAATTGATCTGGAGGATTACAAGTCTAAAGAGACAGGTATGTATATCTTAACTTTTAAAGCCTGTCTGCCCTAGTTTGGCCAGGAGGGATTAGACCTCCCTGCGTGGTCACTGACAGGTGGTTATGTCATCAATCAGCTCTCAATTCATAAGAAAAATGGATCATAGGGGACCAACGGGTACCGCTTAGGCATTCTTTGCTATGTAGAGGGCGCAAGTAGCTACAGTCCTGCTTTAAATCAGAAAATATGGCTGTGTCTGAAACTTTTGTGAGTTGTGTACGTAGTCCAGATTTGCTATAGCTTCAATTACAAAATGACTGAAATATCCATGAATTACATCTGTGAAATCTTGCAGTTATGAAATGTTTACTATCCACCAAAACAACATTTCACAACAATTTGCAAAAGTTAGTGGGTTTTCAACAGTAGATGAATCCAAAATAATCCATCAAAATGAAAGGAGAAAAGAAAATTAAAGAATGGAGAGGGGCTATGAACTGGCTTGTAGTGGTGTTTTCATTGTCATCATCATCTCTTGAGGGCTGATCATATGTCAATGATAACAATAAAAACTACCTCTGATAAAAAGGCACAATGCTCGCTGATTTGTGCTATCGAGCCTTCAGCATCAATTTTCTCAGATCCATGACATTTTCTACCAAGATGGATATCATAATTATCATTAGAAATTATCTTAAAAAGAAGGTTGAGTTCTGGGAAGAGGTAAAAAATATTTTGTGAGCGTTATCATTGTATTATGAGAGTGTGGAAGAACATCAGATAAAAAATCTTCCCTGAAAAGCATGGCTATTCAAATGTCTTAATATTCTAAATATGGCACGTAAAATCATAACAATCGGGACAGATTTAATGCCACATGTTCGTGTAAGTCCCATATACATCTTTCTGTGTACAGTGCTTGTAACTTTATTAAGACTGGGCCAAATTTCTTATCGTTTTGATGATTCCAGAACCTTGCAGTACACACCAATACTTATATGCTAGATGATCAACCTTTTCTGATCGATTCCACACCATTTCTTTCACAATGCAATTGCATGACCTGAACTCAACTTTATCTTTAACACGTTTCTCTTTTCATTTTGAATGTCCAAAGCTTCCAAAGCAGCCAAAGATGTCACACCAGAGAGAGCAAAGATGGGGCCTTCTCCTGCTCCAATGGATGTAGATCCCTCCGATCAAAACAAACCTGCAGCATCCCCCGTGTCTGGTAGTAGGGAAGGTGATCAAGAGGACCGTCAGATACCCACAGACACCCCAGAGCACATGGGGGAGCAGACCCCAGGACAGATGGGTGAAGAGGCCAAAGAGGCTGAAGAACCACAGCAAGCAGGTGCAGTAGATTACATGCATGTCATTTGAAGGAATAGCAATTCATTGTCCATGTAAAGTGGTCTAGTGGTTAGTTATGTGGTCTCACTGTACAAGACCAAGAGTTCAATCCTGAGTCACATTTCTCGAATGATGACATGAAAGGTCTGTACCCAAATGTAAATTAAGGCTGTACGCCATCTTTTTAAGGGGGTCCAGATTGAAATGTTGAGGGTTTGTGTTTCTGGGTCCTATGTATGAATTTCAAATTCTCTTTTTTTGCGGCCCTATACAAAGGGCTTGACTTCCCATCGACTGGTAGTAGGTAGGAACTCTTCTTTAATCCTGTTGCAGTTCCTTTCTAAATCAAGTTGTTGTCTAGTCTTTGTAAGTTCTGACAAATCCATTATACATTGTTTTAAAAGTAGATGCTGAAGAATCTATGGATGTGGATGTGGAAACAGTGCTAGATGAGAAGACCAAAACTGAAGAGAGCAAGACGACAGAACCTGCCGAGAGTAAGACGATGACAGAAGATGCGGGTACATCAGAACAGACCCTTGGAAGTTCTGCACTGACCCTCAAACAGCTTGCTGAAGCCTATCTGAAGAGCCGAGGAGTTCAAGAAGAAGGAACTGACCTGCCAGGGGATGCTGCGTCTGCATCAGCTGTAGATGTAAGTTTGTATAGGCTTGGAGAATCCCAACCTTACGGTGAGATGGTAGTCGGTTTCCATGAGCAGTAGGTCATAAATCGCTGACACCAGACTTGGTGGAGATGCCATTAAGGGGTATGCAGTTTCGCACACAGCAAAACCCGTAGTCCAATCAAGAAATATCCCCTAGCCTCTCGGAGAGTCTTTGTGTTAAGGATATGTAAATTGAGGACTTTTCCATACGGGACGATTGGTGGAAAATGCAGAGCATTACATAAAGCCTGTTGGTCATAAAACTGAAGGCTAATCCTGGTGATTGACAACACCTGTTATGGGGTTAACACCCAAACGGTATAAAATTCCCCATGAGAACCCGAAACTTGTATCTGCGTCTTTAAAAAGGGCTACGCCTTTTCTGCTGCTCCCATAGCCAGGGGTCTAATTAAACATTCATATATTCTTCACAATGTTTACGAAAAAGCACATGGGAAAATGATGGGTTGGGCCTTGGCCTCAGCGCAGTGTTTTTCCTTGTTACCCTGTAACAGATTATTGACATTTTATAGATCAAATTGGGTGCATTAAACTGCTGATGGCACTAAGTCCTGAGCTTAGGTGAAAAAGAGAAACCCATTATAAAAGAAGAAAAAAGGACAACTGCTATACCAAGTGGGTAGATGTGTAAACATATCTGAATAGAATGAGCTATATGGGCTAACATGAGGTAACCATGCACAAATTTACAGATTGAATCTTTACTGAAATCCAGCCTTTTTTGGTCACAATAAATAAATCAATAAGATAAAATAAAAATAGATTTTCAACAATTGTTCTCTTCCAAAGATGGAAAAAGAGCAGGAACCTCCTGACAGCACCACTGCAGTGCTAGACTCCACCCCAGCCATTTCAGACCTGCCCAACATGGAGCTGCAGGCAGACAGTGCAGCAGGGAGCAGCCAGGATAGCATCCAGCAGTCTGGTAGGGAGTCTACCATGGGCGAATCATCCCAGGACAAGACGAAGATCCAGCCTGAAGGTAAGCAGTTTATGGATCTGGGCCCTGTTTCATGAAACTTGTTATCAATGACATGTTTCAATAACTGTTATAAGCTACTGAAATCGTGGTATTTGATTGGCTGAGAGCGAATTTGTCATAGAATTTTTGAATTTGTTATTGATAACAAGTTTTATGAAACAGGCCCCTGATCTGTCAGAGAAATAACAGCTCTCTGAAAACTTGAAATCTAAAGCTGAGGCGATGAGAGGATGTCATCAAGTCAAAAGCTAGTATTTAGGTTGACAACTTTTGTTTCCCATGCTTTAGATTTCTAGTTTTCAGAGAGCTGTTATTTCGTAGTACAACAAATTTTTACCGATGACTGCAGCGTTTTTTTTAATCTCCCATTCACCAACTGGTAATGAATGTCCAAGCACATACATTTACATAATCATGAATATGTATCTGATTAACAAGAATTCAGATTTCTAACATAACAAGGATTTAGTTCTATGTGTGACCTCTCAATATAAAAGTGTCGTAGTCGAGTGGTTCAAGCACTTGACTTGAAATTCAAAGGTCCTGGTTCGATCCCTGACATGGCACTAATGTCCTTTGGCAAGGCATTACTGTTCATTTGCCACACTCGACCCAGGTGAGGTAAATGGTACCTGGCAGGAATCAATTCCTTGAAATGCTGGAGCACTGTAATGGCAGCTAGGTTAAAGCCGAGGTAATAATATGTGCATCTCGGAGTATAATTTCTAGATAGACAGCGCTGTATAAATGCAGACATGCCAACCGTTCCGATTTTAACGGAACTGTTCAGTTTTTGAAGTTTTTATAGCCCTAAAAAACGGAACGTTCCGATTTTGGGGAATTTGGCTTTCCATACATAGCATTGATCCGATCGAGTGCTGAACGGATATCATTGCGCAAGGTGCGTGCAGCGTGCACTGATATGTACGTACAGTGGCAGCGTGTTGCTGCGCGCCACGTGCACTCTGATATGTGTTTCCGTACGTAACATTTCCGTACGTAAATACTTGCGCTGGCAAATCTCGTAAGTATAATTTCTATACATTTGCACGCATATCAGCGCAGCATGCATGCATTGGCTATCGCGGCTAGCGCACCGTATATGTATAGGGTCCCCATGCAAAGTACGTGTTTCGAGGTACCGTATACTTTGTGATTTGTGATTTGTCTCGGAAGAAAATCTGTCAAAATGAGCGGAACAGCAGCAAGACGAATTCAGAAGTACAAACAGGAATACAAGGACCGATGGCAAAAAGCTAGCCCGCCACCTTCCCACCTCGAACCTTTCGAGTTCCGCTAAAATTGTGCGCTGCGGAGCTCCGAGGGTGCGTTGGTATCGCTGGCAAACTCTCGGGCGGCTAGCTCCCCACGACGGACCATTCGCGGTATGGCGAGAGTGTGTGTGTGAGATACGATTTTGGATTCGAGAACGCACGTACCACAACCGTGCATGTCATGAGAGAGATAGAGAGAAAGAGAGAAAGTGTGTGTGTGAGATACGATTTTGGATTCGAGAACGCACGTACCACAACCGTGCATGTCATTTTCAAATGTCGTATGTCTTTGACAAATTGACAGTATGTTGTGCTGTGTTCTTGGTATGGTAGAGACATGGCCAGGTGAGAGAGAGAGAGAGAGATAGAGAGAAAGAGAGAGAGTGTGTGTGTGAGATACGATTTTGGATTCGAGAACGCACGTACCACAACCGTGCATGTCATTTTCAAATGTCGTATGTCTTTGACAAATTTTACATGTACGATTTTTAGTACAGATACTTGGTCAGTTTTCTTCTTATATCTTTGGTTTTACAACATTTAGAAATATAATTTCTTCAAATTTGCTCCTGACTCGGTTCAGACTAATTGTCTGATGTCTTTTCAAGTCAATTTCTTGAATATAGATCTATTTTTTTTCATGAATTTGCCTAGATTCTAGAGCTAGTATGACACAAAAATTACCCATAAACTTGGGTTGAATTTTAGGGGAAATGGTCCCTAGAATAGGCTCAGATTGCAACAGAGAGCATCTGGAAACCCAGAGCTTCCAGGACCCTAAAGCGGGCCCTGGACCCCGGCTAAAAGGACTTCGCGCTCGTGATGTGCGCTTCGCGCACATAGTGTACAGATTTCTGATTTTCAAATGTTGGCATGTATGTAAATGCCTATTATTATTATTATTAAACATTGTATTTCTGTCCCTTTTCAAACCAAGATGCGGTTGCGATGGATGCGGAGGATAGCCAGGCAGAGAAGAGCCGGAGAGGGCAGAAGAGAAAGAGGTTGCTGAGGGACATGCCTGCCCCTGGGAAGCGCCGCTCAGCTAGGGTAAGAAATCTGACCCATTATTCGTTGCTAGGTATGGCAAATATGGTCAAACCTGCCTTAGTGACCACCTGTCTACAAAGACCACATTCCTTCTCACTTTCCCTTAATTATTTTGTATCAACAAGGTTCCCATCATTACCGGTACACCAGAACTGTCGTACACAATACAACAGTAAAAAAAAAAAAAAAAGGAGAGAGTAAACTATACTGTGGTACTCCATCAGTTCTGTCTCACTTTACCTTTATTGTTTCAAATCAACAATGCTTCTTTCATTACAGGTGTGCAATACAAGAGTGAAAAAGATAAAAGAAGGAGACGGTAAATAATATTGGGGTAATCCGGCAGTTCTGTCTCACTTTACTTTGATTATTCCAAATCAACAACGTTTTTTCATTGCAGGTGCGCAACACAACAGTCAAGAAAAAAGAAGAAGAGGAGATAGTAAACTATACTGAGGTACTCCGCCAGTTCCTTCCCTCGACTCTCCTGGTCAGCGATGACGAGGAGGAGGATCTACAGCTCAAGAAGTCAGGGGATAAGGATTCTAAGGAAATAGATGTAAAGAAAGCGAGAGGTGAGAGAAGAAAACTGGTGTCAAACTCCTGAAATGTGTTTCAAGAATCTTCTTAAAATTATGTTTATCTCCCCCTGCTGTTTTTCTTAAAAATCAAGGACAGTATGTTGTGCTGTGTTCTTGGTATGGTAGAGACATGGCCAGGTGAGAAAGAGAGAGAGAGAGAGAGAGAGAGAGAGAGAGAGAGGAAGAGAGAAGGGGGGGGGGGGTGAGAGAAACGAGAAATATTGAAATATGGATGTGAAGGAGTTCGAGAGAAAGAGAAAATAGAAAGGAGGAAAGAGATTTGTAGAAATGATGACAAAGAGATGAAAAAAGGGAGAGAGAGAACAGACAGACAAAGAGAAAGAGAAGGAGAAATTGTCTAAGATACAGACAGTGTTTCTAGCGAGCCTGTAAAATGTGTATGTGTGAGAGAGAGAGAGAGAGACAGAAAAATAGATAGGATAAAGAAATGGAATGAGATGAATAATGAGACAGTGAGAAAAATTGAATTTCAGTCGAATTACAGAGGTGGCACTTACATAAAAAGGAAAAAAAAATCACAGCTTATCATTTGAGTTGAGTTAGAATAATAATTAAACCAAAATACACCTAGTTTGTATTTCTTTTATTATCCTCAAAATGTTGTTTTCTTAAATGAGTCGAGTTAGAATAATAATTATACCTAAATACACCTAGTTTGTATTTCTTTTATTATCCTCAAAATATTGTTTTCGTATTCCCCCCTCCCCCCCCCTCCCCCCCCCCTCCCCCCACAAACAACGACAACTGCAGAATCTCCAGTAAATGAGAGAGATTCCTTTGGAGCCGTGGAAATAGACGATGTTCACAGTTTACTGGTAGAATGTCAAGTGAACAATGGCATCATCGATGTGATGAGCAGATACCTGGAAAGACTGGTTGCCAAACATGATCTCAAGTGGCCTGATGGATTGGCCGCAGTGTATCTGGATGTGTACAAGAGATTGAGAAAGCATATCAGTCTCCCTGAATTGCTCTGGTAAGTTGAACCTGACTCTTTTTCAGAGATTTTAAAGTTGGAGAGAGCCTGATATGTTTTTAGCACAGCTCTCTAGAGAGAGAAGAGAGAAAAGGGGAGATTTGGAGATCTGTAATATTCTAATGTAATGCAAAGCGGAGAGTTCTTGCCCCTTTGGATCACAGTCAATTGACTATTTTTTTCCATTTGAGCCAGGGCCTTTTCACCGATGTTAAAGTCAGAGAAGGCCTGTGATATTTGGAGCAGAAGAAGGATGCTGTGGAGAGAATATTACAAGTTTATGAGTTTATGCCCTTCTGGCTCCAAGCAGGCGATATGTTAGTGTGCAGCATATGGGAGAGTTGTACCAGTTTTTTCTCGGTCTGAAGATTAATTTGTCAATTTAGACTTAACATTTCCATTATTCCCAATTTCTGAACATTTATAACTCTCCTATTATTTCTGTATTTTTATTCAACCTTTCACTTTTCTATTTCTCTAGTTTTTCTGTTTTTACAAAATTGAAGTTGTTGAAAACATTGGGTTGCCATTGAAAATATATGTTTTTGTGTTTTTCTCCTCTTTTTCTGCAGCTGTGATGAAGATGAAATAGTTGTACGAGAGATGAGTATGATGTGCCTTCTATCGGCGGAGTTCAACCTAGATCAGTGTCTGTCTGCTAAGACTAACGGCAATACGCCTGCCGCATCACCAGCCATGTAAGTCACCTTAAGATACCTGACATGCATAAGTGTTCTCTGCACCAGTTTAAAATGTTTTGTTGCAGAAACCACTCCTTTCGAAGTCCCTTTTTATAATATCCAAATAAATGCTTAATTAGAATTGTATCACATCTGTCGTTTCTCATTGATAACCGTATTGCAGGGGAACACCACAAATATTTTGTTCTGTATGTTTTGGAATTCCTTCTCAGATTCTACATTCAAAATATTAGCTTTGAATTTTTCTTCCTTGAAGACTTATTGCATGTCTGTTTGTAGTGAAGCCCTTTTGGTGCGAAGCCTTTATGTCTCTTTCTCTTTCTTCTTCACAGGCTCGGTGCAAACACCACAACCTGCACCTACAAGTGGGGAGAGCACCATGAAGACGATATGATGTACCTCCAGGAGCTCACCTTGATGCAATACATGCTACCAGACCTGTGGCCAGTGATACCGGCAAGAGGTATAGTGGTACATTTCATGTTTTAACCTCGTCATGTGAAGTGAATGGGGAACCTCTCAATGTACCATCAGTAGGTGTGGTGGTACGGTTGTCATATAAATGTATGTGTGTGTGTGTGTACATGCATGAACAAGTAAATTATTTTGATGCAATACATGCTTCCAGACCTTTGGCCAGTGATACCAGCAAGAGGTTTAGTGGTACCGTTATAGTTTTAACCCTGTCATGTGTAGTGAATGGGGAACCTTTCATTGTACCTTCAGTATGTGTAATAGTACCGTTAAATGTATGATTAAGTTACTTGATGCAATACCTGCTTCCAGACCTGTGGCCAGTGATACCAGCAAGAGGTTTAGTGGTAGCGTTATAGTTTTAACCCTGTCATGTGTAGTGAATGGGGAACCTTTCATTGTACCATCAGTAGGTGTAATGGTACCGTTGAATATATGAATAAGTTACCTGATGCAATACATGCTTCCAGACTTGTAGCCACTGAAAACAACCTATAGTTATTGTGGTACCAATTTTGATTAAATCTTGTCATGTGGATTGGATGGGCAGCCTTGCATCGAACCATTAGTAGATGTGATGGTACCATTGTTTGTTCATGTTTAAGTAAGTAACTTACCTTGATGCAATACGTAATACATGTGACCTTTGATACTAGCAAGAGGTATAGCGGTACCGTTATTGTTTCATCCCTGTCCTGTGTAGTGAATGAGGAACCTTTCATTGTACCATCAATAGGTGTAATGGTACCATCACATTACAAGTCATTCGTCATTGGCAGTCTATCTTTAAGTTGATGGCATTATAAAACATTTCAGTATTTACTTGCAAGGCTCCACATCTTCTGACTCGTAGATTGCACAGAAAGGATAACATTTACTCTGAAAGTGCAAATTTTAGTAATTATTTCCACCTGTTTGTTTCCACAGTTTACTGGCTGAAGGCTCGATATTATCGGCAAATTGGAAAAACTGCTGATGGAGAAGATGCTTTTGAGAGGGTAAGACAAAACTTTCCTTGATCACTTTGAATTGATTTTTTTTTGTCTGTAACAAGAAAGTGGTCATCTGCTTGGCAGACATTGTTTTTTGTACCCTTCCGTCTGGCATTTTCAGATGTCTTACCGTTTGTAATGAGGATAGGGTTGAGTCTAGGCTCATGCATGCAAATGCCATGCATAATCATGGTCTATTGTCTAGCATGCAAATACATGCTATGTCCAGTGGGGGGTCAAGACGCCGACCACTGCCACACTGTATACCGTAAACTAATTCACTAGCACTGCTTGTGAATGCCTCCTCTATAAATTGTACTACTTCACTTCAAGTCTTAGTAGCCATCTTTACACCATTGAATCCTCAATTGACATTCCGTAAAGTAATAACCATGATTGTATTTCATTGCTCCAGTGCAAGGAAGTGTTGATGAGAGAGGAGGAGAGAAGGAAGGAGGATAGACAGCGTGCAAAGGAAGGGAAAGTGGAAGAGGAGGAGATGGAGACGGATGAGACGGATGGAGCCAATGAACGGAGACCAGCTAAGGTGGCAGTGGCTAACATCAAGCATGGAGCTTTGATATCTATAGGTATGGTCTGATTTACATACAAAGAAAACAATAATGGTCCTAGTAGTGTCCCCTGAGGGACACCACAAGTTCCAGTATGTTTTCCAAGAAAAAAAAGGAAGATCTAATTATTGTCTGTTTAGGACCATAAGGGCATTAAATTATTTAAAACATGTGTGAAAAGTCCTTTGGGCTTTCAGCTAGCGATGTACATGTAGATGGAAGCCAGTGTGTTACAGTGTGTTCGTTGTAAACCAAGATGATACATGTGTTAAAAAGCAGTTGAGATTTATTGTTTTCTTTTCCTTTTGCAATGTAATATTCAGTTTATTTTCTAATACTATTTTTTTAATGAAGATGCAAGGAATGTTTTCTCTTAAAATTGCACACAGAATATAACATTCAAGATTGAAGAATACAAATACAGTGAAACTAGGTATCACAGCTAAAGTTTGAAAGTATCTACATTTCATTTCCCCTGCCAATTTCATTTTAGAGCACATGGAAAGAGGAGTTTTGATACCTCATTTGTCAAATTTGAATAAGTACTTTTGAAAATACGGCCACTTACATAAGAGACGAAAAGGTTAATTTTGCGTAATTAGGCTGTAACTGACAATTAGCCATTTTCAAGGTGACATAATTTTGTAATTAATTGATGAATCACCTTTCTTTTCAAGAAATCTGTTCTCTGTATGGATTTATACATGCCTATTTTTTTCTAGGTTCTTTAGACAAATATTTTTTTTGGTGGAATTTTTCAAATAATTAAATGAAGCCCATTTTGATGCGTGTGACAAATGGCTATTTTTGCGTCGCCGGAACAAGTTTTCATGGGTTTTGAAACATGGCTAGATTTAAGAGTGTCTATGAAGTGGGGCTGAATTTCGGCATATCTGGGGTATGTATATAGCTTAATCATTTCTGTAAGTTTGGACCATCAAATCCATTTAAATTAATTTTTAATGGCATTTGAAAAAGGCTCTTAACTCTTAAAACTTCATATTTTAAAGCACCCTTAAGCTTTTTTGTGTGTTTTCAAGTCTGCCTAAATTGAAAACCATTAATGGTAGGGGAATGAATTTTGGCACATCAATAGAAAGTATGGCAGTGGCGGATCCAGGGGGGGGGGGGGGGGCACAAAAAAAAAAATATGTTAAAATCAGCCCTAAATTCCCCCAAAATGTACTGAAAAACAGGGACGTGCCCCCCCCCCCCCCCCACGGAGAAAATTAAAAAATTTCTTGACCCCCCCCCCCCAAAAAAAAGTGCCCTCTTATCCCCCCCCCCCCCAACCACCCTCCCTCCCCCCTAGGCCTACCTAACTTATTTACTATATAAACAAAAATAATAACAAATCCCTTTTAATTGAAATTCATAAATTGAATCCACGATCTTAAATTTAAAAACTCTGGGAAAGCAATAAATGCCCTTTAAATCCTTGGCGTGGGTTCGCAATCACAACATGAGAATAGAGACACCAGTATGGGCGGTGCACAGCCGCCGAGCTATCACCGAGTGTGTGTGTGTGTCGTTGGGTTTTCATACAGACGTGCATCAATCAGATATGATTACTGAAAAGACACTGCCTGAATTTAATTGGAATTTAATAATTATTATCCAAAGATCAGAAAAGCCGTCATTACAGTTATTTGATGTAGATTGAAACACACAAAATATTTTTTTTCTGACAAAATTTGATTAAATTTTCACTCTATAAATTGACAAAGATTACACAAGTTTGTTCTTGAATTTCTTAAAAAGTCACTTTGAAATTCAAAGTTCACTCGCATGACGTGTGAGAAAAATTGCGAGTGGAAAAGCACAAACATGTATTATTGGTCTTTTGATCGCTTTAAAATCTGTTTAGGTTACGATAGCATAATAATTCCGTCGAAATATATATGTATTTACTAATTTGTTCGCCAAATGCTGCAAATCCTGCCTCAGTTTCGATATTTGAAGCCTCAGATTCATGCTCCGTTTCGGATCTTGATGGGACGGCAAGCAGCGGGTGCGGTGATGCGACACGTGGCCGCCACGTTGCCCGTCGGGTCCGCGTGCGAAGCTGGGGGCTTGCTCGCTGTAGTCACTCTCGCTCAGTGCGTATTATACACAGAGTACAGCTGTACTAACCGGATTCGCGCTCTAGCGCCATCCAGCGGTCATTCTTAATATTTACATGATCGTATTCTCCAGTAAATTCTCTTTCTTCTCGTATCAAAATTGAATTAAAAGTATGTTTTTCTGATATAGAAAAATTGTTTCAAACTTTTCACTCTGATTTTTCACGATCTTTTTGAAACATACCCCCATCAGTTTTTATATGAAAATAAAGCTTAAGATGTGCTCTTTCCAACCAGTGGATTTTTAAAACTCAAAGACGAATGGCGTTCAAGCGAATTGAGCTAAAACTAGGGAAACAAATCGGCCGTCAAAAAAAAATGGCGACAAACGAAGTGAGACCGTACGAATTAGAGGGTAAATCTCAAGCAACTGTGTCGTAAGTAATTAATGGATTTTGATGAAAATGACATGACATGAAAGACAGAATCCTAAGCTTTCGAGAGACATATAATTTTATAATATTTATTTTTTCCATGATATGAAAATCTTCCTTCACAAAAAGAGAATTTGCGTGGTGGAGCTCTGTGTGTCCCCACTCAACGCAGCTCTTCTGTGATACCTAGTGAAACATGTCTATAAAACCACCCAAGGGGTACAAGATATTAAAAATGGTCTTTATAGGCAGGTGGTCTTTGTAGAGAGTTGTCTATAAGACATGTTTAAAAAAGAAACCATTTTGAAGGGAAACAAAATATTTAGTCTTTGTAAACTGGTGGTCTTTGTGACAGGTGGTCTATGAAGACAGGTGGTCACTAAAGCAGGTCTGACTATACTTTAATTGTTGGTAAATTCATCATTTTGCAGCAAGCATCACATCCGAGGTGGAGTCCCTGCAGCGCTGCCAGAGCCTAGAGCAGCTCCAGCGCCTCCACGCCTCCGGTGACCACGGCAAGGTGGTGGAGCTACTCCGCCCGACCATCAGACACACCCCTAGGCCGGTCCGCCCTGAGAACACACCCGAGAGGTGCTCTCAGCTACTACTACTCATCCAGTCACAGATGGAACTCAAGGATGCCAAGGTGAGGGGAAGCACCCTTTGGTGTTAGAGGGGAAGTCCCATTTTGTGTTAGAGGGGAAGTCCCCTTTGGTGTCAAATAGACTTTAAAGGGACCAATCAACAACAACAACTAAAATAGTTTGTCATTTGATGTAATTGGATGCCAAGGTTAGATTTCACTGGATATCCCTAGATAATTTCAGGGCAGGAAGTTGTTTGAAGGGCCAGAGAGTGTAAATTAGAAGAAAAGTGATGATAAAGATTTTCGTTGTGGCATTTACACATTCATATCTCATCAGAAAAAGAACTGATTGACAAGATTGTACTTTTTTTAGATTGGCAACATTGATAATTTTCTTGCATTACCATATGTTTCTAGTAAGGCCATTTTATCTTATGAGAATATATATGGAGAGAGAACGGAGTTGGAGAAAGAGGAGAACGAGAGAGAGAAAAAGAGAAGATGAAAATTAAGTTGTCTTGATTTAGTTTAAGGAATTCATGTTTTTATTTTTTTTCATTTCAATGTTCCAGGAGAGTATATTCTGCTGTGTCCTGGGTATGGTGGAGACATGGCAAGGTGTCCAGAGAGAAGGGATGCAAGTCTTTCATCAACTCTGGCTCGAAACACTCAACAAAACACTTACCCATCTTCAAAAGTAAGTCTGATGAATTGCCCTAAAAATATCTTCCAAAACCTTTCAAGTCAAGAATCTGTTCAGAGGTCTTCCTAAGGAAGATTCAAGCTGTACAAGTACACTTGTAGCATCAATAGTAACCTTTATTTTAATTTCCAATTAAAACGCATTAGCATGTTGAGAGTAGTACAGATATTGGTTTACTCTTCTTTTCACTTGCTTTTAAATATTTTTAAATCTCATACTTTTGATGCTGCATAATTTTGTGGACAAGAATTTATGGATAGGGTTTCAGGAGTCGTGAAGTAAATTTGGTCATTAATAGTATGTATCAATATTAACCTTGCACAATTTTTTGCTTTGGTCAGAGATTTTTCTTGTGAAATGGAATTTTCAATGCGTGTTTAGTTGCACCATCAGGACAAATAATTTTGTGAACATTTCTCTTTACCCTTCTAGAGCGTTTGAATCTTGTGAAATCAGTTCTCTGGCATATGATTATTGAGGAAGGCAAACAAACTTTTCAAACAATGTTTTCTTCAAAAATATCTTCCCTTGACATCGTAATCTCTTCCATTCCTCCTATTTTAAAGAAAATTCTTCTTCAATTTCTTAGAGCCTTTGAATCGTGTGAGATCAGTTCTCTGGGTATACATGTAGGTGGCACATGATAACTGAGGAAGGCGAACAAATTTCTGTTTAAAAAAAAGAAGTCTTCCCTTGATATCATAATCTCTTCTCTTCCTCCTATTTTAAAGAAATTTCTGATACTATAATAATGATAAAACGTTGCTTATAAAGCGCTTTCCACCAAATTTTCTAAGCACTATACAAACAAAATACAATGACAAACAATTATATATTAATCCAAAAATTACAAATTAACCTAATAATTACAATACATATGGAATATACATCAATGTGAACAGAGTAAGTTAATCATCAAAATCACTTTGAATAAATAATGTTTGGATAATGTTTGGTTTGATAATGTTTGGATCTTCTTCAATTTCCTAGAGCCTTTGAGTCGTGTGAGATCAGCTCCCTGGGTGTAGGAGGTACAGGATTACTCAGGAAGGCAGTCAATGTCCTTATCAAGATCATTGAATGGACCATGTACCAGGCCGACGTCAATGAGACAACCAACGCAACATCGGTCATGCCATGGGTAGTACTCTACCACACCATCAAGTAGTAAGTATCATTTTTAATAATCAGAATACAGTGAAATCCGTTTAGATAATAGTAACGATAATAGTACGTGGTTGTAAAGCACTTTCCATCAAAGTCTCTTCATGCTATACATACAAAATACAATGACAAACAATTATTTATTAAACAAAAGTTACAAATAAACCAACAAATTACAATACATATAAAATATACATCAATGTAGATAGAGTAAGTTAATCATCAAAAGCAATTTTGAATAAATGTGTCTTAAAGACAAGTTTGGAATTGGTGAACAGTCTGATAGTTTTTGACATGTAAAGGTAGTTTGTTCCAAATTTCAGCAGAAGCTTTGCAAAAAAAGCGATGACCATATGAAAGAGTTGACACCAAAGTAGACACATGGTTTAATTGTGAAGATGACCGTAGACTGCGTTAGTTGAGAACTTAATTATGCTACTTCAAATATCCAATATATTTGTTGTAGCTGTAAAAGAAGAAATTTATAATGAACCTCATTTACTTTTAGGACATCTCTCTGTCTTCACCTACAAACCTGCTCAGATGGACTCAGGTTCCAAAATGAGTCACGTCTTTTGGATGGTGACATTAAAGGTCGATCCCTAGATAGAAATATTCATATCTGATTGATACACGACTGTAAAAACCCCAATTACACATACACACAAACCTGGCCGTAGCACTAATGTTAATCTACATTTGCCACTCTCCACCCAGGTGTTAAATGAGTACCCCGTAAAGATACAAAAATTAATGTGGCTAGATGAGCAAGTGTGCGCCTAAATGACGCCTGGCTGGAATGCTCAACATTGTGTGTGGGCAAGCCTAAATCCAATGACAGGTAATAACATATCTGTGAAGCATAAAGAGACATCGATGAATTGAGCGCTATATAAAAGCGGAATATGATTATTATTAATAAACGATTGAATTTGACTCTTTTTACGCTTTATAGTGAGGAAGATCACCTAGCAGCTAAAAGCCTGCCCTCGTCTGACCATGAGGGTGAAGAGGGTATTCATTCACCGAGCACAGTCCCGATGTTACCGTCGTCCCTCATGCTCCTGGAGAACGCACATGACTATCTAGGAAGGTAAATTGAACTGTGTAAATGTATCAAGGAAGGTAAATTGAACTGTGTAAATGTATCTAGGAAGGTAAATTGAACTGTGTAAATGTATCGAGGAAGGTAAATTGAACTGTGTAAATGTATCTAGGAAGGTAAATTGAACTGTGTAAATGTATCTAGGAAGGTAAATTGAACTGTGTAAATGTATCGAGGAAGGTAAATTGAACTGTGTAAATGTATCGAGGAAGGTAAATTGAACTGTAAATGTAACTCAATCTTCAATCCCATTTTGCAGGGGAGTGGAGATGATGCATATTTATGTGTGTACTTAAAATCCAGCGGCCAGGGAAAATGGAATATAATTATTGCTATAGTTGAAAAGTTTGAACTACATTATGAAAAGCTCTCATTAAAGGTATAGACCAGTTCTGGTCATGCGATTGCATTGTGAAAGAAACGTTATGGAATCAATCAGAAAAGGTTGATCATCTAGCATATTAGTATTGGTGTGTACTGCAAGGTTCTGGAATCATCAAAATAATATGAAATTTGGCCCACTCTTGGTAAAGTTACAAGCACTGTACACAGAAAGATGTATATGAGACTACGCGATATCTATCCAGGCCGGATCGATATGATAATTTACCAAATATATCAATTAGTAGGGGGGATTACAATGTATAGCGCTAGTATTTACATGTACTGTGTGCTTAGCTCTAGAAGTGATAAAAGTCAAATGGGGGTTTCAATTTTAAACAACAAATTTTTTCATCATGTAGGCTTTTTGTATTATGTAGAGAGTTTGACATTAGATCTGTGCTTTTCATGATATTTTATTGCTTCTTCTTCTTCCTGCCAGACAAACCTGGTGTTGTAACTGCGATGGTGCCCTTCTGAAGCTCTACATCCGTGTCCTGAGCACCGAACTGGGCAAGTACTCTGAAGACGAGAGACATCCATTCTTCAGTGACCTCAAACACACCTTGGAACAGTGTTTCTTCTGTCTGTACGGACACCCGACCAAGAAGACCAAGACCAGACATCTTCAGGACCACGGAGCTATAGAGGTGAGCCTAGATGAAGCGCTTTCTTATATCCGCCATTTGTGTTTTTATATTTGAATAAATAGTACATTTCATGATTTCTTATATCCGCCATTTGTGTTTTTATATTTGAATAAATAGTACATTTCATGATTTTGCACAATAACTAAGCCCTAGCAAGTATCCCTATGTTAATGGTTGCCTTGGAAAATATTGTGGGTGAGGTGACATTGACTGTAATTGTCTTGGATTTTATTTTGCTCTGATTCCAGGTCCAGCTCGACTGGTCCAACTGCTGCTACATCTTCGACTACTTCAAGCCCAAGATCTTCCCAGAGTTTGACAGCTACAAGACCAGTTCCATGTCCGCTGAGCTGGAAGGCCTCTTGCTCAAGATCTCTAAGGTCATCCCCCAAGACGCAAGGCCTGAGAACGCTCTGGAACTGGTCCAGGGCTACGTCGACGGGAGCAACGAGAATGCACCAGCGATACCTGAAGGGTTCATAGGTCCAAGGTATGGCTTTTGAAGAATGAGATTATAAGAGGTAGAGATGTTATGGTCTAGTGGATAAGTCACCCGACTGCAGATCACAAGGTACGGAGTTCAAGTCCCGCTGCAGCACTAATGTCCTTTGGCAAGACGTTAATCTACATTTGCCACTCTCCACCCAGGTGTTAAATGGGTACCTGAAGATGACAGCACTACCTGAAGGGTTTCAGTGTTTCCAAGTATGATTATTTCAAGCATGCGATGAAAAGTTATGAGACAGAACGAGGAAGAGAGATGTGTAGATAAATTGGGAAGCAGTTTGTCAAGATAATGGGACCAGTTATGTATACACTGTAGTTGTACTAAGAATAGAAAAAAAGAATGATGTATTGTTTATGAGAAAAGAGGAAAATAGAAATAGAAGACAGTTGGGTGATAGGAACAAAAGTTGTGTGCTAGAAAAAAGAAGCAGAAGAAGAGAGATGAAGAGAAAGAGAGGGGTCCTGGATCTGAAGATCAATAAAGACCAGAAACCAAGATATATGTCTTGAGAATAGTCTAGTACCCACCCAAGGATAATTGGAACCGTAACTGTGACCTGCTTCTGTGTTCCATTAGATCTAGACCAAGACTTCTCACATTGAAAATAATCTATTACCCATCCAGGGATAATTGGAATCGTAACTAGGACCTGTTTCTGTGTTCCATTAGATCTAGACCGAGATTTCTCAAATTGTAATAGTCTATTACCCATCCAGGGATAATTGGAATCGTAACTAGGACTGTTTCTGTGTTCTATTAGATCTAGCCCAAGACTTCCCACATTGAACCTTTTCTTTTGTAATTTTCTTTTTTTCTTTTGCTTTTTAGCTCGGTGGTCAAGGAGCTCTACTATCTGCTGGCTGACTTTCACTTCAAGAACAAAGACTTTGGGTAAGTAACCTTACTGTGAAAAGAGGTCCAAACTAATGTCTTAAAGCGGGACTGCACTACTTGTAGCAACTTGCGCTCTCTATATAGCCAACAATGCCTAAGCGGTACCCGTTGATCCCCATAGTCTCCTTTTTCTTTTGTTAATTGAGAGCTGATTTGATGATTTGAGATAACCACCTGCCAGTGATCATGCAAGGAGGTCTAATCCCTCCTTGCCAAACTATGAACATTTTATGTAAATGCTAGCACATTTTATTTCCATATATGACTTTTATGGTTAGGATAGTTTTCGTTATCATTTGTATCTTCACCATCTTCATCATCGTCGACATTGTTATCATCATCATCATCATTATCATCATCATCATCACCAGCACCATCGTCAAAGTTATCAACATCTTCATCGCCATCTCCATTATCATCAACATCATCGTCAATCGTCATCATCAATCATCATCAATCATCATCAATCATCATCATCATCATCATCATCATCATCATCATCATCATCATCATCATCATCATCATCATCATCATCATCATCGTCGTCGTCATCGAATATCATTATCACCAGAACCATCATCATCATCATCATCATCATCAACAGCATCATCATCGTAATTTGCACCTTGTCTATCACATGTTGAATTCCCTGTTTTCTCTTCAATTTAGGAAAGCAATCAAGTTCTACCTCCACGACCTATGTGTGTCTCCAGACCGCTTGGACAGCTGGGCAGGCATGGCCCTGGCTCGTGTTGGACGGCTGGATCTCAAACTAAACAACTCTGTAAGTATGGCTTAGCAGACCTGCCAACCAGTACGATTTAATCGTATTTCGTACAATTTTTAGAAGTAAATACGACAGTACGATTTTCCTCAATAGAATATGATTCCCCCCCCCCCCCCCAAAAAAAAACAAACAAACAATTTGTTGTTGTCGGGTACTTTGTGTGTGTGTGTGCCATTTTCAATGGCAAAATGCCCATTCTGTCCTGTAAAGTATTCTACAAGCATCTCACATCTGCAATTTGGGGATGTTCATTGGTTCATCGAACACATCAGTCTTGACAGAATCATGCATATTCAACCAATGAATATCAAAATTCGAGGCAAAATAAGAGGCATTGATCTATGTTTTTTTTTTAGAATACAACTTTTGTCTGTAAAATACGACTTTTGGGATCAAAGAATACAGTTTTTGAACTCCAGGTTGGCAGGTCTGGCTTAGGGTTCTGCAATGTTGCTCTAGAGGAAATTCACTCAGTTTTTCCCTGTAATGTTAATACTTCATGGGATTTAAGTTTTCAAGTAGTTTTTCCTTTGGAGAAAATGTAGTCTTGTTTAAGTCTATTTTATCTTTGACAGTTCTGTTGCAATCTTTTTACCTGGGACAAGGTATCTTATGCTACCATTTTTCTTTCCAATACCAGACAGACACTAAGAGCGATGGACCGATCTTCAAGCATGGAGTAGCAGCTCTGCGATGCTTCAAGCGAGCTCTAGAGATCGACGCCACAAACTATGCCTTATGGATTGAATATGGTTCCTACGCATACATCCTGCATTCACACGCCTCTAGGCAAATCAAGCAGGTATGATTTACAAATCAGTGGATTGAATATCGTTCCTACGCATACATCCTGCATTCACACGCCTCCAGGCAAATCAAGCAGGTATGATTTACAAATCAGTAGATTGAATATGGTTCCTACGCATACATCCTGCATTCACACGCCTCTAGGCAAATCAAGCAGGTATGATATACAAATCAGTAGATTGAATATGGTTCCTACGCATACATCCTTCATTCACATGCCTCCAGGCAAATCAAACAGGTATGATATACAAATCAGTGGATTGAATATGGTTCCTACGCATACATCCTTCATTCACACGCCTCTAGGCAAATCAAGCAGGTATGATTTACAAATCAGTAGATTGAGTATGGTTCCTACGCATACATCCTGCATTCACACGCCTCTAGGCAAATCAAGCAGGTATGATATACAAATCAGTGGATTGAATATGGTTCCTATGCATACATCCTGCATTCACACGCCTCCAGGCAAATCAAGCAGGTATGATTTACAAATCAGTGACTATATCTTTCAATATTTCCATCAAATATATTTGTATTTTGGGGTGGCAGCACTGTGATGTTTCCAGCGAGCTCAAAAGATGCTGTACAACCAAAATGAGAGATTTTAGAAATTTGATTATCATATTCTCTGCAAGCCTGATGATTTCCCGATTTAAATATGTTTCCTGATTATTATTTTTTTTCTCCAGATTTTTGCTTGTTTGTTGTTGTTGATTTTTTGTTGATTTTGGTTGTTTTGTTGTTGTTGTTGTTAATTTTGTTGATTTCATTTCTCCAAAAATGGATAGTCTTTGAGATCGGTGAGATTGATCTGTTTTAAAATTAGGGGAGTGTGTTGCCATTTTTCATGACTTGATTGAACACCTCGGTTTGCTCAGATATCTAAAACCTCTTCTTTTAAAAATCTCACTATCACCCTTGTCTCTTTGATTTCTTTCTCAACTACAGAAGGACCAACTGAAGATCAGTGATGAAGACATCACCTCTCTAAGCGTGAAACAGGCCGAGATGTTAGAGCAGGCTGAGCACTGTTTCAGGCAAGCCTCGACGTGTGAGGGCGAAGGAGATGAAGAATGGCTTGTTCATTATATGCTGGGCAAGGTGGCTGAAAAGAGACTACTCATGGAGGAGAGCTTGCGTCATTATCTGAAGGTAGGTTAGATAGATAGAACAATTGGCAGATAAAAGAAAGAAGAGGATCGATTGGTTTGATGACTTAGAAGAGACAGGTGGAGAGAAAGAATGGGGGAAAACCATACATCAACTGTAGAAAAAGAAAGAAATGATAGATAGAGAACATATGATTTTTCGAAAGAGATAGAAAAAAAGAGAGGGAGAGAGAGAGAAAAAAAAACCCTCAGTATTAACATGGCATAGGACTGACATGTGTTTGGAAGAAACACTGAGAGAGAGAGAGTAAGAGAGAAAATATGTGTATAAAACATAGATACATTGTTGAAAGATGGAGAAGGAAGAAGAGAAAAAAAGAAAGGATTAAAAATATAAAAAAAACATTAGGTTGGACACAAGTACTGTACTCAGAGGCAAGGAAGAAAACAGCTATGACATAGAAAAGGAGGAGGTGAGGGGATAACAAGATCATTTTTTTTCTTCTTCTGCTGAATGATTGATAGATGTTGAATGTGATAATTTGATCTGTGTTATTTAACTTTACAGGCGAGTTATCATCTTCATGAAAGCGAGGCGAGATACCCGAAGAAGATCCCCTACCACAACCCAACAGACTTCTCGCTAGAAGCTCTGGAGGTAAGTAAACCCTAGTGCTGTCGTTGACAGGCAGTTTGTCAACTCCTTTTGTCAATTCTTGTGGAGGGAATAAAATTGGAACCATGTCGATACTCTTTTCCTCTCTGGACCAATGCATTGAAGAAGTACCATGTGTGAAACATTACTTCCTTCTCAAGGACTACCATACAGGTGCACATTCGTTGAGGTTTGAACGAAATCTTGGGCAGTCGCTATAGACATGTTTAACTGTATATATGAAAACTTTATAATATGAGCCCACAAGAGGAGACGAGAAAAATGGTCTTTATAGGCAGGTGGTCTTTATTTACAGGTTACTCCAAATAATAATAATGATGATAAAAACGTTGCTTATAAAGCGCTTACAAAACCCTGTTCAAGGGGAAACAATAAATTATGCGGTCTCTTTCCAGAAAGGTGGTCTTTCTATACAGGTGGTTGCTAAAGCAGACTTGACTGGCATTATCTGTTATTTCTTTTTGTAGATGTACTTCAGAATCCACTCAGCAATCTTGAAGCTTGTCCAGTGCTCGCTGCCAGGTACAAAGGTCAAGTTGGATGCCTACGGAACACTAGAGGGCCTCGTCCAAGAAGCCGCACAGCTTCCCTTCGTCAGGGCCGAGGAGAAGAAGAGAGAACCGAGTAGTGAACCGTAAGTTGTATTTCCTTGATGCTGATACCCAGAATTGTTCATACTGTATGAGAAATATTAACACTGTGGGAGAATCTAACAAAATGAATTATTCATAAGGAATCATTACTGCCCATCCTTGATGCTGGTCCCACATTTTATTCATCAGTGTGTGAAAAGTCCACACACTGGGGAGCAGCTCACAAAATGAATTATTCATAATTACAAAGCGTTGATGCTTAGTTGACGATGCTATGTTATCTCTGGAACATTTGCTCTAGACTTCACTTCATCAAAAATGTAGTGTTGGTGTTAGGTATGTGGTCGAGAGGGTTAAAGTTGAGGGTTTTCTTATTTTAGGGTTGTTTTTCTAGGGGAAAGTTGTCCTTAGGGGTAGTTGTCTAAAGAGTATTTGTCTCAGGGATAGTTTTCAGGAGGCTGAGAGGAAGTACAGATCCTTAATTGTATATCTACATATCTTATGCTTATATTTTAGCTTAACTTATCTACAGCTTGACGGACACTGAACTGGAGGCAAGGAAACGCCCTCTAAGCATGACACACCCCCTATGGCAACACACACAGCGCTGCCACACCCCAAGATCATGACTACCTTGTTTTCACTTTGCCTCTTTGTCATTATTTCTTCAGATCAACTGATACTGAGCAAGATGCCAGGATACGTCCTCCCAAGCCTGACACGCCTCCTAGCCTGGCACCAAAGAGGCGTGGCAGCCCCATCTATGTTGCCACACCCCAGGATCATGACTACCTTCATGAGAAATACCGCAGATCTAGGTCAAGTCAAGAGGAACCTACTACAGGTACAGTAAAATTGGGTTCTGCCCTTTTCTCTCTCACTCTCATGCTCTCTCACTCTCTCTTTCTTTCTCTCTCTCTCCCTCCCTCCCTCCCTCCCTCCCTCTCTCACACACAAACACCCTCTCTTTCTCTCACTCACCCTCTCTCTCTTACTCCCTCTTCCTCAGTGTCTCTCTCTCTCTCACTATCTCTCTCTCTCTCTCTCTCTTACACACACACATACACACACACACACACACTCTCTCTCTTACTCCCTCTTTCTCCTGTTGTGAGGGGTAGCATTTTTTATATGAAAACTTCAAGATACAATGTATTCCTATTTTGTATAGAGAGATTACTGTAACCGTGGAAGGTTAGCAGCTACATGTACATCCATGGGGAATGGATAATGTCTTCATTATTTGTTCTAGAGGTTTTCATTTCATTCGTATATAAGGAAGCAAAGATCAAGAGTCCCTACATGTTTTGACTTTTAATTTTTGTTGTTGCAAACCTCAATTTTGCTGTAGCTTCATATATAACTTGACTTCACGATCTACATATTCTATACATGAAAAGAAGTAAGAAAACATTCTTTGGACCGAACCCCTTGAAAGACGTCTCTTCCATGAAATTCCCTAAAATTATTGAAACTAACTTTGCAGACACTGCTTCCGAGAGTGACATTTTCTCTGGTGACGAGAGCATGTCGTCCTTTCTCTCCGCCCAGCGGAGCACGATTACGTTGCGCCCCGTCCCAGCCCGTCGTGCCCTATCTGCGGCAGAGGCGCAAGCCGTTCCAACCACGCCCGATGGAACGCCCTCTATTGTAGGGATGGGAGAGGACGGGAAGACAAGAGGTGAAGATGGGATGAGTGGAGGAGTTTCCGATGCTGAACAGCCTGAAAAAGGTATTCACTGGAAAGGGCTGCACCAAATAGGGTTCTTTCAGACATGATATTGTAAAAGGCTAGCAAAAAAAAAAAAAACTCTTGCAACGAAATACAGACATTCTATGTTTGAGTGAAAAATTAAAGTAAATGAAGGGCAAGTGAGCTAAAACCACTGGCTGCTTGCAACAAAGGCCTCTAAGCATTCTAAATCATTTGTGGTTTATAGGATTCCAAATTTGAAGCACACTATGCTGAATATTTCATTTTTATATATTGGACAATTTTGGATTGAGGTCTTATCTTATTTCATTGTCCATTTTGTGGTTTGCAAATGGATGAGAGTTCCTATAACAGAATTGTCAGGTGATTCCTCCTACATTCTAATTGCATGCAATTCTTCTTATCACTTCCACAGATCAGCCTGAAGGTAGAACAACCACTGAAGACATCGTCGCTCCTTGTAAAGATCCCAAGCTGGAGATCCCTGCCATAGTCGTCTCCAAACCGAGCCCTGAAGCGGAAGCTGTGATTGAAAGGTGTGAATCTCCTGAAAATAAGGACAATGTCTCTATGACCTCAGCTGAGATTAGGCAAGAAGGGACCGAGAAACCTGATGAGCTTAGAGCTGAGATGGATCTGACTGTGGTCTCTGCGCCATCTGATGATGCGGAACCCGGTGATCCAGGACAAGCTGTCGTCATGGACACAGAAGAGGTAAAGGAACCTATTCCTGCTTCGAGAGGAGAAGAGATAAACCAAGATGGTATGGAGAAGACTGATGTACAATCTCCAGTTGCTATGGACATGGATGAAGCAGATACTACTGACCAGAATGAAGCTGAGGAATCCGTTGATGGGAATAGAGGAGGTCTAGAGGAGACGAAAGAAGTTCTGAAGAGGACCTTGGAGGGAAATATTTCTGAAGAGAAAATGGAAATTGGATCATCAGGAGATATCGTAGAACCAGAGGAAGGAGATGAAAGAGGTAAAATGGGAATCCAAGAGAATCTGGAGATCATCAAAGGAGGAGGAGAAGATGGAGGACAAGGAGAAGTCAAAGAAGCAGATGATGCAGAAGAATTGGCACTTCTGCAGAAGCCTAGTGTTGATGAATCCAAAGAGGATAAAAATAAGAAATCTGAAGTCGTAGAAGATGTAGACAAAGTCCTTTCAGGAGAGATGGAAGCTGATCAAGGTTCTGTTCCGGCGCAGGGTCAGATGAAGGTTGACGTGCAGACAACTCATCTTGAAGACCAGGAAAAGGATCAAAGGAAAGAAGAAGAGCCAGAAGACATCGCAAAAGAACCGACGACCCTCATTTCCGATGAGAAGAAGGAAGGGGAGATTGTGGAGCTTGGTTCCAAAGAAAAATTGTACAGTGATGCCCCAACTCTGGAGTCTATCTCTCAAGTTGGAGAGATCCAAGAGAAGGGATCAGAAGACCTTTTAGTATTGCCAAGTCTTGAGAGAGAGGCACTGCCTATGATAGATACAAGGTCAAAGGAAGCAGGTTCCATCAAGGATGAGGAAACGGAAGACAAATCAGGAGCAGATGATGCACCACCAAGTGACAGTATCCGGAGTGGAAGCAACAATGAGAAACAAGTTCAAGGGCATAAAATGGATGAAAGTATAGTAGAAAGTCAAAGAATTCGCGCAGTAGATGGTGATCTTCCAGAGGAAGGAGGAAGCGCTGAGGGTGTCCTTCGAAAGGATGGTGATTCTGCGAAAGTGGAACAGGATAGTGCTGCAGGAGATGACAAAGGCCACAAAGGCGAAGTTCCTGAACAGGAAGAGATGAAAGTTAAAGACGAGAGCGAAGCGGACGCACAGGAAAGGGCTGAAGACAAGATGGACACCAGCATCCAAGGGGAGGGGGCTGCAGTCCAAAACAAAGAGGATAGTACCACAAAGACCCCTGTCATTACAGAAGGACTAGGAACTGGAAGCACTGTAGGGGCAAGCTTGGAGACAAAGGATGAGGGCAAGGTGAAAGACGATGCAGTCACCAAGAAGGAGAAGGAGGCTGGCGAAGAGCCCGAACGAATGACAGAAGGAGAGACTGAAGGAATGACAGAAGGAGAGACAGAAGGAGAGACTGTGGTTGAGGTGGATGAGGAGACAAAGAAGAGACACCTGGAGTTGATCAATGTTTGTCTTGGTGCCATGAAACTCTGCCTTCAGAGGTTCCCACAGCATTACAAGGCAGCTTACAGAATGGCTTACCTCTATGCCTACGCCCCTACCCACAAGGTGAGCTACCTACAACATAAACATTAGGCCTAAACAAAAAATGTTGTATTGCCCTTTAAAGGCCCACTGCACTACTGGTAGCTACTTGCACCCTCTATAAAACAAACAATGCCTAATCGGTGACCATTGGTCCCCCATGATCCTCTTTTTCTTATGTTAACTCAGAGCTGAGTTGATGAGATAACCACCTGTCCAGTGACTTGCAGAGCGGTCTAATCCCTCCTGTAAACTACGGCAGATAAGCTTTAAAGGTGCCAAAACATGGGTCGGCTCGTCAGAAATCTTTTTTTTTTTTACCTTTTTTTTTTACTCCCTCTTTGGGCTTATATTTTTCAGTTTTGAATGCTTTAACACATTTTTTTCTCTAAAAAACGTTATAAAAAGGTAGCAAAGGGCAATACAACTTTTTTTTTTTGTAGGCCTTTACCCTTACATAAGCTCAAATTTGCTAAACTATAGCCTGAATCAGCTTAACAATGAGTACATAAATTTTAGTCATTATTCAATGATGCTTGTTGTATGTGATGCGAAATGACCATATACAAGGACTTGCCCTGGAACTTCTATTGCCCAAAACTTAACATGGCATTAGAAATTCAGCATTTGCGGCCTCTGTATAGAAAGCCCACCCATCTACAAAGTCAGTGTTTTTTCAATCCCTTTAATGCTCATTTAAACCTTTTCCTAAAATGATTTCAATAATGATCACCTGCCTATTAAGACCAAATTATGCTTTCCCTAGAACAATGTTTTTTTTATTGAAACCTGTACATAGACAACATCTGCTTAAAGGGATTAGGTAACTTTGTCTCAGATTCTGAAACAAAATCCTGGATTTAGCTTATGCTGCAATGATAATAACCTTTTGGTCAATCAGGAACCCCATGATTTTTACAAGCTGATCGCCTGTCTGATTATCAAGATATTTATGATTGAAAATCAAAACCAAATGTTGTGTTTGCCTAACGGTTTTCATAACACTACAGTCTATTAGGGAAAATGAGTATGGTAAAACAGGTCACTCAAAGATTTTTACTTTTTGAAGGCACTTCATGATCATTTTTAAGCGCAATTTTTTAGGACTTCAATATTACACCATATCACAGACACTGATAATACGTAGGGCCATGCATCTCAGATTTAACATTGTTAAACGATGCCTTTAAGACCAATTTATGCTTTTCCTTGAACAATGTTTTATATTGAAACCTGTTCAAAGAGAACATCTGCTTGATATAAAGACCATCTTTGTTGCCTCTCTTGAGCAGAACTTGGCGTGGAGTAAGGACATCCTGATAGGTGGAAGCAGTGGGTACCCTCCCAAGACTCCCGCAGACCACATCGTAGCACCAGGTCTCTTCTCAGAGCAGCATAAGAGCAAGAACCTGTTCCAAGGGATCTGGAGGAACCCTATCCAAGACATTGATAGGTGAGTCCAAAGGAGAACAGGGGAGTGTTTCACAAAGACTAAGATCGACTTTAAGTTTGACATGCCACTGTTTTTCTCATTTTTTAAGAGCTCATTATTGAAGGAAAAAATAATATCTAGAGATCAGAGTAGAGAGACCAATGGAGAGAGCAACCAAAGGCATGAATGGCCTTGGTAGAGAGGTGTCTTTTTCTAACTGAACTATGTTTTATATCATCATGTAATAAACCTGTTCTCTTTGATTATTCTAATAACAGATCTGGTAGTTTTCCATGGCACATGTATCGCTCTGTGGCCCTTCTGGTGTACATTCTGAGGGAGCTCAAAGACCACATTCTCCTGCTTCAGGTCACCTCTAAACTCTACCGCATTCCAGAGCAGGGAAAGTGAGTGTGATTCCTTTTCTAACATTTGTCTTATTTAGTAGTACAGTCAAACCTGCTTTAGTGACCACATGTCTACAAAGGCTACTTTTTGTTTTTCGCTTGGGCAGTTGCTATGGACAGGTTTGACTGTAGTAGTAGTAGTGGTGGTTATTGTACCTGGCTGCTAAGAAAGCATAAATGCTTGTTAGTAAGCAACCAGAGGACAGACGGCTTTAGGTCCTCTCCGCGAGACCTGGGTCACCTCTAAACTCTACCGTATTCCAGAGCAGGGCAAGTGAGTGTGATTGGTTTTCTCTTCTATTCTCTCCTCTCCTCTCTTCTCTCCATCTCTCCTCTTCTATTCTCTCATGTCCTTTCTTCCCTCTCTATCTCTCCTCTTCTATTCTATCATGTCCTTCTCTCTCTTTTCTCCTCTCCTCTATTCTCTTCTCTTCTTTCCTCTCTGCTTTTCTCTGCTCTTCTCTCCTCTCCTCTCCACTCCACTCAACTCTTCTCTTCTCTCCTTTCCTCTCCTCTCTCCTTTCCTCTCTGCTCTTCTCTGCTCTTCTCTGCTCTTCTCTCCTCTCCTCTCCTCTCTCATCTTCTCTTCTGTTCTATTCTGTCATGTCCTTTCTTCTCTCTCTTTTCTCCTCTCCTCTCTTCTCTCCTTTCCTCTCTGTTCTTCTCTGCTCTTCTCGTCTCTTCTCTCCTTTCCTCTCCTCTCCTATAATCTCCTCTTCTCTCTTCCTCTCTTCTCTTCTCTTCTCTTCTCTTCTCACTCTTCATATTTTGTTCCTCCCCGTATTTCCAGGGGAGTTATTCTTGTGGTACATGTCTTGTTTACCCAGGGTAACCTCATCAGTATGAACACTGTTCCCCCTGCAATCATATTATTACCTCGGCTTTAGCCAAGCTACCATGATAAGGTGCTCAACCATTTAAGGAATGTCTTCCTACCAGGTACCCGTTTACTAAACCTGTGTAGAGAATGGCAAACGTAAATTAATATATTATCAAGGGACTTTAGTGCTGCGGCTTGACTCGAACCTTGAACCATGTGATTCACATTCAAGCGATGTATCTACTAGACCTCAACATCTCTGTTTGGAAGCGTGCAACAAAGGTTTAACTAATTACCTCAGAAGTTCACACTTTTCTCTAGCAAGTAGCTTTCATTTTAATCTCTGTTTTATATATTTATCGTCCAAAAAAGGGGATGCAAATCAAATATAAGCATCAAGTACCCGACACGTCGTTTCCATGCCGTATAAAGTGTGCTTTGTCTGATCTGGGGAGAGTTTCACAAAAACTAAGATTGACCTTAAGTTGGACTTAAATATGGCAGGCTGTTCATGCCACTATATCTTCTAGACATTCCTGGCATTGGTTTCTCAAGGAACGTATAGAACACGGTCACAAATCTACAGAATTAACATTTTTTGATAGTTTATTATAAAAGGAAAACTTATCAAAAGATCATAATTGAGTGACCAATGGTGAGAGCAACCAGTGGCATGAATGGCCTGCTATAGTTAAGTCCAACTTAAAGTCGATCTAAGCCTTTGTGAAACACTCCCCTGTTTTACATTTTGATCACGATTCCATATTTTCTCCCATCAAGGAAATACCTGAGAGATGCAGACCGTCTTTTCTTGGCTCGCGAAGCGTTTGATTCTTACAGGAGCACCATCCGATCGCGGCTCGTCGTCTCGCCATCAGGAACAGCGGAGGAAAGTCTTGGACTCGTGCTGTCTTCCTTTCGATGCTACCAGTACACCCAATCAAAGCAACCCAAGCTCACATCTCTAGCGTCGGAGCTCCTGATCACAGCGTTTAAAGTGCTGAAAGGCAGTTCAGTGAGTAACAGATAATCTCTGATTTATAATGATTATTAATTAATGATAATAATATTAATAATAATGATAATATTGATAATAATGATAATAATAATAATAGCAATAATAATATATATGATATTTGTAAGGCACCAAATCCAATTGAAATCAAATGCTCAAGGCACGTTTGTGAAACAAAAAAAAAACTTTAAAAAAAGAGATCGCATAAAAGCATCTGCATCATAAACAAAAGAAAAAAAGTAAAATAGACAAATTATACTATGTTAAAAAAGGAATGATAAAATCATTTCGATAATAGGCAAATTGATTTTTTGGCTTGCCACATGAAACAGGGATCATGTTAAATATTGATTCTTCTATAATATGCAATTAGTGTCATGTCCTGATGCAAGCTAGTTGTATATAAACATACTGCCCACCATTCCTATTTTGGAAAAATGATTCCTATTTTTTTTTGGTATTGAAGCTATTGTTTTGAGTCCTAGAATCTTCTCTTTTTCTGTTAAAATATTTTGTGTTAAAAGTAAACAAAATAGTCTGTGTTCCTAAATTGGCCTTGAGAGATTCCTAACTTTTACTGTGAAAGGTTGGCAGGTATGTGTAAAGGGCAATTCAACGCTTGTAACTATCTGAATTGTGTGAAAGGGAAAAAAAATAGAAAAATCTTTGAATGCTTTGTTGTTTCTATTCTGTTCTTTAGATCGAGTCTGAGCCAGCCTTGTTAGACCAAGCCGCACGGTTCTGTGATCACCACATCTCCTTTAACAAGCTACCAAGAGTGAGTAACTGCACTGTCATAAACTTTTCAACCCAATCAAAGTGTTGACTCCAAGGCTTTACCCTTATTTGAAATGGTAATGTTGGTCCACTTCGTTTCTAGAGTATGTCATTGAAATGACCTTTAAAACTATGTGACTAAATGAACAAACAAAATCATGTTATTATAAAATGTCCGTTCAGATATGACATGGCAAAAGAGCTGCATTTTTTTATGATGAGGTAAAGTGTAATATACTTCACATTTTTGTATCTTATAACACAACACTCAGTTTAGACGCGAAAGTCTTCTGTTGCACGCCGTTGCCATTTATTTACACTTTAAATTTTTATGTTTTTTGGCTTTGTGAATTGCAAAAAAGAATATTGAATGAATTTTTTTTCTAAATGTAAAGAATGCACTGCTATTCTACTTTTCTTTCAGACTCCAACCGACAGTGAAGGCATGCTACCCAGGGGCTATCACAGAGACTCGCCTTCCAGCTCCTCCTCAGCTAGACCTGGACTATCTTCAGAGGGTAGGAGACCCGCCGGGTGGTCCACCTCGTCTGGCTCCGACCAGGGCGGGCTAGGTGAGCCATCGGAGCAAGACGGAAAGACGGCAGGGAGAGGAGAAGCGATGGAAGCTACCGAGAGTGGGTCGAGAGAGATGAAGTCACCTGCAGAGGGCAGTGTGCTTATGTCGTCGGGAAAGACGTCTGTGGACACTCCTGCGCAAGAGAGTGTGAGGAGCAGTGTAGAAAGGGGAGGCAAGGAAGGCGGGCCCTCGCAGGGTGAGGAGTCAAAGGTCGTGTCGCCATTACGAATGCAGGAGGAGAGTGGTTCCAGGAGGGCGGAAGGAAGCGGATCGGGGATGCCAGAGATCGGTGTGAAGCGAAAGCTTCCCCAGATGGAAAGCACCAGCGAGAATATTGCAAGTATAGTCCAAGAAGCGGCGAGGCAGTATGAAAAGACAGAGGCACAACGGAGAGAGAGGCTGGAGAACAGTTCCCCTGGAGTTCCGCAAGCGAAACGCTTTGCTGGGGGCAGCCCTGAGCCTCCCAGTAGCAAGGTCACCTGTGAGCCCACCTCAAGGGTTCATATTGGAGCTTTGGGCTCGGTGACGACGACTCCTAGACAAGTGCCTCATCATCAGCGGCCCATTTCTTTACCTGGGACAAGCAAGCATGCTGTGTCATCAGCTTATTCTGGAAGTATGTCATCGAAAATGGGCGTTGTGAAGAAAATGGTTGGTCCACCTCCTCATGGTGTATCGAGAGACCCTTCAAAATGGTCTCAGGCAGCAGTCAGCAAACCTTCTTCTATCCAAAGTCCACTATCGCCAACTGGCCCACTATCACCAGCTGGCACAGGGTCCTTTGCGGGCAGTTTCCAGAAGTTCCTGAAGACCCAGCAGCAGCACTTGAGTTCCATTGTCAAAACATTCAACGTCCCCAGTCCTGAATCGTCTGTGAGACACAATCCTGCTCCGGCTATCAGCAAGGTCATGGGGTCAGGGTCCTTGCTAGGTCAGGTTGGTATCGGGTCGGTTACTCCAAAGGTGAGGCAAACTCCTGGTACAAGCGTTGCTGGAGTTCGACCCAAACTTCCAGTTGCTCCCAGCCGTGCTCCTGCAAGTCACAGCAGCAGTCAACGGCTTCCTCTAAAGCCACCTACTGGAATCTCGCAAGTCGCCAAGATCACATCTTCCACTCCCTCTGCGCCAGGAGTCAGGCAGGGGTCAAAGGTCGGAGGTCACAGAGAGCAACTAGCTGCCAGGAGGGAGCACTCCTCACTGGTTCAAGCCCAGCCCGCCATACTATCAACAGGAAATGTCGGTGGTAGTGGCAGTAATTCTCAAGAAGCTTCTAAAAGGTTGATCCAAGCTGGTAGCTCCACTGCTTCAGAGAGGCCGCAGGGTACGGGAGAGGACCTTCTATCCATAATTGACAGTACGGAAGAGAAAAGGACCTAGTGCCAGTACTGTATATTTTTTTGCCAGTGCAAACCACCACTCTTTGGGCATTGTTTGAAGCCTTGCAGACTTTCTTACCAAGTCAAAATTTGTGTATTACCACATTTTTTGCAATATTTCATTGTTGTACATGTTGCTTCTTGCGTAAACTTCCATGTACAATGGAAACTAATTGTTACAGAGAGCTCTGTTAATATGTAATCAATTTAGCCCTGAAATTGTGTTGCAAAAGAGATATGACAAGTGACCCGATATAACAAGGTACATTTTGCTAGTCCCAGTTCTTGCGTATTACAATGTTTTTTGAGGTTTTGGGGTTGTTTAAGAAATATAAAAAAGACACCGGATATAAGAATATTATTTTCATGGTCCCCAATGTCCTTATTGCAACCAATTTCCACTGCAAAGTGATACGGATTGAGTTTTTTGAACAGCAATGTTTAACTGCTGTGTATTATTTTGTATTGATTGTGACTGCTGGTCGACAAGTACATGTGTTTTGCATTTAATGCATCAAGAGCCAAAAAGGGAAAGTTGGTGAAGGGGATGGGGAGAGGAGGGGGTGGGAGCCCATTTGTAAAATGAAATCAGTGAGCAATAAAATTGTCTTTGTAGTTTGTACTTCCAAGTTGTCATTGTGAATTTATTGTGTTCTGTGTCTATAGATTTCCATTTGAATGAACTTTAGCCAACATTTTATTTGACTATAATCTAACATTATGAAGGAAATTGAGCATCCCACCCCACAATGAAGTAAACAGAAAAGAGAAGAAACCTTTCAATTATAATTAAAATCATCTTTATTGCAGCTGCTTGTTCACATTAGTACAATTCATCAATCTGTAGCTCCACATTTATGGCACATGATCATCATAATAAAAATATCAAGGGTCATTAACAAATGACACAGGTAAAGAGGTAAAAACTTAAAATGTCAATACTTTATATTCTTTTATAGAAAGAACAAGACTAAAAACTTCACTCTGGAATGCCATCATTTCAAAATAATCACATTACTGTTCATCCAATTATTTATCTGTCGGCAATAAATTTCTTGTTCTACACCATAGTCCTATAACATAAACATAAAGACTTCCAATCAATCTTTAAAAATAGAGTGTATCTCAAATATTGCTACAATTACTTCTATCTTATCAGGCATTGTATCTAACTGTAGCATGAAATTAATTGTAAGTTATTTCTTATTATAAGATTACGACTCATTGAAGGAGATAAGATTAATATTGGGGAGATGCAATTAACTTTTTCTATACAGTGCGTCCCAGACAAAACGAAAAAGACAAAAGACTTGATGCATGGCTGATCGTCAACGAAACAGAGTAAAGTCTTTTGTCAACTCTGTTTGTTGCTATGGCGGGCAGCCAGTGAAAACGAATTTGTCTAATCAAATTATTGAAATGCAAGCATTACTTTAAACAAACAGAACTTTGTTATTCCTGGCTTAGTTTTCCTGATTGAGGTGTCATATGAAAGGGCGAAAGAATGTGATTTTCTCTTTGAAATTCAGATACCGTTCGCCAAATGACTTTTTTGGTACCCTCTCTTCAAATTGTAATCACTCATGCGTGAAATATGCATTATATGAGTTGCATCGGATGAAAGAGGAAGATCTAAGCTTTACAAATATGTGTCATTTATTAATTTGTTAATAATAAGTTATATAAAACATTGATAATTCTCGGTTTCGCTTTTTCTGGGACGCACTGTATTTACAGGGCCCATGATAACTATAAATCAAAATATTTCTCAAGTCCTCCAAGAAGATCAAAGCTTGCTAGGGAGTCTTCTGATGTATGTGCCATTCTCCTCTAGAGCCCAGACAGCTTCGACTTTCTCATTGATCAGCTCCAAGTCCTTAAACCATGACGGATCTGCGACAAAGACAATGTAACAGAGAGAACTAATGATAAGAAATGCAATCATTGGTCCCGTAACTATCAATTTAATCAAGCTAAGAAAATGAAGATTATTGCACAAGAGAACAATGCATTTAGTTGGATTTCATTTCAAAGTCATTGGTGTGTATTTCACTTATTCAGTTGCATCCGTTCCTAGATCTAAAAATGAAAAACGTTGAGACCTTGCCCAAAGTGCCTCTAAGACACAGAAGTCTTGGAATGCCCCCTACAGTACAGGTACACTTCATAGTTTCTGTAGTTGGATTTCTTCACAAACTTTTTTGCTCATTGGTTACTTCTGGGCAATCGGCATCCCATCACAGTTCTGACTGATTTTGTTTCATTATCTATGGGTTGAAAATGGCTCAAGGCTCAAGCTATCCTTAACCATTGAACAGAGTTTAATTCAGATAAATAAATAAAATGTACCTTTAGTAATGATGTACTGCTTGATAGCATGCCTAAAACACTCTACAGGTATACTGAAATTAACATGAGGGAATGAGGCTCCGCTCTCACTGTCTCTGTTCAAAAAGAAAGAAAAGAAAACAAGAATATTACTTTAACTCCTTCAATGTCTCAAATGAAAGACAAATCCTGCCAAAGAATATTAGCATGGAACGATATAGGTATAGACTACAACAGAAACTGGTATCTTCTTTGCGATTTTTCATTCCTTTTTTACTATGGCATTGTCATCATGGGAATAAAAGGAATGAGACAGCTCACAATATATTTTCACCTTTACAAGAACTATTCCTTTTTAACCCTATTACTACAAATCCAGTGCAATACACTGGTAAAGATCAAGTTGAGTACTGGTCATGCGATTGCACTGTGAAAGAAACTTGGAATCGATCAGAAAAGGTTGATCATGTAGCATATAAGTACTGGTGTGTATTGAAAGGTTCTGGAATTGTCAAAATGATAAGAAATTTGGCCCAGTCTTGGTAAAGTTACAAGCACTGTACACAGAAAGATGTATCTGCAATATTCAGAAAATTAAGGCGTTTGAATTAAGAGCCATGCTTTTCAGGGAACATGTGTTATTTGATGTTCTTCCACACTTGCATAATAATAATAATAATAATAACATAAAACGTTACTTTCGAAGCGCTTACCATCAAATTCTCTAAGCGCTATATAACAAACAAAATAGACGGATGAACAATTATACATTAAACAAAACAAAAAAGTGCAAATAAACCTACAAATTACAATACATATGCAATACACATCAAAGTGAACAGAGTATAATGATAACGTTCACAAATTATTTTTCATATTCTTCCCAGAACTCAACCTTCCCTTTAAAAACCACAATGCTACTATAGTCGTATAAGCATCCGATTAAAAAATGATGACAAATGAAGTTGTACCTTGAGTTGCTAGCTATGATACCGACTAGGTTCGCGGTCTCTGCGCATAAAAGAGCGCCCCCACTTGCTCCGGCATTTATAGCACAGGTAGACTGATAACAAAAGAAATTATTATTATCATTATTATTATTATTATTATTATTATTATTATTATTATTTGACCAACCTACAGGAGGCTGTTGCAGGTGTCATGGAAAAATAAAAAGACAAATGTGTGGGTCCTGGAAAAGATTGGAACAGACTTGACCCTCAGAAGGGGAAGTATGGAAAGAAAACTAAACTATTTTGGGCACATTGTTAGGAGATCTGAAGGTGTTGAGAAGCAAATACTGCAAGGGGCAGTCGAAGGAACGGGGTAGAGGTCGTCCACCAATATCTTGGACTGATGATATCAGTCGGAAAACATACAAAATATAACAATCAGATAATACATAGAATTTTCATAATACATGAAAACAGTTTTAGGAAAGTGGAGAGGAGAGAGAAAGATGGATACAAGCCGCTGGTCAGGGGTGACAAAAGCAATCGAAATTGCTATAATACTCGAAAGCATGTCACCCCCAATGGGCAATAGAGAAAACAAAGTACTCTTGAGTCGTCTGAATAAAGTCACAAGATTTAATGCATAGAAATGCAATAATGGAAACCATTTAAGGGGCATCGTTGTTGTAAGGGGGGGGGGGGGGTCTCATTAGTTGGTTAAAATGTAGGAAAGGGTATCAAATGAGGGTATTATTTTCTTGTCAATTTGCCTTTCCTTCTCCATCTTTTCTTTCTCTTTCGGGGGGGGGGGGGGGGGGGGGGGGGGGGGGGGGTGTGCTTCCATCAATCCATTACATTGGATATAAAGTCTTGGAATGTTCATTTCTAATTTTGGGAGAGAACAATTCAATATTCACTTGAAATTTCAAATGAAATAAGAATATCTGAGACAAGAAAAAACTAGAATATTGCTAATTGTTGTACAGTGAAACCTGTCTATAAAGACCACCCAAGGGAGACAAGAAAAGTGGTTTTTATAGGCAGGTGGTCTTTATGTACAGGTTCCTTTAGTACATGTTTCCATGAGAAACGATTTTCAAGGGAAACAACACAAATTTTGTCTTGGTAGACAGGTGGTCTTTCTATACAGTAGTTTTGACTGTATTACCATGTTTATGCAGTACAATAGACATTCTCTTACCTGGGTCATGATCGGCTTTTGGTTGATTCTGATGACCTTTGACACGACCCCAGAGGTCACAGAAGGCGTTGAACTTTGGCTTGGATCAAAGAGAGGGAACCCCACGGCATACACCCTGGAACCTGATAGAGACAGACAGACAGAGAGAGGGAGGGAGGGAGAGGGAGAGACAGACAGAGAGAAAGAGAGAGATGAGAAAGATGAGAGAGAGAGAGAGAGAGAGAGAGAGAGAGATGAGAGAGTTGAGAGAAAGAGTTGAGAGAGAGAGAGAGAGAGAGAGAATTACTGTCAGTCTTCGCATTTGGAATAAACTCTGAAAGTCGCTAAATTCTCCTTTGGAAATTACCAATCATTGTGTATGTAACTCACCTTCCTGGTAGTCAGTGTCCATTCCAATGCTGACCAATGAAGCATTGTCTTGATGACCTTCGACCTTCAAGATGGCTAGGTCAATTGGTGAGGTCACAGGATTTGTGTGTAATACACTTGCTTTCATCCATGAACCGGAGGAGACCTTCACACTCACTATATCAAAGAGATTATAAGAAAGGTCAGAACATGAATAAAAGTGTCCTGATGATGCTGTAGTGAAGATGACCCTTGGCCTTTGACCTATAATGTGACTATGTCCAATGAAGAGGTCACAGGGTTCATATTTACCACAATTGCACTCATCCACAGACCGGAGCAGACTTATACATTCACTATCAAATTGATTAAAAGAAAAAATTAGTTTTTTATGCTTTATTTATCTTTGGTTCTTCTAAGTTTCGGTTTATATTGTTTTATTACAGTTTTCTGTTCAGTATTAAGTTTACTCTGATGAATGCAAGATATAAAGCTATTTTTAATTTTGTTAAAGTTCTATTATCTCTATGTCGGTTAAGATCAGAATATGAATATCAGTATCAACCTTTTTTTAGTATTCTGTCAAAGACTGATGCATGGTTTGTTCTTTTCCTAGACTTCAAGTCCACTGTATGAGCAATTAGTTTGTATGCTTTCTCGCAGCAGTTTTCAGATAAAGGAGAGGCATCTACAATTGAATACATAAGTTTGAAGGCCTATTATAGGATGCAGATTCCTCCAAAAAGAAATAACAAATGTAGGAATAATCAGCAGCTTTGAAAAAAGAAAATGGTTGAAACAGAAACACTTTTTTCACCTTGGTTGTAAGATGCACCCTTTACAAGATGCCTGCATGTCAGTATAAGCCCCTCCTTCTCATTGACGATGACCCCTGAACCCCACACTGTCCCAACTCGCAATAGAACTACGCTTTGAAAACGCTTGAGGTCCACTTCTATTACATACAAGGAAAGGAGAAGAAAAAGAATTATCAACATTAAAATTTGATTAAACTTTACAATATGACGGTAAGTATCACTCAGGCACTTCTGCAATTACACCTGAAGCCCATTCCAACTCGTAATAGCACTACAAATCAAGGTGCATCTCTAATGTCCATAATTATAATCTCCATAATTAACTTTCCTGAATTGACAACAAGCAGGAATTTAAGTATAAGACCTTCCTTCTCATCAATAAATGATCCTGATGCCAACACTGTTCTTACTCTCAAGAGTACTATGATTTGAAACATTCAAGTCAAGGTATATCTGCGTTACATACATGTATAGGGAAAGGGAAAGCAATATCCATATAAACTTTCAATAATTAACTTTCCTGATTTGACAATAAGTAGAGAAATTTAACTATTAAAGGGAGCTTCCTTGATAACATAGGATTAAAACATTCTTTCTGTCAAATGGCTTTTACCTGGATTTTGAAGGCACATTTCGTGACTGGAATGAGAACCGTACCCATGGTATGTTGACCTTATCATTGAGAGGTCAATCGAGGTCAACCCTTGAAGTGAATCCAAGATGGCGGTCATAGAGCAAGCCAGAGTCAGACCGATCCATTCATTGGATTTCCAGCAAAGAGGAGATATGATCATCGCAGCGAGGTATCTGCAAATTAAATCAATGACACAATCGTAAACAACTTAACAATTCATTTGAATAATACCTACTGCTGAAAGGCAGAAAGGGGTCAAGTTATGTTCTTTAATACACAGAAAAAATACCTTTCTGGCTATGACCCATACTAGTACCATACCAGAAAATTTGAGGGCCCTTTTATAACTTTCGGGGGCTCTTTTGGGCATTTTGGGGGCTACTTCGCCTGAGCCCCCGTGTATTTTTTCCCTGGGTTCCCAGCTTACTATCTGAAAAGGAAACTGATGTCACAACTTGGTATTAAACCTGTTTACAATACAAAGTCAAACTGTTTACAATATAAATGCTGAGATCCAAGGCAGAAGGACGTTGAATCTATTGACTCCTGTACTACACGTACAGAGATTATTCCCCTGTATATGTTGCTGGCTCAAAACAAAAGACATCATATGAATTTACAGCGCACCGTCTTCAAATCCTTTGGTATATTACAGGTGCAATAATATGAAGCGTCTAGCTACAGTATACCTTTAACAGGTAATCAACAATTGAAGGAACTGAATTTAGTCTGGATTTAGACAAAGAGATGTGTTTGGGGCTGAGTTTGAAAAGAAGAGGGGAAAAGGAGCATTAAAAAATGTCATACAATAGAGGACCCCCTTCATCATACAACAATTTTTCATTCACAACCAAGGCTCAAATTAATTTTTTGTCCACGGGGGCTATTCCACAAAAAAAAAAAAAACCCATGAGCCTTCTCACAGGGGCTCTTTTAGTACTCACGAGGGCTCTTTTTCTAATACAAATTTCCATTGACTTTCATCCTGTGATATGACATTCCCCCCCCCCCCCCCAATTCTTCCCCTTCTGCACATTATTTCCTCCTCATCATTCAGAGCAACCTTAATTACCTTATTTTTTCAGTCATTCGCCCATCCATGTATTTTGAGCCTTGTTCACACCCCCCCCCCCCAATGATGTCAGTGCCCCTAATGGCTTGTCACACACTACGCCACTGTCCCTGATAATACATGTACATACCTATGTTTCTTATCCGTGACAAACAGCCCTCCTCCCTCCGTGCCTGGCATGCACCTTGCGTCCGTCATAACAAGGTCCTGCCCGCTGTGTTTAGTGATGATCCCTTTACTTAGACTGTTGTAGAAGATAGATGGACTGAGCGTTGCAAATGGCGTACCACACGCCGTAACAGGCTGGGCCAGACGCAGGCTAGTACTGGGGACTATTCTGCATTTCAGAATGGAAAGAAAAGCAACAATTAGACTATAAGAGAGGCAATACTAAGCAAACACAAAAATGCTAAGTTTTGTGTTTTTCTGTTAGTTATTCTCTATCACACTGTACGTACCGGCCGCTTCTTTCTTTCAAAAGTTTAAAATCAAGTAAAATTAATTTTCCTCATGAAAGCTTTCTAGATTAACAAAGAACTTTGCTGTAAAATCTAAATTTCCTTCAAGATATTTTATGTATTTTACTACGGTATTTTACCAGAAATTCTTTTTGAGAGAGCTAAATCAGATATTGCTTATTAAAAGTTAAAATGAAAGTCACAATCCAAATCTGAAAAATTACCAGATCTAATTTAAGTTCCCAATTCCACTACAGGTTGTGCATCAAACAGAAACCTCATTTATTCTTCATTGATTACCAAGGTAACAGATGAGTGAATATCAATGAAGAGTTGAATGGTTAATTAGTTGAATAAAATTAAGTGAAAAGAAGATTGCCTCAAATCTTTATCAAATTACTTGAGTTGTTGTCCTGAGGAAACATGAAGACCTCCATCAACTTGTAGCAGAGCAAACCAGCTCAGAAGATTCCTCTGACCGTTATCCTTTCTCCCCTCTTCATCCCCATCCTCTAACACGTCCTTTCCATCCATGAGATGGGAACTGCTACCAATCTCTCCCTTCTTTTCCCCATAATCCAGCTCCCACCTGTCTGCACTGGGCATGAGGGACTTCATCTCGTCGTCAAGCGATGCACATCTCCATAGCAACACGACTCTTGCATCATGCACCTCAAACGATTCAGTCGCATTATCCTTGATGGATGATGTCGTGAGTTTGCTGGGGTGGGGCAAGGCTGAGAAAACTCTATTCGCACTCGGTCGATGCCGGTTAGCTGTCGATTGTCTTGTTGAAAGGAAGCTCTGCTTTGCTTTTTCCATCTCGTTTATTTTCGGACTTTGCAGAATCACTGAAACCGATGATTCTTTGAGCTCATTCCCACTGTAATGATTTACACAGTTATCTAATCCACCCTCACTATTATTAGACTGGTGATCATTTCTTCCACCTTGTTCACTGGGGATGAACTCTGCGAAGGGCAGGGCAGTTGTGATTACCAGTCCCTTCTGGTAGTCGACGATGACCCCGCTCGATCCGACCTGGGAAGAGAAATCTTGTAGCGAGCCAGTTGTCTTGAGAGAATCCGATTGAGAAGTTGAGGTTAGAGCAGATTGGTACCCTTTCTCAGGGGTAAGTGGCTGGTTACGGCTCTTGCAAGCTACCAGGCAGATGGGATAATCTTCTTTCTCCATAGGCTCCATGATGATGAACTAATCAATGATCTTTGGGAGAAACAAATAAAGATGAAATGAAAATCAATAACTCACAGTCAATCATCTTAAATTCAATTAAATTTCAAATCAACATTATTTTCTGCCATTCAATTTGACAACATATTTGACATCTGTTCAAATAATATTCAATTTAGTTTATATGTAGGAACATAAATATAATTTAAGAATTTGTATTACAAGGAAGAAGATGCAAAATCTCAATTCAGGTCTCAATTATATCTCTACAATTGCAATATCAATGTGGACAGATCTAGAGGGGTCTATCTACATTGCACAGAAAAAATCTGTCTGCTTGGACACGTTGCAGGAGTTTTTAAATACATTTCATTGCTCGACGCTCTATCTTCTCCAAGGGATTCGGTGAAGCCAGACGTACGTAGTCCAGTTCCAGACTCCCAACAGAATTAGCATATCCACAACAAATAGTCTAGCTCTGATTTTTTTGTCTCTGTCTGAAATATTTAATTTCATATATAATTTTCATTGAATAGAATTTGCAGAACCATCAAGACAATAGACAATATCAATATGAATCTAGCTTTATTCATTTGGAAAACATAGACTTACCGGTATTCAAGTTTATTCCAACTTTTTTAAAATGTTAAAAATCCTTAACATTTTTTGTCTACTTGTCAATAATGATAAACTGATATTTCATCAGCAATTGTTTTCACAGTTTGTCTAGACTAGACTATAGAGTCTATAGTATATGATCATCTAGGGCTTGGTTTATTGGATTGGATACGATCAAGATTTAGACATATCTAGGGGACATTTCTGTAGTTCACTGTTCAGACTTCAGACTTCCAACAAGTTCAGAATCAAACTGCACCTGTTCACTCTTTACCAACCAAGTAGTCTACTTCACAAGTTCACTCTTCTTGTCACTTTCAGCCTTTATTAAACGCTTTATTTAGGTCAGGTTTCTGATTTCGAGTAGGTCTAGGTCTAGATTAATAAAAAATAAGCTGTTCATTTACCTTAAAATGCAAGGAGTCAGATCTTGCCATTTCTTGGCTATATTGCATTCTGCTGCAAAGCTGCAGTCAGTTCAGTAACTTTAATTCAGCTCGTGGAGCTGGCCGAGCTGAGTCTATCCTTTACCCGGCTGGCCGCGCCGCGCCGACCGTACAGGCGCGCGCTGGGATGGGAGCTCAGAGGACTGTTATGCAACGATTAAGTGACAAACTTGAGTCTGTACACTTTATTTAGCACGAGACAGAGAGACAGAAATTTCAGATTCTGTCTTTGAAAAGTTAAAAAAAAGCTACCGTACGTCAGGAACGAGAAGAGGTAAGTTGATTTGGGAAATAATACTAGCCCTGTAGTTTGTAAAACGGAAATTTGGGGCCTTTATACGGCCAGTAAAAAGCATTATCTAACGTGTGTCGATGTGTGGGAATGAATGATCAGTCCTACCCGTGTGATTTCGTGTTACTGTTTTGGTGGCTGTTGATGTTGTGAATGCCAGAATGGTGTTGCTTGTTTTTAAACTACCAAAGTTAATATGCCAGGAAATTTGATGTGGAAAAAGAAAAATACAGAGGAAGAAAGAAAGTTATAAGGTCTATGTATTTTTAATAACGATTTATTGAAGGAACGTGCAGAAAACATGTAGGTCTAGTCTGTGAATGAGAAAAAGAGATAGGGTCTAGATCTAGATCTAATATTTGGAGAGATCGATGGGTGATGTGTGATGAAACTAATTTGTCGCTAGTTTGGAATCGTATCCAGACTTTGACCTGTAACTCCGGCGTGGAGATACCGTAATAAAATATACCAAAAATCAACTAAATCTTCATCATTTGTTCAAATAATGCATGGCCATGATTTAAAAGTTGTTGTGTTTCTCAGCTGTTTCGTGTCAATTTTCTTATCTTTTAATTTTTATGGAGCATTTTTCCTAAAAACGATTAGGCCTAGATCTACATAATAGTACATTGTATATACACTTTCTCACAGGTTTCACAGTAAACCGCTGCACGATACAATTCATACCATACAGACATGGGTGCGCGCGCACTAGCATGACGTAATAGAGACCGTAATGATTATCATCATCATCATCACAATGTGAATTACATGTGCTTAGTCTACATGAATTTAATGAGGATCTAAGAGTAAGGTTACAGTCTAACTTCACACTCGCGCGGTGTCTATCAACTATGTGAGATCAGTACCGTATAATGAGGCTGTAGTAACCAAGTGGAGATACCTTGAGAGTTACTTGAATAAAGAAACTTAACAGTGTTAAATTTCAGTCTCCGCTAAGGTGTTGCATGGTGGCTGCCATCTTTTAATCACACCGGCGGCAGATTCTACATGATGAACTAGAAAGTTGTGTGACTAAAAGATGGCAATCACCACATAAAGGCGACTGAAATGGACAAAAAAAAATATCCATTAAGTAGCTCTTAAGGTATCTACACTCGGTTACTACAGAGGCAACACCACAGCAAGATTTTATCAGGATTTTTATCATTCCTAATCTCTTTGCAGCACTCAGAGTCGAAGAGGATGAGCCGTCACTTGAGATTTGTGGCGAGGACCGTCTTTGTGAAAGGAGGTGATGTGGACGGAGCGTACAGAACCCTGAACAAGTGAGTATACAAATAATACACAGCAGTGAGGGCATTAGTAAGAATTACCCATACAAGGTACCTTTTCGGACAGTGTAACACGTCCGAGGGGATAGCCGAGACTTGTAGGCACCTAGCAATCCAGCAAGCATTGTATGTTTTTGTCCTTTTAGATTAAACCTCAAACTGTGAAGTTTAGCCATCTGGGCAACCATAACAAAATTGAACCAAAATTCAATGTCATCTTTTCGATTACCTTTTCTGTAATTCTCTATAATTTCTCTATTAACCTCTAAGATAAGCAGTTTCTTTTGACAAACAACCTTTTCACAAAGCTGACTACACTATGTTAACACTGATAGGATTAAATTGTGAATCTGTTCCATTCTTAAATATGATTTTGTCTTGTTTTCAGTTCTCTGAACAGAGATGGCTTGATTGAGAGCGTGAGGAGAAAGCGCTACTTTGAGAAACCTTTCCAGGAACGTCGGAGGAAAGAATACGAGAACATGAAGAAGATTTACAACCAAGAGATGGGGAGGAGGATACAGTTCATCATGAGGAAGAACAGAACGGAACCATGGCCCGTGTAAACTACCCCCTGCTAATCCTTGTGGACCAGTTTTCACCACAATAGAGTGGTGTATATAGATTGCTAAGTGAAAACCATCCCTTTGTTTATCCTTATGGGCCAGTTTTCACCACAATAGAGTGCTGAACAGAGATGGCAGAGTGCAAACCACCCTTTGTTTATCCTTATGGACCTGTTTTTACTGATAATATAGTAGGTGAACCAAAATGGCAGAGTGTAACCTACCCCCTGCTCATCCCTAGGTACCTGTTTTCACCAAAAGAATGAGATGAACATAGATTGCAAAGTGTCAATTACCAGTTGCTCCTCGATTTGTACCCATTTTCACCAATGTACATGTACATGCAGTAGGACAAAGATGGTTGAGTGGAAACTACCCCATGTTGATCTTTATGCACCTGTTCTCACCCTTGGGAACAGGATGGAACTGTATTCTGTGTAAACTACCCCATGCTCATCGAATATGCACATTTTCACTCTTATTGTGGGATGCCGTCTTCTGAATAGAACTGATATCTGTGCAAAGGACCCCATTGACAAAGTGGGGGACCTGTTTTCACTTGTGAAGGAATGTTATGAAAGGAGGCGGCTTTGTATCTTTTAACCAATCGCATTGGACAGTGTCCCGTCTTCATCTGCACAGCCCACAGAATAATTTTTCGTGAACTCAGCTCCATATGGAAAGTCGTGTACAAGGATAGAATTTCTTAAATGCAGTGAATCCTGCATGTAAGAATTTTTGTTTTCAGCAAAGCCGATATACAGTATGTAATGAATGTATGCATTGAAATGTTACTTTTCTCCAGAATTCTGCTGTCATACTGAAAGAGATTCTTTTTGGTGGGGGGGGGGGGGGGTGGAGAGCCTTTATTCAGTGAGGAATTTTAGCTTACAATATAATTGTATTTCATAATACAATAACATTTGAAGTAATCAATGTATGTGGCATTCAGGATTCTCATGAAGAAAAAAAATTACTCTAAAAAGTGAAACTTTTGACAATTTTCCAACTTGTTTTTATTTCACAGTGTTTTGTTTGCCAAGAAAATGGCTGATATTTCACAAAGGTCTCTGGTTTTCAGTGAATGAAATCCCACTGTTTGAATCACCCATACAAAGAGATGTGTATACCTGTAATATTTATGATGTGATTCATATGATGTAGTAAATTGACAAGGAAAATCTTTAGGAACGTTGTGTTTTTCTATTTATATTGCTGGTGTAGCTTATAAAATATGAGATCATGATTTGTGTATACATGCAGGGCCAGTGAATGGGAGTGGAAAGATAGTTTGAGAGAGACTGAGAGGTAGGGAGAGAGAGAGAGAGAGAGAGAGAGAGAGAGAGAGAGAATGAAGGGAGAGAGAGAGAGAATGAAGGGAGAGAGGAAGGGGGAAGGAGAGAGAGATATAGAAACAGAGGGATGGAAAGGGAGTGAAAATATAAATTGAGAGAGAGAGAGAGAGAGAGAGAGAGAGAGAAGGAAATGGGAGGTAAAGATATTAAAGAAATGGAATACAGAAAGAGCAAGAAAACAGAAGTAGTCATGTACATTCAGTTATGAAAGATAGAGAGGGAGAGACAGAGAGTGGAAAGATAAAGTGTAGGAGAGAGAGAGAGAGGGGGAGGGGGGGGGGGGAGGGAGGGTGAGAGAAAGAGGGGAGACGTAAAGACGATGAGGAGAGAGAGAGAGTAGGAAATGGGAAGTAGAGATACTTTAAACATTTCTGTGGCTACTTTTCAAGCTTGCTTGCATGAAATTAGCACTCTTTATTTTGTTTGCATTGAACTATATGCAATTTTGGGGGGCTCTTTTATGACTTTTGGGGGCTCTTTTGGGCATTTCGGGGGCTTATTGGCCCCGAGCCCCCTGTATTTTTTCCCCTGAAAGATATAGAAAATGGAATACAGAAAGAGGAACAAAAGGGAAGTTCATGCATGTAGTAATGTACATTCAGTTTTGAAAGAGATAAGAGAGAAATAAAGAGACAATAAAGAGGGAAAGAGAGAGAGAAAGAAGGAAATGTAATTGAAAATATGGAAATAATAAGAAAGAAAGGGGAAATTTATTATTTTCTTAATGGAAAGAGAGGAAGGGATAACTTTAATGTCTTACATGATGGTGAACTTTTGCAAAAAGGTGACTCCCAATTTTTATTAGAGTACCCTTCTACGCGTTTTTCATTCTTTTTTTGCGCTAATTTTTCTGTTTTTGTTCTCCATCTTTCTCTCTAATATTGAATATTTTTCCTTCATCAGTCATCCTACGCCATAAACACCTAGGTGTATGTCACTTTTGCCTCTTTTCTTATCCCTTGCACTCTCTCTCTCTCGAATGATTGATTGATTGATCCCTTCTTTGTGTATCTTATGCCCTCTATCTCCCCCTCCGTAACTCTTTCTCTCTCTCTCTCTCTCTCTAGTCTCACACACACAGCCTCTCTCTCTCTGTCTCTTTCTCACTTTCCTTGTTTCTTTCATTCTGTCGGCCCCTCCATAGTCACCTCCTCCTCTCGCTCTCTCTCCATCCATCTCTGTATATCTCTCTCTTTCTTTCTCTCTCTATCTCTCTCTATCCATCTATCCCTCTCCATCTTTCTATCTCTCTCTCTCTTTTTCTATCCATTTAACTATCTCTCTCTCTCTCTCTCTCACTATCCATATATCTATCTCTCTCTATCCATCTATCTCTCCTCTCTCACTATCCATCCATCTCTCCCTCCATCTATCTCTCTCTCCATCTTTCTATCTCTCTCTCTGTCTCTCGCTATCCATCTATCGCTCTCTCTCTCTATCCATCCATATCTCTCTCTCTCTCTCTCTCTCTCTATATATATCTATCTATTTATCTATATCTCTCTCTCTCTCCTATCCACCTCTCTCTATCCATCTATCTCTTTCTCTCCTTCTATCTAGCTATCTCTCTCTATCCATCTCTCTTTCCCTACCTTTATCCATCTTTCTCACCCTTCTCTCTCTCTCTCTCCATCCATCTCTCTCTCTCTACCCATCTATCTCTTTTTCTCTTTCGCAAAGCACTAAGTCCTTACTCAAGGACCTAATCTTCTTTCTGACAAAATCTACAAATTCTGAACAAAAGCAAGAACCTATAATATTCCAGCTTTTCAACATTCATTTATTTAATTTTTTTCTCTAAAAACAAAATTACTTTTATAGGCAAAACACACCACAACGCAGGACAAACCACAACAAATTTGAAGAATATCTTTTTTTTTACAGACTTAAAAGATGACTGTTAGCAAATCAATGGAAACATATATGTCTCTGTTACATCCCAGACCAAATTTGGTATATTCAATGCTACAATGTATTACTACAGACACGTCACACTAATGCACATATAGAACTTTTTTTGCTCTACATATTGGGCAGGGGAATGCAAAAAACATTTTCATGTATAAATAACATACTCCTATTAATATACACTCAAATGACATACAGTATAGCAGCGGGCATGCATTTACGGAACGTGAAACGCTACATTTGCCTATAAATATACTTCAAATATCACGATACATGGAATTATCGTCATGTAATTTTATAAGCATGATTCATTGATAAATAATTACTATATATGCTTTCAGCCACCAAAAAAAAAATGATTATGTATGATTTTTCGTTCACACAGACAGAAATTCACCAAGGACAATTTTGAGAGACGTGATTAAGGAGAATGATAAAATTCCATAGAGAAAATGCCGAATCGGAAGTAACAGTACATACAAATTTTGCCTAAGTCCATACATCAAGCCTTTATTCAGTTATAACGGAGGGATGTGCCAGATTTAATACTTTTTATTTTTTAGTCAGTAATGAAGTCAAACAGATCCATTTAATTGACATGCAATACTCTTTCATTTCTCCCTACGTAGTATATTTTTGCTCAGTTTCTTCTTTTTCGGCAGTCACAAACTCCATACTACTAAAACTTTGCGCTACGGACACATCTAATGAATATATACAGTTTATAGAGACGGTGCAGGAAAAAGACAGAAAGAGAGATATAGAGAGAGAAATATATGAAGAAAGAGAATTTAAGTAGTTTCCACAAGGCATAATGATCTATATACAACATCAATTATCTATCGTAGTTTTGGTTTTCTTTCAAGTGATTTTGCTAACATTCAAAGCGGTGCAAAGTTATCATTTTCATCATACTTGTACACTGTAGCTTTACAACAGTGGTGACATTTTCATCTGCAATTTGAAATGCCTCACTTTCATCCATCATTTTTACAATGCTTCTTTTTTACATTAAACATGTTCTTTTATGCACACGAACCGCCGAATTGAAGAAGACATTTTTGTATGTAGGAGAGTTGCACCACAGGAAGTGATTTCTGAATGGTCCAGGGTTTACATTACATGTAGCGTATGTAATCATTTGACCTCTGTACCCCATTGATGCAACTCTCTGTGGTAAATGCACTCTGAAAACCTTTAAAATGTGTACATTGTGTATATCTGTGGCAAATGAGCTCATCTGCATAGAAAAACTTTGCATTTTAACTCTTGCATTTCATGACAACAATACACACTACCAGTAGGACCTGTAAGCACAGAAACTTCACATGCATAAAACTATCACAAGTAGTTGAGAATCAGGAACTTTCATGTAAGAAAAATGAATGAATCGCAAGAAATTTTATGCAATACGCAAATTTCTTGCCATGGAAACGGCCGTCATAAACAATCCATGAAAGCTTCATGCCGTGAACGTTTCTATGCCAACAGCACCTCGTCTACAAAGGCCACATCTTACATGGTTGGGCTGTAGGTGGCGCACTTCATAGCCTGAGAGCATCTACGATCCATAATATTTTTGGCGGCCGTACATGCACAAAAAAAAAATAATGCTATCGCTCGAACAATACAACTGGGAAGAATTAACATCGATGGAACAACATCTGAAATTCGCCAAATACTTTCAGTTTTCAGTATAAAAATGATCTAACTACTGAAATAGCGATACTAGTACTATCTAATTAGTGTAACCATTGAATAGAAATGATAATCGAAACGAACATAAAACGATCCTTTGTTATATAATAGCATTTGATGTCAAATTATCTACAAACCAATATAGACCTATTTCAATCAACATTACATAGGTAATAAAAATCTTCACATTTTGAAAGAGAAAAAGAAATGTAAATAATTGATTTAAAACCAAAAGTTAAGTTTTAAGTACGGTACCATTGATACAATACCCACACGCTGATTTCCCTTTTACATCGCACCTTTATTGTTGTGAATCATGCTTAACCTTTATTTTACGATGTATATCTTTCTTTAGAAAGAAACAAGTGATTAACATCGATCCGATTGTTCATATGTGAAAAAACCAGACCCCCAGAGCAAAACAGCTGCATGACTTTAAAACCGCTACAAAAATCAACTTGCCACTTTTCCAGGGCAACCTATGCATACCAAAGGGCAAGCCCGTTAAAAATAGCTTGCCCCATTAAGCAAGCTTATCATTAGATACCTGGAACCTGGGCAAGTAAGTTGACGTAAGAGCAAGTAATCTTGATCTCACAAGTAATCTTGATCTCACAAGTAATCTTGATCTCACAAGTAACCTTGATCTCACAAGTAATCTTGATCTCACAAGTAATCTTGATCTCACAAGTAATCTTGATCTCACAAGTAACCTTGATCTCACAAGTAATCTTGATCTCACAAGTAACCTTGATCTCACAAGTAACCTTGATCTCACTAGTAATCTTGATCTCACAAGTAATCTTGATCTCACAAGTAACCTTGATCTCACAAGTAACCTTGATCTCACAAGTAACCTTGATCTCACAAGTAATCTTGATCTCACAAGTAATCTTGATCTCACAAGTAATCTTGATCTCACAAGTAATCTTGATCTCACAAGTAATCTTGATCTTACAACTAACCTTGATCTCACAAGTAACCTTGATCTCACAAGTAATCTTGATCTCACAAGTAACCTTGATCTCACAAGTAATCTTGATCTCACAAGTAATCTTGATCTCACAAGTAACCCTTACTGTTATCCTTCCTGTTGAACAAGCCCTTCATCAAAGTTTCAAATTTGAAGTAACTATAAATGAAATAAAGAATGGAATGAATTTTGAAGAGTATATTGAAAGCTCTGTAGAACAAAAGTACTCTATCATTTTCCTCAAAACAAAAGATGAAAAAAGGATTTAAATTTGACTTTGCATCGTGTAGCTCACAAGCACATTGGCTTTGTTCGAATGTACCTATATCAGCAGTGTACATACGGTATACATCTAGCGATTTGTGCATATTTTTTTCTCTAAAATCCATCTCCATTAGTAACGGTAGAAAGATGATTTCCTTCAGAATTGTACCTTGGACAAAACTTGCGCGTCTTTGGACAATCCTGAACATACATTGTACCAGGTATATTCATAATCTGTCGTTGGGCTGTTTGCCAGCTATTCCTTTCATCAATACATGCATCAAATCCATCAAATTGCCATCTTTTATTAGTTTTTACAACTGTAATTTCTTCAAATTTCAGAATACCAATTTTTTATTCAAAAGGGCAGTAACATGACCATTCTGTGGTCTCCAAATTGCCTCAAATCCAATTCTTCAGACAAAATATTTTGTTTCTTTTAATTTAAACCCACACTTGGCAGTCACTCAACCCATGCCAATTACCTATTTACATTTTTTGAATATCCTTATATGAATTACGTTTTTCCTCACAGTTTCCCTTCTTAGGCAGTGCAAACAAGCAATTTTATAAACCTTTGGTACGTGTCCCTTCTCCCAATTCCTATTTACAAGAGCATTCCAATATAACCACACGGTGCATCCTTTCGCCCCAACTAACTTTTATCGTAACACCAGTCGTGAAAGCTGGCCATGTACCTTTGCGACGACCACAGATACAGAAAAGGAAAAAAATAGGTCACACGAAACAGCTAGGCATAATCATAAAAATCCATTAATACATTTCTTTTGCTACAATTTCTCTATGCATAAAGGGCGTAGTTGTAAGAAACCAGGGCGTGGCACTATGATACCAGGGCGTAGCACTATGATACCGGTAGGAGTCTAGTTGAAGGAGAGGCTTGACGCACCACCTGGGGGCGCCATAATCCTCTGGCCGCTCCTCTTGTCCTTCCTGTCATCAACTTGGCTACCTATATGGGTCAAAGGTCAAAGAGAAGAGAAGGAAAGTTGTTAAAGGTAACTCTAAACCGATTCATTTCCAAAGAGGAACTTCTAAAAACATTGAATTGGTATACATCGAGGGGTTTAGTGACACAAAGACATAACTCCATATATTGCCAAAATGAGTATCTAAAATTAAAATGTTCAGAAAAATGTGGGCTTTCCAGGAAACACAAATATTTAACTCCACCCAACACCCCATTGAAGTCAATGGCTAGTGAAACATTGACTTAACTCCTTCCTTAAGGCCCAAGTGCTCAGTGACACATAAACTACTTTTTCTCAAAATGGTCAAAATGGAGTTACGTCTTTGTGTCATTGACTCCTCGACATGTACAAGTAGATTCATTTACTTTGTGTTTAAAAGCTTTAAATCTTGATATTATTACAAACATCCATAAATTGTCTGTTCAGAGCCAAAACGGCATTAACTCTGTATTAATGTATACAAGACAATGCCCTTCTGGTTCCAAACAGACATTATTTTTGTGAACACTTCATAGAGTTTAGAAGATCAGTGACACCTTCTAAGAGACGACTGGTTTACAAAGGCCAACCATCTATAAAGACCAATGCTTTTTCCTGTTTCCCTTCAAAGTACATCTCCTTAAAAGCCTTCCTATCATAACATGTAGATAGAGAACACCTGCTTATACAGATAATTTTGTTGTTTTCCTCAAAAGGCCTTTACACATGTGATAAGGTTTGACTCTATACATGCAGTATTAATTAAATATGATTGCAATTGTTCCAAAAGCCATTTGGTGTAAAGGTAATATAGCAATGTTAGGTAAAGGTTGCATAAAGGGTATTGCACTGGAAATAAAAAGGGGGATTTTAACAACAAACCTTTGCAAATGAAATATATCTTGGAACTCAAAGGGAAATTGAAAATTAAGTTGAGGGCATCAATCACAGAAGAACATACTGTATGTACAGTCAAACCTGGCTATTATGACCATACAAGGAAACACATGTTTTCTTTTAGAGGGAAGTCAGGCAATACGGATGACCACTATAGACAGGTTGCCTTTACACAGAGGTGGCCACCTATAGCAACCGCCCAAGGGAAACACAAAAAAGTGGTCTTTGTAGACAGGTTCCTTTAGTACATGTTTCAATGAGAAACCATTTTGAAGGGAAACAAAAAAATGTGGTCTTTGTAGACAGGTGGTCACTAAAGCAGGTTTGACTGTATTTGGTTTTTAAGATGGATTGGGGAGGATGGGAGGAAGAAAGGGAAAAATTTACAAATGGAACAATTTCGACAAGACTTTTTGTTTCAATTCCTTGCAGAATGATATACAAACCAAAAAATAAAATATTGAAATTAACGCTTGGTAAAACATCAATGTTTTTATAATTAAATAATATGTTTGAATCGGCAAAGTTGATCCTTTCAACACACAAAATTTGACAGTAACAAAGAAAATTCAACGTCGGAAATATATCAGTCGCCACCTTCTTAGAATATTTGCAACCATTATGAATAAAACTAATATCTGGAGTAATGTGTAGTTTACCAACGAAGAACGATTACAAAAATTACCAAAAAAATTAAAGAGATCACTCTCCACAAATCACTGTAAATAACACCCATTCTACGTGTAGTTTTCACCCAAATGAATAAACAGCTTTCCAATTCTCATCAGATAACATTAACAAATCATTTAAAGTCAATCTAAACACCTGCAAAATGGATCCCAAACTGAGAGCTTTGGAAGCTTTCTCTTGCGAGGCACCAGCGAGATAAATACAGTCATGCAGCATCAGGATTTGGGAAGGTGTAAAATTACATAATACAATTTTGTTCACAGGAGCTCCTGCACTTGTAAAAATTGAGATTTCCTTGTGGTGATTTTATTTATTGTTTTGTAAGAGCTCTTTTTTAACTTCCAAATAATTATTCATTCCTAAATCTACCAGTAAATGACTCTCAGTTCCCTGCTTTTGTTAATATTAAAATTGTGTCCTTCACATTGACCTTGACACTTTGAGGATGACATTGAGAGGGGAGACATGCTTGAGCGCACACACACACACAGCGATTTGACATTTGCTCCGATAACAATCGCTCCAGGCTGAATTTGTATTATAAATGATACAGTGTGGGGTAAGGGTAGCGATTGGGTTTTAGGCTAAGTTCAGGGCGAGGATATACCAGTAGTGTTTGGGTTTGGTCCGGGATGAAGTTGAGAATTTGGTTAGCAGTAGGGGTTGTAGAGGGAGAGGCTTCAGAAGCTCATTTCCAATTTAAAAAAAAATCTTGACCGTAAATGAATTAAAGGAGGCACATATAAAAAATGAATGCGAGAACCTCAAAATTACTCTTCTACAAGCGTGTATGTCCGTTAGACTTAAGAGTGGGGAATCGACCACAGAGAGATCGTCGCAGGAGCATGCATCTACAACCGCACACATATAACAGCTACAACACTAGATGGATACTTACAGACACACAGGGGAAACTAGTTGCCTGGTAATTTGGTTGGGTAACCAAGAATGCATTGAAAGTTAGTACAAAAGAGAGTAGCAAGATGGCGGTCTATTGGTGCACATGCTACACATGGATGTGCAACTTGAGAGCTAGCCATTTAATGTATGCAACTCAATGGGTATGCAAATACATTTAGGGGTCTAATCTACTGTACAAGGCTGATACTAACTACCGCCTACATGTACATACTAGAGTACTATTCTTCTGTAAATATTGGGCCAGATAGTAATTAGTGAATAAAGATGTTGGAAATATTTTCTATAATTAAATGAAATTTACAGCCAAGATCTTTTCATTATTCACCTGGACCTGTATGCCAATAATTTCAAATATATTCTGCACATTATTTACAAATTTACAGGTCTTTATTAAAGCAAAATTATTTTTTAAGTGAACAACTTTAAAAAAAAAAAAGATTTTCATGAAGAGTACCACATCAAAATGTCATTTGAAATGGATAAAATACTGATTAAATATTCTACTATCAATGGTAGACGATTACTTCATAGAATATCATGCAAAACATGTTACTTTTGCATGAAATTGGAAAATGAGTAACAAATATTTCAGGAAAATTAATGCCTTAAGCGAAACGTTACGAGACACTTACATGATTATTGCGATTCTTGGACAATGCAGCATACATTGTACGTATACTGCTCAGACAAGAGCGATTTATATCCATTTTCAAAACTACTCGGGAATGGATGTCTTTGAATTACATAAAAGTAAAAGTAGAAATATTCATGGATTTTGCGCAAAGATCGGCAACCGTATTTTTGAACTCTCAAAAATATAAGCATGATTTCTTATGCCTGCACCAATAGAAATGAAAACAATGGAGTGAAGTGTGCAACGCGAATTAAGAACCTGTGAAAACGTTTTGGGGTTGCTCACCGCAAAAAATTAATCATGCGAAAATAACAGCGTTATCAGTAGTCTACGACTGCCTTTTAATTTTGCTGCAGACTTCTAACCAACACCGCCACACAAAACCTCCCTCTATACACATTACACAGTGCTAGGAAAAGCTGCATATACATGTATGAACAGTTACTGCATATAGCAAATACTGCCTTTAAAAAAATAACATAAATAAATCAACAACAAACAAACACGTAACCAACGGGGAACCACAAACAAAGCAAGCATACTGAAGTGAAATCATAAATAAGGAGTTTATGAGGAGAGGGGTGGGGGGGGGGGGTAGTATATTTGAATATTCAAAAGAGAGATAAATGGATTCAGTACTGTTTTTTGTGTGATGTACACCATAAGATGTGGAGCAGAATACAGAAATGAATGTATCTGTCATTGTGCCTTGCGTAAAGACATTGAATGCACGATTCCTACAAACTGAACGCACCATTCCTACAAATTGAATGCATGATTCCTAAAAATTGAATGCACGATTCATACGACTTGAATGTACGATTCATACAACTTGAATGCAAGATTCCTAGAAATTGAATGCGCGATTCCTAGAAATTGAATGCACGATTCCTACAATTTGAATGCACGATTCATAAGACTTGAATGCATGATTCATACAAATTGAATAATTCCATATTTTAGATACATAATTGGAGATAATGGTTTGGAAATCTTTGTAACATTCTTGTTTTTTTTCTTTTTTTAGCCCATCTTATCACAACAGTATAATCAGAATTTTTAAAATACCTTCTTTTCCTGTTTGAACATGCACAAATTGACATAGACCTGTTGACAAATATACCGGTACTCAATACCTCAAGAAGATACCTGTACAGAGCACCGACACCTTGCATTCTAACTGCTAATATACAGCCAACAACTAAATTATTCATACCCTTACCAAGTTTTGTAATTGTTTAAGTACGTGGAAATGATTTGTCCCAATTTATGTTTTTTTGAGAATGTGACATATTAAAGCTCCCATCTTAAAGTATTCAACAAAGGCCCTAATTCAACCAGTCCAGCTTTTATTTTTGAGTTACAAAAAACACAAAAAACATCAAATTTATAAGGGGTATGAATAATTTAGTTGTTAAATGTACATGTACCGGTAAGCTCTAAATATCCAGCAAATACAACAATTAACTACTAAGCAATCGAAAAAGAAGCATTCCTGAATCCTGTACACATTTGCGAACTGGGCCCTCTTTCACAAAACTTGTTATCAATAACAAATGCTAAATTTCTCTGACAAATTAGCTCTCAGCCAATCAGATGCCATGATTTCAGTAGCTTATAACAGTTAATGTAACTTGTGCTTGATAACAAGTTTTATGAAACATGGCCCTGATCTTTTCCCATGCTTTTTGAGTACTTTGGAGGAGGAGGAGGAGGATTTATAGACAGTCGTACGAAACAAGGATATTTCATTTTTTCAAGCGATCTAGCGATACACATTTAATACCTTTTTTGTAGTGCTGGGGCGTACATGCCATATCTGGTTAAAGGGATAAAAATTCATATAAAATGTCAAAATCATCCTCTTTTTGGACAATTGCACTGACCACTATAAGAGAATGCATTTTTTAGAGGAACAGGAATCGTAAATATTTTGTTGAGTCTTTTTTGTTTCATCAAGGAAATTCACATTGAATATAATCTTCCGGGAGGTGTTTGCATTTTGATTTTGAGAACTGTGATAGGAAGGATAGCCGTTTCGACCCAGAGCTACTTCAAAGGTAGGGATAATAGGGCTACAGTTAGACTAAGGCTTGGGAATTGGTGACAGTCTAACTTAAAGCTAATCTTGGGCTCTGGTATGAGAATCGTATGATGAGAGACCATGGCTATAATTCATTGTGGATCATTAATCCTGCAGTAGATCGACTGTTCGATCCAGTAAAATAAAAACAAACTCACACAAAAACTTGCTGGAAATCATCTTCAATAAAAACCCCAACTCTCATCTGCACCAAGTGACCTGTGTAACGCGCATGGCCTCGGGCCTACTTACCTTGATTTCCTTATTTTTCTATGCTACCAAAATTGTTTGGCACGTGTCTTTAATTTGTTATCTTGAACTTTCAGTGTAAGTTTTGTTGGATTCTGTGAAAAATTATTTTCTATTTACCAGAACTCAAGATTAGCTTTAATACAAAGGATTGAGAGTGATTTAGCTTTAGATTTTATAAAATATAAAAAGCACTGGATAACCAAAAAAAACCTCTAGGAAACCAAATGAACATTAAATAAGTCCACAAAAAAAATCTTACTGTTCTCTGGAAAATGAACACACAATAAATATAATAGTCATTTTTCGCCAATAAAGTCTGGTTCAGATATGGCCAGGTATACTGCCTGAAAGAAAAGGCTCTTACAGCAAAATAAAACAGATATTAGGAGTAACTGAGTCGCATGCGGGGATGGAAATAGGTATCTGCATGTTACACAGGCGGCTGTGCGTTCTCACTCACAAGTGCATGCGTCTGTGTGTCATTTAATACAGTAGCGAGAAGCAAAGCGTTGCATTCCATTTTGCCGCAGCATTTATTTAAAGGCAATTTACAGTGCCACATGTGAACAAAGCTTACAGGATCGGGGCAGAGGGGTTAGTGAGGTCACACAAGGTCATTGACCTGACAGAGAAAAGCCTAATCTGAGAAGGTGTCACTGACCTTATAGTGTTAAAAACCAGATCAAATCACGACACAAATATGTACACTACATTAAGAACAAACAAATTCTGCTATGGAAACAGTTGGTTTTACAGTCATTTCGAGACTGGAGGTTAAGAGAAGGTCATGGACAGGGTGATAGAAGGTCACATGAGGTCACACAAGGTCACTGACCTGACAGAGAGAAGCCTGATCTATGGAGGTCACGTCCTCCGTGCTTGTTCAGTTGAGCGGGTTCATCGGACTGCTGAGGGGATGGGCCAGTCCTGCGGTAGTTGTTCTGGACTGGCTGGCCTGTATTCTTGTGGATCGGACCCTCGTAGCCGTCCCGGTCAACGCGCTTGTAAGCATTGACCTGGAGTAAAGAGCATACAGACACGTCTTGGAAACAGAATAGTGATGATGGAGGCTTACTTCAATATTATAAGACAAAAATTGCCTGCTTCTATACAAAAATTGGTACATACATGTGTATGCTAATAAATGATTGTTAAAAACATAGTTCGCTAAAATATTTTGTTAGAGAAAGATGTGCCTTGTCCACATCTCTCTCTCTCTGTCTACCTCATCCCCCTCTCTTTCTTCTCTCTCTCTCTCTCTCTCCCTCTCTCTGTCTCTCTCCCTCCCTCCCTCCCCCTCTCTTTCTCTCTCTCTCTCTCTTTATTACCCTCACACTTCCCTATCCTGCTTTCTCTCTCTCTCCCCCTTTTCTAAACCTTTCTCTCTCTATCCTTCTTTCTATCTTCTTCTCTCTTATTCTCTTTCTCTAAATCAAGTCCCAGATGAACCTTACTCTATCTCTCTCCCTCCTCCCCCTCCCTCTCTCTATGACCCTCACACTTCCTTATCCTACTTTCTCTCTTTTTTCTCTCCCCCCCTCCCTTTTCTATATATCTCTCTCGATCCTTCTATCTATCTTCTTCTCTCTTATTCTCTTTCTCTAAATCAAGTCCCAGATGAACCTTACTCTATCTCTCTCCCTCCTCCCCCTCCCTCTCTCTATGACCCTCACACTTCCTTATCCTACTTTCTCTCTTTTTTCTCTCCCCCCCTCCCTTTTCTATATATCTCTCTCGATCCTTCTATCTATCTTCTTCTCTCTTATTCTCTTTCTCTAAATCAAGTCCCAGATGAACCTTACTCTATCTCTCTCCCTCCTCCCCCTCCCTCTCTCTATGACCCTCATACTCCCTTATCCTACTTTCTCTCTTTTCTCCCCCCCCCCCACCTCTCTCTATATCTCTCTCTCTCTCTGTTTCCTTCTATCTATCTATCTTCTTCTCTCGTATTCCCTTTCTCTAAATCAAGTCCCAAATGAACCTTACCTTTTCTCTTTGACTGATCCTTGAGTAAGCCTCCGGAGCGTGAAGTGGACGAGAGATGAATCGACCAGCTCCTTGGGATACGTGCAGCTGAGGGGAGACGAGGGGTAGGATTAGAAATGGCACTGAATTTATTTTAGATAACCTAAAGAGGGTCTGAATAATTGAAAGACAGTTAAGCAATATAATGCTGTTCATCAACCAATAATTTCAAGACTAGCACCACCATATTTCATTTTTATCACCTTCTTCTTCATCATCATCACCATTATCATCATAAAAATCGCAATTACTGCTGCCATCATTGCTATCAGCATAAAAACAACCATCATAATCATCCACTACCATCACCATTACTAAAACTGCAATCACCAAAACTGCCATCATCATCATCAACATCATATTTATCATCCTCTTCCTCATCATCATCATCACCATCACCATCATCATCATTAAACCACCACAATCACCACTACCACCTCCATCATCATCACCACTACCACCATCATCACCATCATCACCATCACCACCATCATCATCACCACTACCACCACCATCATCATCATCACCACTACCACCACCATCATCATCATCACCACCACCACCATCATCATCACCACCACCACCACCACCACCATCACCACCACCATCATCATCATCATCACCACCATCATCATCACCACCACCACCACCATCATCATCACCACCACCACCACCATCATCATCACCACTACCACCACCATCATCATCATCACCACTACCACCACCATCATCATCATCACCACCACCACCATCATCATCACCACCACCACCACCACCACCACTATCATCATCACCACCACCACCACCATCATCATCACCACCACCACCACCACCATCATCATCATCACCACTACCTCCACCATCATCATCATCACCACTACCACCATCATCATCACCACCACCACCACCAACATCATCATCATCACCACTACCACCATCATCATCACCACCACCACCACCACCACCATCATCATCATCACCACTACCACCATCATCATCACCACCACCACCACCACCATCATCATCATCACCACTACCACCATCATCACCATCATTATCATTACCACCATCATCACCACCACCACCACCACCACCACCACCACCACCACCACCACCACCACCACCACCACCACCACCAACATGATCTTACCTCTCCATCTTCTAACACCACTCTGCCGTTGCTGATGACGGTGAGAGGAACACCGTGGCACTCCATACCCTCAAAGATATTGAAGTCTACAGCCTACAAGAAAACAATGAGAACAAAGCACTTTGATACCCTGGCACCATGGACTAACATTATCTTCAAATGTTGATTTTAAGTATATTTTCTGCCAAATGTTCTTTTCAGTTATAATCTGTCAGTTTATGACAGGTTCCGTGACCCAATCAAAATTCTATATGAAGTGTCTCTCGAAGTTCCTCGGTCTTGAACGAACCGTTTCACATTTCATACCCTGTTGCTCCACATTCTGTGAACATCATCTAGAAAGCCCTTACGAGGTCTTCCCCTCTTCTTCTTTCCATGAATACGACCTTCTATGACTCTGATCATCAAGCCCTCATCATGCCGCATTATGTCTCAAGGCCATTTCTTCTGTCTCTCACTAATCAGTTATAATATCTCCAAACTAATGTAAACAAATATTGTTATTAATGGAATTATGTGTTCGCTGAACCACATTTTTTTTGTTAACTATGAAAGCAAAACTCTAACTTGGTGTGAAGAAAGTGATGGACGTTGGACTGACCTGGTGATGCGTCTCCTTGGAGATGACCCTTGTTGCCATGGGATCCCAGATGACCACATCAGCATCTGACCCTACTTGGATCACACCCTGGATAATGAGCATGAACAAGTACAGTTAACAACTAAATAATTTACAATAATACTGTCAAACCTGTCTATAGCGACCGCCCAAGGGAAACACAAAAAGTGATCTTTGTAGACAGGTGGTCGTTGAAGACAGATTCTCTTAGTACATGTTTCAAGGAGAATCCATTTTCGAGGGAAACAAAAAATGTGGTCTTTGTAGACAGGTGGTCACTAAAGCAGGTTTAACTGTAATAATAATATTCAGTTCATGGGGACTGTTGTTGGAACAAATAAGCAAGGAAGACCAAGAAAGAGATGGGAAAGTGACATCCTAGTATAGGCAGCACCTTCCAGAAGGTATATAGATCGTTTAAGATAGGAAAAATGGTTTGAATATGTTTGTGGCGTCTTTAGGGACATTGTGACAGCTTAGCTTATAGCGCATATCACATCATAGCTATATGTAAAAAGTAAAATCTCTCCTTATAAAAAAAATTGTTGTGTTTCCTCACCTTTCTTGGGTACATGTTAAAGATTTTGGCAGCATTGGTACTTGTAACAGCCACGAAGCGGCACTCATCAAGCTTGCCGGTTTCCTGAAATGAAATCATGATTTCAAAGTTTATATATGCAGTCAAATTGCAAAGAATGTATTCTAATTGCAAATAATGTATTCAAATTTCAGTGAATGTAGTCAAATGTCAAAGAATGCATTCAAATTTCAATGAATGCAGTCGAATTTCAATGAATGCAGTCAAATTTCAATGAATGCAGTCATATTTGAATGAATGTATTAATGATAATGATGATACATGTCTATATCCAATGTATTGTATTAGTTGGTTTCTGTCTCAACAAAGATGCTTTTGAGCTATTCACAACAAAACAAATAGCGAGTTGTGGAGGGGTGGCACTAAACATTTGAAGGGGGAGGGGATGGGGGGTGGACAAAATTTGATGACATGTCTGTGGACAGGGAAGAACTGGAAATTTTTCATATTTTAAAATCAAGCTTGACAAAAAGGGTCTCATGATACAAATGCTGACGGAAGCTGAGAATCCTCTGAAAGGAAGGCCCCTCCCCCTCCGAAAAAAAGAAAGTGTTGAATGTATTTCAACTGACCACACCTTTCTCCCTTATAACAACCATCATACATGTATATCCCTCGCTGTTATCTTTTGTTGAGAATCTCAAAACACAATGTGATTTTCAAATAATTCAGAGAAATGCTACCACCAGCGAAAATCAATCTTCCAGTGGTCGATTCAAAAGAAATCAAAATTTTCAAAGTGCACATGTCAAAGGTCATATACTACCACTTACCACGCCCTTCTCCCAGATGACAGACATCCTGTCCTCTACACCATTGACTCCATTTGGAATCTTGGTGAAGTCGTCCTTCCCCATGGCCTTCTGCTCAGACTTGAAGGTACAGTGATCGGTTCCCGTCAGCTGCAGGTCGTTGCTATGGAAATAAAGGAGTGTAATCTCGGTATTGAACTTGGAATCGTACATAAGTGAACCATCTACAGTGAAACCTTTCTATAAAGACCTCTCGATGGAGACAAGATAAGTAGTCTTAAAGGGATCCGGTAACTTTGTTTCAGATTCTGGATTTAGCTCATGCTGCAATGATAATTATAAACCTTTAGGTCAGTCAGGAAGCCCATGACTTTTACAAGTCCATCACCTGTCTGATTATCAAGATATTTATGATTGAAATTACAAATTTTGAAAACCATTTGCCAAACACGTTTTTCATAACACTACAGTCTATTGGGGAAAACGAGTATGGTAAAACCGGTCACTCAAATTTTTTTTACTTTTTTGAGGCACTTCTTGATCATTTTAAAGCGCAATTTTTTTAGGGCTTCAATATAACACCATATCACAGACACTGATAACATGTAGGGCCGTGCATCTCAGATTTAACATTGTTAAACGATCCCTTTAATGCAAAAGTCCTTTTAGTACATGTATCAATCAGAAACCATTTTCAAGGGAAACAAAAAATGTGGTCTTTGAAGACAGGTGGTCACTAAAGCAGGTTTGACTGTATTAAGAGTTAGAATGGCAAAACTCTAAAAGAAATTATTACAGTCAAACCTGCTTGAGTGACCACCTGTCTATAAAGACAACAATATCTGTTTTTTCCTTTTAATATGGTTTCTCATCGCAACATGTACTAAAGGAACCTGTACATAAAGACCACCTGTGAAGAAAGAAAACTTTTCTTGTACAAAAGAGAGCTGACTATTTCTCTTCTTATTGCATAACTATGTTGAACTTGTTGACAATTATTTGCCGGTACACTGTAAATTTCGGGCAATTTTATGAATTTGACGTCTTTTAAAACTTGTTCTCACTTGGCAAGTAGGTCCATGAGATAGCCGGGGGTGGTGGGGTCTGGTCGTAGAGGGGGTCCCATAACGTGAGCCGCAGCGTGGAGCCATTCATGATGGAAGTAGTTTGTCCCGTCTGTACCTAGGCCAGCTGCAATAGGCTCACCAAAGATCACCTTACCTATGGGTGAGAATGAAAAGAGAACGTTTGTTCAATAGATAACTAGAATTGATAATAATTACAAATCAGGGGGTGTTTCACAAAGACTAAGATTGACTTTAAGTTAGGCTTAACTACGGCAGGCCATTCATGCCACAGGTTGCTCTCACTATTGGTCTCTCAATTACGATCTCTAGATAATATTTTATCCTTCGCTAATAAATAAACTATCAAAAAAATGTAAATTCTGTAGATTGTGACCACAATTCATATGTCCCTTGAGAAACCAATGCCAGGAATGGTTAGAGGAACTAGTGGTATGAACTGCCTGCCATAGTTAAGTCCAACTTAAAGTCGATCTTAGTCTTTGTGAAACACCCACCTGGATTTATAAGGTGCTTACTACTGTCTCTCAGCACTTTACAGAAATTTAATTATTACCCTGGTCATCGGATTCATTCACGCACACAGTGTGCACCATTTCCACTCCCTGGGGAGTAAACCTACCATATGGTCACCATTAGAGCATATGGCAATTACTAACACAAAGGCTTTTGTCATCCTACCAGGTCCCCGTATCTCTCCTGGCTCTGGAATGGCTAATATAGATTAATGTCTAGGCAAAGGACATTAGTGCTGTGTCAGGGAACCCAAGACCTTTGCGTTTCCAGTCAAGTTCTTTCATACTGTATGAGAAATATTAACACTGTGGGAGCATCTAACAAAATGAATTATTCATACTGCCTATCCTTGATGCTGGTCCCACATTCTATTCATACACGATGAGTTAAGTCCACATACTAGGGAGCAGCTCACAAAATGAATTATTCATAACAACCAATGCTGATACCTAAAATTCATCTTTATGTGTGTGAAAAATCTATACAAAAGGGAGCATCTCACAAAATGAATTATTCATAACTACCAAGCCTTGATGCTGATACCCATAACTCATCATAATACATGGCAAATGATCTATTCAAGAGGGAGCATCTCACAAAATGAATTATTCATAACTACAAAGCCTCGATGCTGATACCCATAATTCATCTCCATGTGTGGGAAATATCTATACAAGTGGGAGCATCTCACAAAATGAATTATTCATAACTACAAAGCCTTGATGCTGATACCTAATATTCATCTTAATGTGTGGGAAACATCTAATCAAGAGGGAGCATCTAACAAAGTGAATTATTCATAAATACCAAGCCTCAATGCTGATACCCATAACTCATCATAATACATGGGAAATGATCTAGACAAGTGGGAGCATCTCACAAAATAAATTATTCACGAGCTTACCCTGTCTCCTTGCTTTAGAGATCTCATCTGCAGCACTTTTGCTCATGACATGCACGACGTAGAGAGGAGAGTTGACTTGATTGGCGATACAGATGGCTCTGTTCACTGCCTCAGCTTCAACCTATGGAATACACAAAGTAAGAGATATATATATATTTTTTTTTTTTAAAGTGTGAGATATAATGTCACATAATTATGGAGATGAGGATTTCAAAATATAATCAAATAACATTCAATTGTGGAGATTTCGATGGATTCTTTGCGACGAAATCCTAGTGTTTCGCACTAAGAAAATTGCGGAACGATAATGATCTGTGCATGCGCGGACGGGTTCAAAATATAATCGAATAATGTTCGATTGCGAAGATTTAGATGGATTCTGTGCGACGAAATCCTAGTGTTTCGCACGAAGAAAAATTGCGGAATGATAATGATCTGTGCATGCGCAGGCGGGTTCCAATATATTCTCGAACGAGAATTATAAAAGTAAAATGTCACATAATTATGAAGATGACAATTTCCCTTTTACTGTCTGAAATGTAATTTGTAATTATTTGTAGTATACAAGAAATGCTCAGTGTCTTTGCTCATAACATGTACCACATACAGAGGAGAGTTGAATTGGTTAGCAATATAAAAAGCTCTGTTAACTGCCTCAGCCTGCATCTGTATAAGACATAAATACTTTTTTTTTTTTTTAATTGATACTATTTCATGATAATAAGTTCACAATAATCGTAAATCATCATCTTCTTCTTCAGGATAATCTGCCTCCTTCACTGCTGAAGATTCTTGCAGATCATTATAACTATTGTTCTTTAATTTCAAGATTATGTTATATGAAATATTCACTTGAAAAGAATTATTTAAAAACACTTTTCTATTATTTGGGGGGTCCCTAGCTATTTAAAACCATATCCCAATTTCACCCCATTTTACATTGTCAGTATCAAAACATGGCCGAACACCACATACTTAAAGAGAAGGTCCAGCTCTGGGAGGGGGAAAAATACTTTGTGAGTGGTTTCATTCTTATTATGCAAGTGTGGAAGAACATCAGATGAAAATATTACCTACAATATCTAAATATGGCATGTAACATCATAACAATCGGGACAGATTTTTATGCCACATGTTTGTGTAGTCCCATATACATCTTTCTGTGTACAGTGCTTGTAACTGTACCAAGACTGGGCCAACTTTCTTATAATTTTGATGCTTCCAGAACCTTGCAGTACACACCAATACTTATATGCTAGATTATCAATGTTTTATGATCAATTTCACAACGTTTCTTTCACAATGCAATTGCATGAACAGAACTCAACTTTATCTTTAAAGGAAAGATTAAGTCATGAAAAATATAAAGTTTTCTTACATCCTCTGGTCTGCTCTGAAGATGACCTTCAGGTCCGTTGATGCCCAATTCCAACAGCTTCTTTGTGTTCTGTAAAGAAAAGAGAAATAAAGATCAAATTCAATATTAATAGATGGTAAAAGACAAAACACGAATATGATATGGGCCCTATGGGATAAGAAGAATCATGTAACAGATTACAATTACATATATGATGATATATATTTACTACATTTGCATGTATCACATATCATATTTTTGATATATGGTAATGGGGTTTGCCATCGATAGGCCATGGCTTTTGCAAATCCCACTATATTTAAATTGGTTTGTGTTCTATGCTTCTTTACCCTCATCTAGATGTTGAACAGGTGTTGATAGTATTACCATAGAAGTAGAAGTTATTATTTTCTCTGTTGATGTTTATGTTATTGGCACTGTGATTGGTCTTGTTATTCAAATGTGAAAATAAAATAAATTGAGTTGAATTGAATATAACATCTGTATTTGGCTCCTTCCACTTTTACCGGCACTCTGTTACTTTTAAAGCCTATCTGTACTAGTTTGGCCAGAGGGATTAGACCTCCCTGTTACCGACATATAGAGGGACCAAGTTAGCTACAAGTAGTGCAGTCCCGCTTTAAGAGCTGCAATGTCATTCATTACCAAAAATATTAGTTTCAGCCGAGCCTTCTAAAATTATTTCAATAGATTTAAACTGCTGCTAATAAATACACTAATTTGGGTTATGAGTTTGCATTTGGTTGTAATTTATCCATAAACCTATATCATTTGCAAAGGGCATAAGATACAGTCAAACCTGCTTTAGTGACCAAATGTATAGAAAGACTACCTGCCTACAAAGACCACATGTCTTGTTTCCCTTGAAAATGGTTTCTCATTGAAACATGTACTACAGGAACCTGTACATATAGACCACCTGCCTATAAAGACCACTTTTCTTGTCGCCCTTGGGTGGTATTTATAGACAGGTTTCACTGTATTAGATGGCCTTGCATGCGACACTGCTTTAGCCAATCAGAACTCACCTCAGCGATGATGTCACCATTCTCTGCATGCACCAATGGGAGAGCACCAAGTTCTTTGAGGGCAGCAAACGCTCTGTACAGCTACAAAACAAAATAAACATTTATTTAAAATACATTGAAATAAATCAATGTTATACAGTAGGCTTACGGTTGCACCATGTGAGAGAGAGAGAGAGGGGAGGAGGATAGGGGGTACTGAAAAGGACCGTCAGTAATCTTTCTTTCTTTAAATGTTAATTGAAAGGTGTTGTGGTTGAGTGGTACGTCACTTGACTGGGGATGCACAGGTCGCGGGTTCAGGCCACTGTACATGATGGTATAGCCATGGATCAATATATGCATCTTTAGTTGCCATGGGTTAACCCCCAAAAGTCACTATTCACATATCCACGAAGTGAAAATTCTGCAACCTGGGAAGTATTCATTTTGGACAAGTGCAACACATTATTTTTATGCTGCGCGTAACCCATTGGTTAAAATTGTATAAATTTGGTATCAAAAGATGCATAATATTCTAGGTAATAAATTCATGAAAGCACACAGCTTAAACAAATCATCCTTGAACGTATAACGATGCCTGTCGAGGGGGTGGGATTAAAGCAGTGTTTGTTCATTTATTCAAACTCCTTTAAAAATACACCTTGGGTTCTTTTTTGCAGTGTTTTTACAGACAGACCTGATCTAAAATTAGAAAGTGAAAGAGGAAAACTTCTGTTCTAAGAGTCTACCATCTGCTAAGCTCATTTTATTTTTTTAATCAGCTGCCATTCACAAACCCCAGCTGCAAACACAGCTGTTTCATATCTTGGAAAAAAATAATGATTAAACCATGCTGTAGACGCCTGATAAGTGACAGCAAATGCACCCCTAAACATGACCTAAGCAGTATCCCCAGCAACAAAAATATCATCAATACTGATTTCCAATACCTATAATTTGTAACCAAGCAAACCCTACATATGCTGACAAAGGTTTCATCTTTGACAGACAAATTCTTTTAAAATGACGCTAACCCACTGTTATCAGTCCTTCATCACGCCAACAGCTATAGTAATTGGGTTTACTTGGGTAGCTCAGGTATTTCAATCACTATAAAACTGAGGTTTTGAAACTACAAACTAAACTAAGTAAATTTTGCCAATCTCTTCAGTTTTTTAAGGCTTGTCTGAGGTTTGTCTGGCGTAGCTTACCTCAAAGTCTTGCAGCATGAAGACGTCTTTGTAGGCCATGAACATCTTGAAAGAGTTGATTCCTGATTAAAAGAAACGAGGAAGAAAACGATGTATTAAAACTATGGAGAAAAAATGTGATCTGTAATTTGCTTTAGGCTTTGTTTTGTAACAAATACGGGGTCAAGGGTTACAACTGTGAGTGGGTTTTAGTTAGTGTTGTAACATCACGGATATCTCCAATTCCGTTTAACCGGCAGTCAAAACCGGACAGATTTCGGTTAAATGATAAAAAAAATGAAGAAGAAAAAAAAAAATATATATATATATATATATATATTTATTTTTTTAATTTGTGTTTTATTTGGAAAATCGAAAGAAACCACATTATTAACAAATAATGTACATAATTAGAAAGTTTTACAGATGACATTTGACCCAAGTATCTTGACCTTTAACCCTTACCTTTCTCTTCAGCAATGACGCTGAGTTCCTTCTGGACACTCTCGCTCCACCAAGTGATACCGACGTGAAGGGAGTAGTCACAGCAGACCTTAGGATCAGCCCAGGCACGCCATTGGTCGTAGGCTTCAACGAGAGATTGACCTCTGGTTGGCAGGCAGTGGTCAACTAGAGATGGGGAGAAAAACAAGTGTATGAATATAACAGACTTGCTCCTCCCTCCTCTTCTGTTCCTGCCTATCTTCCTCTCTTCGTTCTCCATCTTCCCTCCTCCCTCTTCCCTTTCACTACTTCCATTCTCTCCATATCTTCTCCTCCTCTCTATCTCTCTCTTCCTCCTGCTCCTTCTATTTCCTCCCTCATCCCTCCTCCTTATTCCCCATTCTTCTTCCATCATCATTCTCCACCTCTTCCTAACAAATCTTCGTCCTCCTCATCTATCTGCTCCTGTACCTCCTAATAATCATCTTCTCCTCCTTCCTCCCTTCCCCTCCTTTCCTGCCTTGATCCTTCCTTCTCCCCCCATCTCTCCCTCCCTCCCTCTTCATGTGTACAATTATGGGAGTAACTGCTCCCAGGAAAGGAAAGTAGGAAATGGGTTGCCAATTCAACGCTCTCACTACTTACTGATCATGGTAGTTCCACCAGCGAGAGCTGCCTTAGTCCCAGGGTGGTAGTAGTAACCTTCATTACGTACTGCACATATTATACTACTTCATGATCAGGCAGCGTTACGACATGTCTACCTAGTACAGAAACATTTCATTATGTGTTGCCGATTTCACGCTCTCGCTACTTACTGATCATGGTAGTCTCACCAGCGAGAGCTGCCTTAGCCCCATATTAGTAGTAAACTTCATTATGTATAGCACATATTATACTACTTCATGATCGTGGTGCTTCGACCAGCAAAGGCAACATTATGACATGTCTAGCAGGTAGAGATACATTTCATCATGTGTTGCCAATTTCACGCTCTCAATACTTACTGATCATGGTAGTTCCGCCAGCGAGAGCAGCCTTGGTGCCCTGGTAGAAGTCATCGATAGCACAGGTTCCCATGAAGGGTAGCTGCATGTGAGTATGGGTGTCGATACCACCGGGGATGATAAGCTTGCCCTTAGCGTCCAGGACCTTGGCACCTCCTGGTGTGATGAGGTCCTTACCGACTTGCCTGTAGACGCATAGGATTAGAGGGGATCATTCACACTGAAAATTTAATCTTGTTTTGAAGTTATACTAGATGTCATTTAGCATTAGGATTGGTACATGAACATTGGTACAATTCACAAGGAGAATTAAATGAAATTGTGTGATGAGGTCCTTACATACTTGCCTGTAGATGCATAGAATAAGAGGGGTGTGTTCACATATACAATGTAATCTTATTTTGAAGCAGCGCTAAATAAAATTTTGCTTTGTGATAGTGGGAGTGGAAAGGCAGATGGAGAATTAAATGTAGTCGTTCAGGAATTCCTTTGACCAAGACATAGCATGTTATTCACACCTGACTTGGTAAAGGGAAAAAATGCTGGGAGAATATCTTTTTTGGAAAAAGCATTATGAAAATCATCCTATAGTTGTAGTTTGCAAGGTTATACGTCAAGTAATAACTGAAATTAATAATATCTTTTTCTTTTCTATTTCAAATAGAATCTTTTTTTCAAATTTTCTCAAACAACATGGGCAAATATACAAAACGATGGATACATACATTTGACAAAGAAAGATACAATGACACACAAGATTATAGTACTTACATGTACATGAGTTAGACTCCTTCTATCAAGAAATAAAATAAACCTATCTTGTTGCGCATAGATTGTTTGTTCAACTTCAAAATGATATTTCAATTTCTTTTGAAAACATGGAAATGATAAAGATCCCTTCAAACATCTAGTTTGAATATATACAAATTAATGAAATTAAAAGAGGAATAATATCTTACCGAATGATGCCATCTTCCATGTACACATCTGCATAGAAGGATGTGTCACTGTTCACCACCTTGCCTCCCTTGATCAAAAGACGATTCTGAGCAGTCTGAACACAAAAACAAGAACAAGAATAAAGTTAATCTTTAAAATGTGGTCACCTCTAGAGCTTATCTTAAAAACAAAAATAAATTGTATCTTTAGCAACAAGAAAACATTAACCTTAGATACTGTATACAATGTATCTAATAATAAAATTCAATCTTCATGAACAAAGATTTTGTGAATTCCAAAGTTATTGCCATTTCAAGAACTCAAGTCCAAGATCCAGCTTTTACTTTCAAAGCAGCTACATGTAGGTACATGTACACTGTACAAGTATCAGAAAATATGAAGAGACTTTTGATTGGGAACACTGTTTAATATCAAATCAATACTGATAAATATGAACAACGAACAATCATGCCATTACCATTAGAATGCAATAAATAGTGACGAACAAATCTCATAATTATTCTTGAAAGAAAAGACAGTAATTGTGACATTTATTCTATGATTATGATATCCATCTCCCTGTTTCTCTCTTTCTTTCTCTCTCTTTCTCTCATTCTTTGTATCTCTCTCTCTCTCTCTCTCTCTCTCTCTCTCTTTCTATCGATCTATCTATCTCAATTGATCTATCTCTCTGTTTTCTTGCTTTACACTCCATCATTCGCCGTTCCTCTTTATCATCTCTTTTGTCTATCTTTCTCTTCCTCCATCCTTCCCTTCCTCTGTCTTTCCTCTCCCTTTCTCTCTCTCCATCCCAACCACGTCTAATTAACGCTTCTGTCCATGGAACAGAACAATACATGCAGCACAGTGCAGGGAGCATTCCCACTTCCCTCTGAGATCAATCGATGCGATCACTCATCTTCTCACATCCCCTACCCATCTCCCTTCTCTCCCACAACACATCCCTCACATAACTCAAATACATGTAGCCATGCTCTGTGTAGCATGGATGGTATTGATAACATCCAAGGCAAACACACGTCGTTCTATTGACAGATAGAACCATAATTGTCATATCCCGTATCAATGCAATGTTAGAGTTATAAATACTGGAAGATTAATTACAGACGTTAGTATACACATGTAAATAATACTGCTTGTATTGTGAAAGGATGAGGGAGAAGGTGTATCAGAAGAAGAGGGAAATAGAGAGGGGGTGGAGGGAGTGACATATACAGGGGAAGAGAGAGACATTGTGAGAGAGACAGAGATAGACAGAGAGAGACAGAGACAGAGACAGAGACAGAAAGAGAGGGGAAGGAAAGAGGGACTGACAAATACAGAGAGAGAGAGAGAGAGAGAGAGAGAGAAAGATGGGGAGGGAGGGAGAGAAAGGAAAGAAGTATGATATATATAAAACATCAAATGCAAAAGAAAAAAAGAAGAGGTTTTCAAGAAACTTTGCCTATTTGGAGGTGTGTACCTAATGTACTACAGTATCAGGAAGGGAAAAAATGAAGAGCAGATAAACACTTCATGTAGGATGTTAAGTGACTTAAAAATTTGTTAATAACTTTATAACTATGTTCAATGGAGATGTATCAAAAATTTATACAAATCCTGTTTTCCAATGTAAATGCTGTATCTCGCATAGCTTAAATATCAAATAATACAACCCCAACCATACCATCACTGTAGTAATATTCAATTCATCAATTACATTTTTTTTCCCCTACATGTACGTGGCCTGCTGGCTACGTTCCACCATACCTGGGCAAATTGATCAAATTTGCTGACTGAATTTGATTGGAAAATCTATGCGTGCATCTATTAGATGATGCTGGTCCGTATATTGCACGATCAGGTGCATGTATGGGATATGCAGAGAGCCAGACACATATGCATGTACATGTAGTAAGGTGGTATTATGGTATGTAGGGAATGGCATCGAGTTTGTCTTTAAAATGGAATGAAAGAAAGGTGGCAAGTAGGAGTTTTATTTTGAAAAGTTGAACTTAAAGATTTTGAAGACGAAATGAGAACATACGTTACAAAAACATCTCGCATTCTCCTCACAAATGCTACGAGAATACCCCTTTTTTATTTGTTTTTAGTAGTCAAATATGTAGGGTTTTTGTTGACATGTACTTTCTGTGTTACATACAAGTAAAAGCCTTTTCCCTAATTCATCATTAAACTATTGCTTTTTGGAATAAGTGCCATACCATAAAGCATTCATATACTGCTGGGAAAAAAATTAAATGAAAAGAGGTCATAAAAGCCCAGAGAACAAGTTCTTTCTTTCCACTTGACTTCTCGCCTTTACTAGCAAAAATTGGAAAGAAAAAAAAAAAAACCTTCATAAGCATTCAACCATTCATACCGCTAGCAAATTTAAAGGGAAATACAAAGATATTCAACTTAAAAGAGCTATAAGAGCCAAGGGAACAAGTTCTTGTTTCTTTCTTTCCTTCTTGCCTGAACATTGTACAGTATATGCTCACCGATCTATACACATATAGGGCATGCTTGTGCAGCGAGAATAATCACTTTACGTTGGACAAAATGCCAAGGCTTTCAACTGGTGTGTTATTTTCCGGCATTCATAATCAAGACTGACAGAACGCTGTAGGGGGTTTACCGCCAGTCCAGGGTCTCAGAACAACCCTGGTCTTGGGTGACGGATGAATTGTTTCCCATCCGTGTCTCGTAGGCTAGCCAATTTCTGACAGGTGATATTGATAGCCAATGATATTGATAAGTCTTCAAATTGATTTTCATATCATCAAGCGGAGAGATTTTTTTCTACAGAGCTTATTACAGGAACACCAGGTCATCTATGGAGAAAGGTTTCATCATGAATTTATCAGACTTTTATTCTGGAAATTCCAATCTAAATGCAAATTCAAATCTTCCTCGTTTAACATACAGCTACACAGACTATGCCACAACTTCAGAGAGATATTAGCCGTAATCTCAGTGTAGCGCTTCCGTCACGCATGTTTCCATTTATGTACACAGGCGACCTTTGCTATTTACACGATGCGACGCAAGCACTACACATTTACGATCAGGTGGGACTGAGGACCAATATTGATCTAGTTTTCAAAGGAATCTCCTCATGTCATTGATAACATGATTTGATGTATTGACGGAGATCGGGGAAGCTTTGCTGAAACGAGAAGCGGGGTAAATACCATTCAGCCTATCAATAAATCTTCACACGTAATCTGAAATTCATCAAAAATGTGACCTGATGTAATTGGCACTAAAGGGCAAACACGCTACTGATGGCTTTCCAGGGTAGCTGTTACCAGATTAAGCAGTGTTTGGTCATTGTTATCCAAGGCTATGGAAGACATGATATTGACACTTCATTTAAAGATGAAGTTGAGTTCTGGTCATGCGATTGCATTGTGAAAGAAACGGTGTGGAACCGACCAGAAAATGATCATCTAGCATATAAGAATTTGTGCGTATTGCAAGGTTCTGGAATCATCAAAATGATAAGAAATTTGGCCAAGTCTTGGTAAAGTTACAAACACTTGCAAAGAAAGATGTATATGGGACTACACGAACACGTGGCGTAAAAAGCCGCCCCCCCCCCCCGATTTTTACGATGTTACATGCATATTTAGAATATGAAGGCATTTGAAGAGCCATGCTTTTCAGGGAACATGTCTTAACTGATGTTCTTCCACACTTGCATAATAAGAATGAGTAATGCTCAAAAATTATTTTTCACCTCTTCCCAGAACTCAACCTTCTCTTTAATATATTCAAGGTTTATTGGCAGTTGACATGGGCTTCCATAGACTATTTCGGGTGGAAATTTTAAAGGAGTTACAGCATGAACTTCACATTATAGCTGAAAATATACTTATGATTAATTACTTTAATTTTTCTTTTCTTTACCTTTTAATCTTTTATTCTCTCTAAAAATTGTATGTATCTATCTCCCCCCCCCCCCCCACCTCATCTCTCTCATTCTCTCTCTCTCTCTCTCTCTCTGTCACTCTCTTCATGGAGGCTTTTCTCTTTCTATTTTTCATGTAACCCATCTCTCCTTTTGCAATCTAGAAACACTCTCTCTTGTCCTCCCTTTTGCTTTTACATCTCTCTATTTCAGTGATAAATGACTAACACATTTGTGCAAAAATTACAATATACTTTTGTATTCACAGCTCTTAATAGATTTCATCTGTAACAAAGAGATTTTCCCAGTAGGTGATTATAACATATTTCTCCCTCTTTTTTTTTGTCGCTAGGTTGATTTTGAGAGCTCCTTTATTCCGAGTCTTGGATAAATTGTTTGGATAAAGAGAAGAAAAACTGGAAAGCAGGAAGCCCAACGGCAAACTGATCATGCATGCAGGTACAGATCCATCATTGTGGAGGAACGCACCCCTAAACTATCATTATTTGTTGAAGAATTGCTTTTCATATTATAATGATCGCTACATTTATATTGCACACATACATGTATTTATCCTGGGGTGCCCCATGTGCCAACAAAGTAATATTATTACCCTGGCTTTAGCACAGCTGATCATGGACAAAATTACAGATCTATCATTGTGGAGAAACACACCCATAAATTATCATTAAATATTTGTTGAAGAAATGCAACTCATATTCTGTAATGATAATGGTAGCTACATTTGTATTGCACACACACGTTTCAGACCTCATCATCATGCTTTTGTGTCTTGATACAGTGTCATCTATACAGAAATGTGAATAGAAACTTAGAAAGGGGTGTGTACATTGAAATGAAACCCTCTATTCTCACTCTGTATTTCTCTGCATGCATATAACTCCATCATTTTAAGGACCCCACCCCCCCCCTCCTCCCCCTCCCTCCTTCCCCACTGCCCCTCCCTCCCTCCCCACTGCCCTACCCTGAGAAAATTACAATTGGTTGCAGAATAGTAAATGAGCACTTTCCTCCTGAGAAAAAAATCTTTTTCTTTTTCTTCTTCTTTTGGGATAGGAGACTTCAGAACTCATCATGGTACCTCTGTGTCTTGCAGTATAATCCATGAGTCACAGGACAGACAAGGATGAAAGGGCAATTGGATGCAAGGACATTCACCCCCCCCCCCAACTTTCTGT